CGCAAATTAATTAGTTAACTTTTATAAGAATTACATAAAATTTTCTAAGTGGGAAATATATGTCCCGGAGGTACGAAAGGGATAATATCTACACAAAATAATGCTTTCTAGCTCATTCTTTTTTTAGTTAACTCTGAAATATCTAGACAAAAAATTTATTAAAGCAGAAACAATTAAAAAAATGTTTAGGCAAAATAATAAAAATTTTTGTAGTCGCCATTTTGGATCCGACATGTGAAATTTTTGTAATCTGACATCAGATTCGTAATCAGCGACCTAGAAAACCCATTCGTCAGTTAAAATCGACACCTATCGGAAACACTTGAATTGGTTCTCGTGTCTCTCTAGTCTTCTTGGTATATACCTGCGTAGTAATCGATTTTTCGTCACCCCCCCACATACCTACAGAAAGAATATTCCTTCATTGCCCTCATTCCTTACTTCATCTCCACTCGTTACGCTATTCCCTCTTTTTCTCTATATTCTTCTTGACTTATATATAATTTTATCATTTTTTTATTATTTTAACAACTATACACACACATTCACGTAAATAAATACACTATTAATATGAGTGGACAACGAAAAACAAGATCTTGGGGGCAACCAGATCCTTTGGTTAATTCAATTCTAAATACACCTCGAGATCAATCGAAAAAATACCCTATTGAAGGTCGACCTGATATAGCAACATTATATACAGAATATGATGAGTTATTTAATTTTTAATTGAAATCTGCGGGTTTCACGTTTGGGTACACTGATTTGAGGGACAAGTGCGGTGTTACTGACACGAGAACCCGCAGATTAACAATTAGTCAAGCCCTTCATTTCTGTAAAAAACGAAAGTGGTTGGTGAAGAAAATCAAACAAACATTATTGCATGAAATGATTCACGTTCTGATATTTGTCCGACATCCTAGTGATGTGGACGATTATCATGAACACAGGGATCATTTCATGCAATATATGGATAAATTACATATAAAATTAAAAGAGAAGAAGATACGTTTAAAAGTAACTGTTAAACAAGTTACCGTTGCCACAGAGCAGTTACCGTTATCGCAAAAAGAGGAAGAAGGAAGAACAGCTAAAGAAAAAGTTACCGTTGCCACAGAGCAGTTACCGTTAACGCAAAAAGAGGAAGCAGGAACAACAGCTAAAGAAAAAGTTACCGTTGCCACAGAGCAGTTACCGTTAACGCAAAAAGAGGAAGCAGGAACAACAGCTAAAGAAAAAGTTACCGTTGCCACAGAGCAGTTACCGTTAACGCAAAAAGAGGAAGCAGGAACAACAGCTAAAGAAAAAGTTACCGTTGCCACAGAGCAGTTACCGTTATCGCAAAAAGAGGAAGAAGGAAGAACAGCTAAAGAAAAAGTTACCGTTGCCACAGAGCAGTTACCGTTAACGCAAAAAGAGGAAGCAGGAACAACAGCTAAAGAAAAAGTTACCGTTGCCACCGAGCAGTTACCGTTAACGCAAAAAGAGGAAGCAGAATAGTTAACAGAATTTTAAAAAAATGAATATTACGGAAGCAGAATTAATACATATATTGCAGACAAGATTTTCTTTTCATAATTTTAAAGAAAATCAAAATGAAATTATTAAAATAATACTTGAAAAGAAAGATGGAATTTTTATATTGCCAACCTCATCAGGAAAATCGTTGTTTCTTTTTTGAAAATGCTATAAGAAATTGTGGGACGACAATAATAATTTCTCCTTTATTGGCTCTACTTGAAGAACAATTTTCTAAATTAACTACATTAAATGTAAGTGTATACATAAATTATATTATTTAAATGACACGTACTAATACACGGAAAAAACTGCATGGTCAGGACAACCATATATATTGAAAAATACGGGATATTCATAGTTAAGGGTATCACATCCATTTCTATATAAGTGTCAACTAAATAAATGGATGTTGTATCCATCAAAATGGCTGTGGTATCCATAGAAATGGATGTGATAACCTTAACTATGGATATCCCGTATTTTTTAATATATATGGTTGTCCCAACCATGCAGTTTCTTTCCGTGTACTAATTGCTCATTGCATTTTAGAATGGGGATACAGTTTTAGAAAATATTATTTAGAATTAAAAAATTTGAAAAATATTTTTAATAACATTCAAATCTGTTTATTTACTGCTACATTGATAGCAAATGAAATTGAAGAAGTGAAAAATTTGTTGCAACTACAAAATTGTGAAATGTACGTTATATATTCATTTTAATAATATTTTTTTTTAAAAATATTTTCAAATAAAAATTACATAAATAATATAATTTATTATTTTAGATATGTTGGAAATTTTTATAGAAATAATTTTAAGTATATTGTTCGAAATGTTTTCACTAGAAAAGAAAAAAATGAAGAAATTGTTAATTTCATTCAAAACAATCATAACGATAATAATGGTATCATTTATTGTGATTCAATTTCAAATTGTTATTTCATTAATATTTTATTGAAAATAAATAATATAAATTCAGAAATTATTCATGCAAAATTAGATAATGAAAAAAATTACTATTTTCAATAAATGGAAGAATAATAAAATTAAAATTATTTGCTCGACTATTGCTCTTGGTATGGGAATAGACAAAACTAATGTTCGTTTTGTAATACATACAAACTTGTCAAATTCTTTAAGTAATTATATACAAGAAAGTGGACGAGCTGGAAGAGACAATTTTGAAAGTACATGTTTGCTATTTAGTAATCCGAGTGAATATCATTTCAAAATATTAAAAATTCTTAACGACAGTAATTATAATTTTACATTAAAAGAATTGCTAACAAAAAAATTATTAGAAATGATAGCATATTCGAATAATACAAGTAAATGTCGATATTCTCTTTTAATAAATTATTTGAAAGATTGAAATATTAATGAGAATAACAATTTGATATGTAATAAATGTGATATTTGTTTAAATCAACAAACATTTATCGCTATTGATGTTATAAATTATTCACAAAAATTATACAGCAGTATTCAAGAAATTAATTTTCATAATTTGAAATTAACAATTACGAATATAATACATTTCTTCAAAGGAATCGTTTCTTAAAGATGGTAACTTCCTACGTTATCATGAAATAATGTAAGAAGGGATAATATATGTCAAGGAACTCGAAGAGTCTCTGGGTGCATGTAGCTCAGTGGTCAGAGCAGTCTACCGGGCAATAGAAAGGTCGTGGGCTCGGAACCGTTTTTTTAAGTTTTTTAATAATTTTGAAATTATTAATTAATTTCGAAAATATTTTTCAGATTAAGCAGGTATCTGTATCTGTATTCGGGCAGCTGTGCTGTCGATACATATGAAATCCATGAGCTTTTCGAGATTTATTTAAGATATTTAATTTATTTGTAAAATTAATTCAGATAATTGATAACTTCTTTTACCTTGAACAAAGGGAAGAACTTTAATCCCAAATTTTGAAAGAAAAAAACCGAAAATGTAAGACTAAGGCAACTGGGTTGTTTACGAGTTCCCAAGTTTTGGCAAATAACGGAAGATAACAGAGATGAAACAGAAGTTAGTACCTAGCAAAAGGTCGTACCTTCCAAATATACGTTGGCGGTTGCCTAAGCGACTAAATTCGCAAAAATCAGTAAAATGGAAAAATAAATAATTCATGAAACAAAGCCTAAGAGATAAATTCGATTTAAAAAAAAACAAACAAAAAGTGAAAAAATGGAGAAGGAAGATAAATTGGCGAATTATGACGAAAACGAATTTGATAGGAAATTCGTACGAACCCGATCGAAATTCGTACGAAAGTCGTACGAATTTCGCACGAATAATTTTTTCCTGGGATGTCTTTTATACATTTTCTAAAAGCTAAAAAAGTGACATTTTTCCGCACCTTCTCCACTTTACACTCATATTTTGAGAAAAGTAACAAATATTTAAAAATCTATCTAATTTCTTTTTATTTTTTTTTATAGAATCGCTGAAGAACCTTCGAGTTCTTCGGAGACGGAAGCGGCCAATTTGCCGCAACAACAGCGGTCGCCCATACTGGGAAACCCGGAAAATGATCTGATGTAAGTTTTTTCTATCTATCTATCTATCTATCTATCTATCTATCTAATGTAATTTTGCTCTAAACATAAAATCTAAAAAATTACAGGACTTTGCAATTTTCAAAAAAATTAAAAATTTTAATTTCTGTCAGTTCTGATTAGAGTTTTGGCATCAATGCTAAAAGTTATACTAGTAATTATAATGCCATTTTGCTCTAAACTCAAAAACCAATAAGTTACAGGATTTTGAAATTATCAAAATAGACAAAATTAATGTTCGTTTTGTAATACATACAAACTTGTCAAATTCTTTAAGTAATTATATACAAGAAAGTGGACGAGCTGGAAGAGACAATTTTGAAAGTACATGTTTGCTATTTAGTAATCCGAGTGAATATCATTTCAAATTATTAAAAATTCTTAACGACAGTAATTATAATTTTACATTAAAAGAATTGCTAACAAAAAAATTATTAGAAATGATAGCATATTCGAATAATACAAGTAAATGTCGATATTCTCTTTTAATAAATTATTTGAAAGATTGAAATATTAATGAGAATAACAATTTGATATGTAATAAATGTGATATTTGTTTAAATCAACAAACATTTATCGCTATTGATGTTATAAATTATTCACAAAAATTATACAGCAGTATTCAAGAAATTAATTTTCATAATTTGAAATTAACAATTACGAATATAATACATTTCTTCAAAGGAATCGTTTCTTAAAGATGGTAACTTCCTACGTTATCATGAAATAATGTAAGAAGGGATAATATATGTCAAGGAACTCGAAGAGTCTCTGGGTGCATGTAGCTCAGTGGTCAGAGCAGTCTACCGGGCAATAGAAAGGTCGTGGGCTCGGAACCGTTTTTTTAAGTTTTTTAATAATTTTGAAATTATTAATTAATTTCGAAAATATTTTTCAGATTAAGCAGGTATCTGTATCTGTATTCGGGCAGCTGTGCTGTCGATACATATGAAATCCATGAGCTTTTCGAGATTTATTTAAGATATTTAATTTATTTGTAAAATTAATTCAGATAATTGATAACTTCTTTTACCTTGAACAAAGGGAAGAACTTTAATCCCAAATTTTGAAAGAAAAAAACCGAAAATGTAAGACTAAGGCAACTGGGTTGTTTACGAGTTCCCAAGTTTTGGCAAATAACGGAAGATAACAGAGATGAAACAGAAGTTAGTACCTAGCAAAAGGTCGTACCTTCCAAATATACGTTGGCGGTTGCCTAAGCGACTAAATTCGCAAAAATCAGTAAAATGGAAAAATAAATAATTCATGAAACAAAGCCTAAGAGAGAAATTCGATTTAAAAAAAAACAAACAAAAAGTGAAAAAATGGAGAAGGAAGATAAATTGGCGAATTATGACGAAAACGAATTTGATAGGAAATTCGTACGAACCCGATCGAAATTCGTACGAAAGTCGTACGAATTTCGCACGAATAATTTTTTCCTGGGATGTCTTTTATACATTTTCTAAAAGCTAAAAAAGTGACATTTTTCCGCACCTTCTCCACTTTACACTCATATTTTGAGAAAAGTAACAAATATTTAAAAATCTATCTAATTTCTTTTTATTTTTTTTTATAGAATCGCTGAAGAACCTTCGAGTTCTTCGGAGACGGAAGCGGCCAATTTGCCGCAACAACAGCGGTCGCCCATACGGGGAAACCCGGAAAATGATCTGATGTAAGTTTTTTCTATCTATCTATCTATCTATCTATCTATCTATCTAATGTAATTTTGCTCTAAACATAAAATCTAAAAAATTACAGGACTTTGCAATTTTCAAAAAAATTAAAAATTTTAATTTCTGTCAGTTCTGATTAGAGTTTTGGCATCAATGCTAAAAGTTATACTAGTAATTATAATGCCATTTTGCTCTAAACACAAAAACCAATAAGTTACAGGATTTTGAAATTATCAAAATAGACAAAATTAATGTTCGTTTTGCAATACATACAAACTTGTCAAATTCTTTAAGTAATTATATACAAGAAAGTGGACGAGCTGGAAGAGACAATTTTGAAAGTACATGTTTGCTATTTAGTAATCCGAGTGAATATCATTTCAAATTATTAAAAATTCTTAACGACAGTAATTATAATTTTACATTAAAAGAATTGCTAACAAAAAAATTATTAGAAATGATAGCATATTCGAATAATACAAGTAAATGTCGATATTCTCTTTTAATAAATTATTTAAAAGATTGAAATATTAATAAGAATAACAATTTGATATGTAATAAATGTGATATTTGTTTAAATCAACAAACATTTATCGCTATTGATGTTATAAATTATTCACAAAAATTATACAGCAGTATTCAAGAAATTAATTTTCATAATTTAAAATTAACAATTACGAATATAATACATTTCTTTAAAGGAATCGTTTCTTAAAGATGGTGACTTCCTACGTTATCATGAAATAATGTAAGAAGGGATAATATATGTCAAGGAACTCGAAGAGTCTCTGGGTGCATGTGGCTCAGTGGTCAGAGCAGTCTACCGGGCAATAGAAAGGTCGTGGGCTCGTAACCGTTTTTTTAAGTTCTTTAATAATTTTGAAATTATTAATTAATTTCGAAAATATTTTTCAGATTAAGCAGGCTTTTGTATTCGGGCAGCTGTGCTGTCGATACATATGAAATCCATGAGCTTTTCGAGATTTATTCAAGATATTTAATTTATTTGTAAAATTAATTCAGATAATTGATAACTTCTTTTACCTTGAACAAAGGGAAGAACTTTAATCCCAAATTTTGAAAGAAAAAAACCGAAAATGTAAGACTAAGGCAACTGGGTTGTTTACGAGTTCCCAAGTTTTGGCAAATAACGGAAGATAACAGAGATGAAACAGAAGTTAGTACCTAGCAAAAGGTCGTACCTTCCAAATATACGTTGGCGGTTGCCTAAGCGACTAAATTCGCAAAAATCAGTAAAATGGAAAAATAAATAATTCATGAAACAAAGCCTAAGAGAGAAATTCGATTTAAAAAAAAACAAACAAAAAGTGAAAAAATGGAGAAGGAAGATAAATTGGCGAATTATGACGAAAACGAATTTGATAGGAAATTCGTACGAACCCGATCGAAATTCGTACGAAAGTCGTACGAATTTCGCACGAATAATTTTTTCCTGGGATGTCTTTTATACATTTTCTAAAAGCTAAAAAAGTGACATTTTTCCGCCCCTTCTCCACTTTACACTCATATTTTGAGAAAAGTAACAAATATTTAAAAATCTATCTAATTTCTTTTTATTTTTTTTTATAGAATCGCTGAAGAACCTTCGAGTTCTTCGGAGACGGAAGCGGCCAATTTGCCGCAACAACAGCGGTCGCCCATACGGGGAAACCCGAAAGATGATCTGATGTAAGTTTTTTCTATCTATCTATCTATCTATCTATCTATCTATCTATCTATCTAATGTAATTTTGCTCTAAACATAAAATCTAAAAAATTACAGGACTTTGCAATTTTCAAAAAAATTAAAAATTAAAAATTTTAATTTCTGTCAGTTCTGATTAGAGTTTTGGCATCAATGCTAAAAGTTATACTAGTAATTATAATGCCATTTTGCTCTAAACACAAAAACCAATAAGTTACAGGATTTTGAAATTATCAAAATAGACAAAATTAATGTACGTTTTGCAATACATACAAACTTGTCAAATTCTTTAAGTAATTATATACAAGAAAGTGGACGAGCTGGAAGAGACAATTTTGAAAGTACATGTTTGCTATTTAGTAATCCGAGTGAATATCATTTCAAATTATTAAAAATTCTTAACGACAGTAATTATAATTTTACATTAAAAGAATTGCTAACAAAAAAATTATTAGAAATGATAGCATATTCGAATAATACAAGTAAATGTCGATATTCTCTTTTAATAAATTATTTAAAAGATTGAAATATTAATAAGAATAACAATTTGATATGTAATAAATGTGATATTTGTTTAAATCAACAAACATTTATCGCTATTGATGTTATAAATTATTCACAAAAATTATACAGCAGTATTCAAGAAATTAATTTTCATAATTTAAAATTAACAATTACGAATATAATACATTTCTTTAAAGGAATCGTTTCTTAAAGATGGTGACTTCCTACGTTATCATGAAATAATGTAAGAAGGGATAATATATGTCAAGGAACTCGAAGAGTCTCTGGGTGCATGTGGCTCAGTGGTCAGAGCAGTCTACCGGGCAATAGAAAGGTCGTGGGCTCGTAACCGTTTTTTTAAGTTCTTTAATAATTTTGAAATTATTAATTAATTTCGAAAATATTTTTCAGATTAAGCAGGCTTTTGTATTCGGGCAGCTGTGCTGTCGATACATATGAAATCCATGAGCTTTTCGAGATTTATTCAAGATATTTAATTTATTTGTAAAATTAATTCAGATAATTGATAACTTCTTTTACTTTGAACAAAGGGAAGAACTTTAATCCCAAATTTTGAAAGAAAAAAACCGAAAATGTAAGACTAAGGCAACTGGGTTGTTTACGAGTTCCCAAGTTTTGGCAAATAACGGAAGATAACAGAGATGAAACAGAAGTTAGTACCTAGCAAAAGGTCGTACCTTCCAAATATACGTTGGCGGTTGCCTAAGCGACTAAATTCGCAAAAATCAGTAAAATGGAAAAATAAATAATTCATGAAACAAAGCCTAAGAGAGAAATTCGATTTAAAAAAAAACAAACAAAAAGTGAAAAAATGGAGAAGGAAGATAAATTGGCGAATTATGACGAAAACGAATTTGATAGGAAATTCGTACGAACCCGATCGAAATTCGTACGAAAGTCGTACGAATTTCGCACGAATAATTTTTTCCTGGGATGTCTTTTATACATTTTCTAAAAGCTAAAAAAGTGACATTTTTCCGCACCTTCTCCACTTTACACTCATATTTTGAGAAAAGTAACAAATATTTAAAAATCTATCTAATTTCTTTTTATTTTTTTTATAGAATCGCTGAAGAACCTTCGAGTTCTTCGGAGACGGAAGCGGCCAATTTGCTGCAACAACAGCGGTCGCCCATACGGGGAAACCCGGAAGATGATCTGATGTAAGTTTTTTCTATCTATCTATCTATCTATCTATCTATCTATCTATCTATCTATCTATCTATCTAATGTAATTTTGCTCTAAACATAAAATCTAAAAAATTACAGGACTTTGCAATTTTCAAAAAAATTAAAAATTAAAAATTTTAATTTCTGTCAGTTCTGATTAGAGTTTTGGCATCAATGCTAAAAGTTATACTAGTAATTATAATGCCATTTTGCTCTAAACACAAAAACCAATAAGTTACAGGATTTTGAAATTATCAAAATAGACAAAATTAATGTTCGTTTTGCAATACATACAAACTTGTCAAATTCTTTAAGTAATTATATACAAGAAAGTGGACGAGCTGGAAGAGACAATTTTGAAAGTACATGTTTGCTATTTAGTAATCCGAGTGAATATCATTTCAAATTATTAAAAATTCTTAACGACAGTAATTATAATTTTACATTAAAAGAATTGCTAACAAAAAAATTATTAGAAATGATAGCATATTCGAATAATACAAGTAAATGTCGATATTCTCTTTTAATAAATTATTTAAAAGATTGAAATATTAATAAAAATAACAATTTGATATGTAATAAATGTGATATTTGTTTAAATCAACAAACATTTATCAATAGAAAGGTCGTGGGCTCGGAACCGTTTTTTTAAGTTTTTTAATAATTTTGAAATTATTAATTAATTTCGAAAATATTTTTCAGATTAAGCAGGTATCTGTATCTGTATTCGGGCAGCTGTGCTGTCGATACATATGAAATCCATGAGCTTTTCGAGATTTATTTAAGATATTTAATTTATTTGTAAAATTAATTCAGATAATTGATAATTTCTTTTACCTTGAACAAAGGGAAGAACTTTAATCCCAAATTTTGAAAGAAAAAAACCGAAAATGTAAGACTAAGGCAACTGGGTTGTTTACGAGTTCCCAAGTTTTGGCAAATAACGGAAGATAACAGAGATGAAACAGAAGTTAGTACCTAGCAAAAGGTCGTACCTTCCAAATATACGTTGGCGGTTGCCTAAGCGACTAAATTCGCAAAAATCAGTAAAATGGAAAAATAAATAATTCATGAAACAAAGCCTAAGAGAGAAATTCGATTTAAAAAAAAACAAACAAAAAGTGAAAAAATGGAGAAGGAAGATAAATTGGCGAATTATGACGAAAACGAATTTGATAGGAAATTCGTACGAACCCGATCGAAATTCGTACGAAAGTCGTACGAATTTCGCACGAATAATTTTTTCCTGGGATGTCTTTTATACATTTTCTAAAAGCTAAAAAAGTGACATTTTTCCGCACCTTCTCCACTTTACACTCATATTTTGAGAAAAGTAACAAATATTTAAAAATCTATCTAATTTCTTTTTATTTTTTTTTATAGAATCGCTGAAGAACCTTCGAGTTCTTCGGAGACGGAAGCGGCCAATTTGCCGCAACAACAGCGGTCGCCCATACGGGGAAACCCGGAAAATGATCTGATGTAAGTTTTTTCTATCTATCTATCTATCTATCTATCTATCTATCTAATGTAATTTTGCTCTAAACATAAAATCTAAAAAATTACAGGACTTTGCAATTTTCAAAAAAATTAAAAATTAAAAATTTTAATTTCTGTCAGTTCTGATTAGAGTTTTGGCATCAATGCTAAAAGTTATACTAGTAATTATAATGCCATTTTGCTCTAAACACAAAAACCAATAAGTTACAGGATTTTGAAATTATCAAAATAGACAAAATTAATGTACGTTTTGCAATACATACAAACTTGTCAAATTCTTTAAGTAATTATATACAAGAAAGTGGACGAGCTGGAAGAGACAATTTTGAAAGTACATGTTTGCTATTTAGTAATCCGAGTGAATATCATTTCAAATTATTAAAAATTCTTAACGACAGTAATTATAATTTTACATTAAAAGAATTGCTAACAAAAAAATTATTAGAAATGATAGCATATTCGAATAATACAAGTAAATGTCGATATTCTCTTTTAATAAATTATTTAAAAGATTGAAATATTAATAAGAATAACAATTTGATATGTAATAAATGTGATATTTGTTTAAATCAACAAACATTTATCGCTATTGATGTTATAAATTATTCACAAAAATTATACAGCAGTATTCAAGAAATTAATTTTCATAATTTAAAATTAACAATTACGAATATAATACATTTCTTTAAAGGAATCGTTTCTTAAAGATGGTGACTTCCTACGTTATCATGAAATAATGTAAGAAGGGATAATATATGTCAAGGAACTCGAAGAGTCTCTGGGTGCATGTGGCTCAGTGGTCAGAGCAGTCTACCGGGCAATAGAAAGGTCGTGGGCTCGTAACCGTTTTTTTAAGTTCTTTAATAATTTTGAAATTATTAATTAATTTCGAAAATATTTTTCAGATTAAGCAGGTATCTGTATCTGTATTCGGGCAGCTGTGCTGTCGATACATATGAAATCCATGAGCTTTTCGAGATTTATTTAAGATATTTAATTTATTTGTAAAATTAATTCAGATAATTGATAACTTCTTTTACCTTGAACAAAGGGAAGAACTTTAATCCCAAATTTTGAAAGAAAAAAACCGAAAATGTAAGACTAAGGCAACTGGGTTGTTTACGAGTTCCCAAGTTTTGGCAAATAACGGAAGATAACAGAGATGAAACAGAAGTTAGTACCTAGCAAAAGGTCGTACCTTCCAAATATACGTTGGCGGTTGCCTAAGCGACTAAATTCGCAAAAATCAGTAAAATGGAAAAATAAATAATTCATGAAACAAAGCCTAAGAGAGAAATTCGATTAACGCCCGAAGGACATAAATATAAAGGGAAGAACTTTGATCCCGGAAGTTGATCTTCATGAAATTCTCAAGAAATAAACGTAAAATTTAAGGAAATTCCCCAGGAATTAATTTTGCAAAGAATTTTCTGGGAATCAAATACAAAGAAATTTACGAAAATTTCTCCGGAATTTTTGTGTGAATACGTTAAATTGCTTCTCTTTTAGAAAACTGCAATTTAGAACAAGATGCCACTCAAATGCTTATACTACTAAAATTTCTAATAAAAAAATGTTTATTAACAAAAAATAATAATTAAGTGCACAATTTTAATATGACAATTTTAATGTGTATATGATGGCCTTGTCTGCAGTGGAAATCACAGAGACTTTTTCACAAATTTTTGGAAATTTGCCGAAAATTCAAAGTTTTATTTTTTATATTTGTAAACAGACGTCAGATTCGTGATCAGCGCCACAAAAAACACAGAGTGACAATTTTGATGCAAATTGATGAAAATAAAAAAATCTGTGAGCCATACTGAATTTTTATATTGAATTATGGATATGTAACTTCAAAATTCATAATCGGCGACCCCAAAACCCCCTGAGTAATAACTGAGTAGTAATTTTCAAGCGAATCCATTACATTTTTAAAAATATATCCGCCATTTTGAATTTTGGATATCTAATCGCAGATTCATAATCAGCGACCCTAAAAACCCGCGAGTAACAAGTTTCAAGCGAATTCATTACGTTTTTAAATATATTATATATTATAATATATAAATATATTTATATATTATATTTTCAAAAACTGCAACTCGTCATTGAAAAGTATTCCTTTTTAAATAAATTTTAAGCTTATAGCTAGTAATTCAACAGCAAACAATTTTTGGAGAGCAGGTGGCTCCCGTTGACAAACAATGCCTCGTTTATATTTTATTTTTCTTAATATTTATTGTTATTGCTAATGATATTGTTATAAGATTTTGTATTAAACAACACTCCCTTAATTTTAATAAGTATTTATTCTTTATTTGAATTGTTTATATTTATTATTGAAAATTCTTATGAATATATAGTTATGAAATAAAAACTACTGTACTTTATAACTTCATTTTTTAAAAATATTCATCACTTTTATAGTATACTGAAATTTAGAACATTCCAATTTTCTAACATTGTTTATTACATTACAATTGTGACGCGATATAAAGAAAGGGACCTAAGAAAGAAACGAATTATAGGTTATGTTTATGGCACATTAAGTTTGATTAAAAGTTATATTTAGTTTCTTTTGAAAATTAAAATAAGAGAATATTGAATATTTAAGATGTAATAAACACTTAAACATCATTAGCTTGCATTAAAAGTTCATTTTTTTTGTTTATTTCCAATTCAAACTTTTAGAACATGATCTATAATTTTTGATTTCTTAAGTCCTTTTCTTTATATCGCGTCACAATTTAATATCTTATCATTCTTAAATTTACTTTTCAATCAGGTATGATAGAATTATTTTAAATTTCGAATTCATTTTTTGATTTGTTAAACAAAATATTTTCCATTCATAATTTGCAAGTAATATTCAAAATTACCTATTTAAACACTTTTAATTTTCTCACATTGTGCATTTAGAAATCATTTAAGGTAAACTGTTACAAGACCAATTCGCATGTGTTATGAATTAGGGAAAATAATTTGTTTAAACCACTCATTTCCTGTTGTTTAAGAAACAATTTTTAAATCTATGGATTTGTGGAAAATTTAGACATCAGAGAAGAATGCAATTTTTGGGTATGTGATACCGTTTACTATGGATGTGTTTTGACTTAGTAATTATTTATCTCATACCTGTGAAAGTAACATTTTTCCTTTAAGTAACTTTTTACCAATATAAAATTTTTAAAGAACAATATTTTTTTAATCTTTGTTTAATAATTCAAATGGCTACACTTTAAGTCGACTTTGTCACGAATAATCAGCTCTAAAAGTTCTAAATAGTACTAAACAAAACTCAATAATTGAACTAACGGACTGTAGAATGACATACAGGTAATATAATTCAAAGGGTCTTTCTACGATCAGTTGGTTTAATAAAATAACTCGATGCTGTCAAATTTACAAGACATATTAAATATGAACCTGAAGAAACTATGACGTATATATTAAAAAATCACCAGCATAACATTGTTAATAACAATGTGATTTCAAGATAAGAAGTTGTAGAAACAAAATTAAAAATTTAGAAGTATAGCTCATCTTTGCTGTGGCACTCTTCCATGTAAATAATCAGTTCTCAATGATTACATTCTTAGAATAACTTGATGCAATAGCATACGGAAACAATTACATACATTGTACTCGACATGAAGTACAAGTTAACAAAAACTGAAGAAAATTCAGCTTTTTGTATATAGAACCATTTCTTCAATGGAGGTTTTGTGTTCCCAAAAAAGATAAGTTTTTCTAACCAAGCATCAGTTACGGACTGTAATCAGTTTTAAGTTAATTTCTGCAATTAGAATTGCTTTGAAGAAAAAAGCTGTTGTTGGATGACGGAGGATCCAGAATCCTTTACAATTTTGTACTTTGGTCTGCTCACATATTTCTTCATCAATTACAGCCGTGAGTAGTTCGATGTGCGGGAATCTCATCCGCACACCGCCCTCGATGCACGACTACATAAGTCGCACTCACGGCTGGCTCAAGTAAATTTTACGAGGACTTCAGTTGCGGCTTGGCTTCTTTTACTTTCTATTCTTTAATGACTTCATAAAGGTTTTTCAGGCACATAACAATATGTTTATAAAAATGAATATTCGATAAAAAATTTAATTCAATACTAATATTTTCCTTTCGGACCTGACTGTTCTTATTACAATCTCAACTTCTTTATAAGGTTAGGTAGAGACCTTAAAAGATAAAAAAGAATCGTAAGCAACTCTACTAAAATATTACTTTTTCTTTTTCAAAAGAACATGTTAAATTTTATATTGGGAAAATTTGTAACAATTTTACATTCACAGGGCTAAACGTGGCTTTGTTGAAAATGGTAAAATTCTTTTTTCTTAGAGTACTTTAAAACAAACAGTACAACACAACCAAAATATTTGCATTTAATAATACAAAGAATATATTTTTTTAATAATTGTTCATTCTTATAAATTAGAACCACATGAACAGATTACAATACCATTTTTTTAATGATTGATTTTCTATAATTTGTTTAATTAATTTACAAGATGTGAGCGGATTTTGTAATTTTCAAAAATGTTTATATTTAAAAAAATGAAGATTCTGTAAATATATACAATTATAGAATGAAAAGTAAATGTAAGAAGCTTTGTCAGTCTTAACGCTATGATTACTGACGTTCGAGTTTCAAAGTTTGTTTTTAGCTGTTCATTAGATGTTTTTTTAATATATTTTGTAATTTTTAAATAAGAATGTTTAAAAAATAAAGTTACTTTCAGTACAATCATTTATTAAAATGCAAATATTTTGTAACACTATAATATTTCTCTGAATATTTTACTTCTTTTTGTATATAAATAATTATATACAGTCAATAAACATAAAATAAACATAAACAATTTATTTAATTGGTAAACAAAAAATACAATATTCTAATTATTATTTATAATTTTAGAAAAGATAATTTTAGTTTTAAATAACGTTAAATTGAATGATTTTTAATACAATTTCGGATTGAAAAGGGTAAATATAAAAACTCAGTGCGAGCACATGTTCTCGAGAGCAAAACTTGGAAGCAAGAGAGTGTGATTCCTAATTCTTGAATATGCGCAACTCGACTTTTATCAAGAACGATGGACTTGTTGTAAATCGGGTTGTCAATAAAAAGGCATATAGAATCAAATGAATTTAGTTTTTTGAATTAACACAAAAAAACTGTTTAAATTCTGAACACATAATGATTGAAATTTCTGAAGAAATGTTTCCTCGATACTACGAGCATGAATCCGACTCAGATGACGGATATAGTGAAGAAAAGGATTGTAAAGGACGTAAACTTAATAATTCAGTTAATATATTGTTTGAAATGAATGAATGAATTACATGAGTATCACAGAAAAATGTTAATTTACTCCGGACATAAAAACAAGATCACAAAAAGAACCATTATTAGAAAGATTGACATTTTATGAACCGAAAAGAAGTACCGACGATCGACCTCATCTTCTTAAGTTGTACAAACAATTGGATCATTTATTTTTCAACGATGAACTGAAAAGTGCTGGTTACACAATAACTTGAGGGAAGGGAATGTGGAAGACTTCTGGAGTAACAGATTTGCCTAATCGGCAAATTCGAATAAGCCCAGAAATTTACGAAGTAACATCATACGAGTAACTCATAGGAACTATTTTACATGAAATGATTCATGTAAAATGTTTCCAACATTTTGGACCCGCCATTTTGAATTTTTGAAAATAAAGGTCAAATTCGACTTTACCGACCCCAAACAATAATCTGCCTATTGACATGCTGATAAAATATATTTTATACTGTAAAAAGTAAGATTTGATTTTTTAACATATGTGACATGATCGCTGATTACGAATCCAATGTTAATTTTTTTCAATTCAAAATAGCGAATCTAATATGGCGAACGTGTTATTGACAAATTGTACGGATTTTACAAATTTACTTTAATAAAAAATACTATAGAAAACTAAAAAGACGTGAAATAAAGAATAACACGATAAAGAATTGAAGATTTAGAATTTAAAAACTTCACAAATTTTCAATTTTGTCCACCATATTGGATCCGCCATTTTGAATTTTTAAAAACAAGCATCGGATTTATAATGAGAAAACATCGAAATAATTGTGAACACTGGAGCGAAAGGTTAAATTTTGCATAAATGATTTTTTTAGACAATATAATCCGCTTGGATGCAAATATTTATATATCAATATTGTAGGGCAACTTGTCCTCTACAACTTACAATAAAAAAGTTTCTATTATTTTCGCAAAAATGAACATAACTCCGGATATATATTTAGGATGAAAACACCCTTTTATAATTAACCTTTCGCCCCAGTCTCCCCTAATTATTAATAATAAATAAAAAATAAAATAAAAATAATAATAAAATAAATATTTTACAGGCAATGCGGGCCGAGATTGGACAAAGACGCGGGTGAATTTTTATCTAAGAATTTCGTACAATTGCGACAAAAATTTAAGGAACACGAGTTAGCAACGGACAAACAACTCTCCATTCAAATGACTATTCGTCAATTAGAATCTATTATCAGAATTTCTGAATCCTTGGCCAAAATGAAATTGAAACCGTTCGCTACGAAAGCTGACGTGACAGAGGCTTTTCGTCTCTTTTATGAGTCAACAGTTTTGGCTTCCACGCATGGATCCCTTAAAGGTTAGAGATAAAAAAGTTTTCGAAATTAGAAATTTGTTAAGGGGACATTCCAGTTCAAAACAGGCAAAAAGAAGGCTTTTTTTAGTATATATTATTAAAATAACTGACATTTATTTAAAAAATTTCTTTTACATGTAATAAATAATTTATGTAAGAATTTGTAAAAAAAAAATTTTCAATTTTATTTCAAAATGGCGGCGATATACGCCATTTTCGAAAATGCCCATTTTTAGTGGTAAGATCGATTCCAAACTTTCTAAAATAGATGAAACCAAAAACGAAGTGACATTTTCTTCGTTAGATATTTCTTTAGGTGTGGAACCTCAAAAAAGTGGAATTTTCTTTCCCCCCTTTTTTTTAGAGTACTTTTTCTTCAAAATATGCAAAAAAAGGTGTTTTTATTCACAATTTCTCTTATAAAAAAAAGGGAGTTGCACTGAGAAAAAATTGGACGAACAGTTGCGCTACTAGTGGTAGAGCGGCGCTACTTTCGCTCTAGTGAAAATCTGAACCATATTTGGGCGACAAATTCGCCCAAAATAAAGTAGAAATTCTTTTCCAAAATTTGGAAGAGAGTTTGTTTTAAGAAAAGGAAATTATAGACTGCTTGAGTATATGTGATTTAACATTACTATATATATTGTGAAATATGTATTTTAACATTAAAACTGAAATCTAACAGCACAATAAAAGTTTTTTTTATTAAATTATGAATAGATATATTTCAAAATTGAAGTATTAATTTCAATATTAAAATATTGATATCAATAATATAATAATAGGTAATCTTATCTAATGATGAAAAGGTTTTTATAAATTAATTAAAATAGTTAATTTTATTTACAATATTTTTAATAAAATAATATTTATTGTTATTAATAACAGATTGTTTTCTAAACAAATTAATATTTTTTTACTAATTTCTTATAAAACGATGAAAATACAATATTTTATTTAAAATTAACAATAATTTTGAATTAAAATTAAATTATTTTTCAATGACATTTTACCGAAAAATAGTGACTTTTCTCGACCGCCTACGTTGCTTCGTTATTTCCATTTATCACGTCAATTTTCTATGAAAGTTTTAAATTCTAAATTTACTTTTCGACATTTTTTTCTTTAAATTAATTTTATTTACTTTCTAAAAATTTAATCGTTAATAAAGTTTTAAAAAGTCAGATTATTTTTTATAGAAAAATAACCATATGCCAGAATAATTAATTTCTTTTATTTTATTATTTTAAAAATATATATCTAACAATTAAGGGCATTTGTCCTAAAGTTGTGACGTCATAATAATTCAATTGGTTTCAAAATTAAATTTTTTTGTCTGAGAATATTTCTCTTTCTTTTCGACTCTCGACATAGATGCATCGTCACGTTTTATTCTTTTGCCTAAATAGTGTTTTATATTTATAAATTTCACAAAAATTTGTTCGCAATTAGTTGCTAAAATTAAATTTAAAAAAAAAAACAAACAAAAAGTGAAAAAATGGAGAAGGAAGATAAATTGGCGAATAATGACGAAAACTACTTCCATCGCAATCCCATAAAAGCCATTCTTTTATGGGAATACTTGCAACAAGTAAAAAAAATAAACTGTCAAGACAGTAAGGAATTGCGGACCATATTACAAGAAGTAATGAATATAAAGGGTAACATTACAAATCCGAAAATTTTGACTCTCGGCACTTTCATCGAATCTTGTGGGAACGCCAAAGGAATTCAAAATATGCCGAATTATGAGTTTGTGTTTCTTATCGCAATGCGGTATGCAGTATTACTGTAAGTATAATTTATTATTGTTTTTATTGAAAATAATAAATCAACCAAAAATATATTTAATTTGTCATTTAATTAAAAAATCTGGTATCTACAATATTGATTTTTAACTCTTTTTATAGTAAAATAAATAATTTTTGTTCAAGTACGTTAAGTTAAATTATGTTAATCGTAATATGAAATAATATTACACAGGGTTGATACAAAATTTTTACTTTTTTCCTGACCCTGAAGAACATTAATAACTTCTTTTTTAAATAAATATTCAATCATTATAATTTTTCTATAGGAATTATGATTGTTAAATTCCATAACTTATGAGAATATTATAATAAAACATAAAGAAATTGATTACTCCGATTCAAAGACTCGGAGTGATCGATTTCCTCATGTTTACATGAACAATATTATTATATTAAGTAATATTTACTTAATTAACTGAATAAATTAATACTTACTTATTTACTGAATAAGTAGATAAGTTACCGTTCATAAATAATATCCAAGAGCACAAAGATTAAGGTATTTGCATGATTACATAATTTTGTAATAGTTATATTTATGATCCAAGTGCATTAATTACAAGAATTACAAAATTCCAGAAAAAGAAGTCGTTTTATTCTAATTTGCTTGACTTATCAATTTCACTCGGTTTCCCAAAATTATTCGCCAACCATGATGATTGTTGACAAATTTTTTTTTAAAAAGATTACTTTTCAATTAATTTTATATCTAGTCAATTACCATGGTTGGCGAATAATTTTGGGAGTTTTTGGAGCGTACTTAATAATGTATTTCATTTATTTCAGTCAGGATGAGTGACTCAGATTCTGGGATAAATGACAATGAGTTCCTTCCGGAACAACGGTTTGTTCCAGTCATCAACGAACCTGTTGGTGACGAGGCACTGCAGCCAGAAAAAAAATGTTAAAAAAATCCCAAAAAACATTTTTGTTCTTCTTGTGGATTGAATGGAAATACAAAAGAAAATTGTAAATACTGTAGTCTTCAGCAGCAAAAAAGAAATTTGAAAAATGCGCGTCGACAGATGCTCTTACAAAATCAAATTATCAATATCTTCTCAACCGAATTTAATGTACAAGTAATGAAATTAAAAGTAGAGGACTCCTCTATTTAATAGACCCCATGAGAGGTCTGAGAAATTGTTAATAACAATGGAAATAAAAAAATAAATAAATGTCACAAAAAAGAATTATTCTTATGTTTAAGAAAACTTCTAAAAGAAGATTTAATTAAAAATGAAGTGGACCTAATGGTCCAACCATTCACTGAATTTGTTTCAACAGAGACCATTCAGTTAACAATGGATGTACAATTGAAATTACCGTAGCTGAAAAAGTTATTAAAAATGTCCAGCACTAAGTTTGATGAGAAATTTTTTCCGCAAATCCGATAAAATATCTTCTTTTAGTTGACGCTCTGTCGTCATTATCGAAAAATGTGACAATTAAATCTTTAAGTGAATGTGACGACTTGCTGAATAAGATTCAAGTTTTGATGAGTTACTCAGATTCTGGGATAAATGACAATGAGTTCCTTCCGGAACAACGGTTTGTTCCAGTCATCAACGAACCTGTTGGTAACGAGGCACTGCAGCCAGAAAAAAATGTTTAAAAAATCCCAAAAAACATTTTTGTTCTTCTTGTGGATTGAGTGGAAATACAAAAGAAAATTGCAAATACTGTAGTCCTCAGCAGCAAAAAAGAAATTTGAAAAATGCGCGTCGACAGATGCTCTTACAAAATCAAATTATCAAAATCTTCTCAACCGATTTTAATGTACAAGTAATGAAATTAAAGGTAGAGGACTCCTCTGTTTAATAGACCCCATGAGAGGTCTGAGAAATTGTTAATAACAATGGAAATAAATAAATAAGAGAGAGACACTGAGAATATACTATTCTGACAGTCTAAGTGTCTCCGGTATGAACTTGTGTAAATTTCATACCGGAGACACTCAGAATGGTGGCCTCAAAAATAATTAATAACAATGGAAATGAATAAATAATAGAGACACCTAAAATATACTATTCAGCCAGTCTGAGTGTCTCCGCTATGAAAATTACCCAAGTTCATACCGGAGACACTGCAAATGGAGTTTTTGTTTCAGATTGCTCCGCTATAGGACATCGAATTTCAATTTTATTGATGACATAATCAGCTTCAAATTGATAAGACTTAAGGACGGGGTTTGGACAGGCAATCTGTTCAAACCATCGGAAGTAAAAGAGAAGGCAGAGACTGAAGAAGAGTATCGAAAGAAGTATTTCGATTACTTAATGCAGGACGATTTGGATGAGCAAATTGACGAGGTTGACACGACATCGGCTACAGAAAGTGGCAAAGAGTTTGTTGTAGAAACGGAAGCATTAACGGCTTCGGAGATGGAAAGGGACTCTTTGCGGTGCCTGAATAAGGCGAATTTCACATTCTTGTGGAATGTTCTAACAAATTCACCTAAAATGAAAGACATTCTTCAAAAATTGTTTTTACTGGAGAAAGAGGAAAATGCCGAAAAGAAGTTAAATTTAATAAATTTTATAAAATATAAAGTAACAACTCTAGGAAAAATCAAATATAAAGTGCCTACGAAATTGAACGATTTTTTAAAGGCGAAACAAAATTGCAAATTAGTTTTAGCGCTGGTAATTATAATATAAAAAAATATATAATTGGAAACACTGACAGTACAGCTAGTACAGCGAGGACTTCGAATTTTGCACTAAAAACTTTGTTAGCCTATTTTTGAATACCTTAACTAACAATTTATGCAAAAAAGAAAAAATCGATTTTTTCAGACGTCTAATGTGGTTTCCCTCCTTAAGTAATTTTTAGTTTTATTGAAGTATTTTAACATTAAATACTTTGAAATTAACAGTACAGATGGTAACTCTAAGCTTTAAATTTTTACCAATTTTTAAGAATTTAAAGTTAAAAATCACTAATCAAAATTACTTTTAAAATAGGTCAAAAACATGATTCTGAAACTGGCACCTTGTTATTATGGCACCTGTTTATTACCTTCAAGACTCTAATTTTGAACTGAAAAAAAAAATATTCTTTTTTTGTTTAAGACAACATAAACTTTTTTATAATAAAAAACTGGGTACTTGTTTAAGATTTATTAAAAAAATATTAAACCATGTAAAGTATTTCTGAAATTATATTAATTTTTTAATAAAACAAGGCAAACTCAAGGACGAGATAAAGCATTTTTAAAATGATTCTAGAAAGTTGTTTAAATTTCTTTACAAGTTTAATTGTTGAAAAAGTAGATAGTGTTAGTGACTTAGACGGAAAAGTTGTTAATTTATTACTTGCATTTCTTAATTACAAAAAAGAAAAATCATTTTATATTATTAAAAACTAGTATTTTACACAACTTTTAAAAACTTACCTCCTTATCCTTATGTTTAATCACAAAAATTTTTTTCGTCTTATTTTTTTATTTTTGAAAAGGGAAAAAGAGTGTTCTTCACATTGCACTTTTATTTTTCTGTATTATATACTGCAAAAATCTGTTAATAAACTGTAACTACACTGTAAAAAAGAGAATTAAATTTTAACTCCCCAGGGGATACTATAAAAGTCGCACCCATTGGGGAGCTAATGCCAGGGGAGTTAAATAAAGAGAGTTAAAACTTCACACCCAAATGCTAAGTCCCCAATGAAAAAATAACTCGCGCATTTGGCAACGGTAAGTTTTACTATGCAGGTGATTGATTGTTTCTTGCATTACGTAAATGTTCGTCAAGTTAGGTAAACAAAATAATTTTAATTAATTAATTAGAGTGATTAGGCACCTTTGGACGGCCTATGGGGCTCAGATATTTTTTATTTTTCTATCTAAACAGAATGCAAAAGGTCCGATTCAATTCCATAAAGATGGTGAAAAGATTTTTTTAAAATCGTTGCCCTCCGAGCAAGTGGAGCTAATCCCAGATAATATGACTGGTAATGATCAGAGAGCAACGATTAAAAAAAATTTCCACCATCTTTATGGAATTGAATCGGACCTTTTGCATTCTATTTAGATAGAAAAATAAAAAATATCTGAGCCCCATAGGCCGTCCAAAGATGGCTAATCACTCTAATTAATTAATTAAAATTATTTTCTTTAGCTAACTGGTCGATCATTCAACCAATACAAGATGCAATTAATTACCAGCCTGGTAAATTTTGCAAACAAAATTTTTTCCACAATACGCTTAGTTTGCAAACACTTTTGAGCGCTGAAAAATCCTCTGTACAATTCAATTAGTCAATTGGTTTTAAAATTAGACGAGTTTTTACGTCCGACCAGTTAGCCAAAATCAAAATAAAATGACACATATCGCTTAACTTTGAGACTAATTGACCAACCAATTTGTGCAAAAATTTGTGGAGCTGTGACATTGTGCATATGATTTTTGAAGGTAATTTTGACTCCTGAAACTTTTTATATAGTTTGTCACAAATTGGTTGGTCAATTAGTCTCAAAGTTAAGCGATATGTGTCATTTTATTTTGATTTTGGCTAAGTGGTCGGACATTGAAACTCTTCTAATTTTACAACCAATTGACTAATTGAATTGTACAGAGGATTTTTCAGCGCTCAAAAGTGTTTGCCAACTAAGAGTATTGTGAAAAAAATTTGTTTGCAAAATTTAGCAGGCTATTAATTAATTGTATCTTGTATTGGTTGAATGCTCGACCAGTTAACTAAAGAAAATATTTTTAATTAATTAATTAGAGTGATTAGCCATCCTTGGACGGCCTATGGGGCTCAGATATTTTTTATTTTTCTATCTAAACAGAATGCAAAAGGTCCGATTCAATTCCATAAAGATGGTGGAAAAATTTTTTTAATCGTTGCTCTCTGATCATTACCAGTCATATTATCTGGGAATAGCTCCACTTGCTCAGAGGGCAACGATTAAAAAAATAATTTCACCATCTTTATGGAAGTGAATCGGACCTTTTGCATTCTGTTTAGATAGAAAAATAAAAAATATCTGAGCCCCATAGGCCGTCCAAAGATGGCTAATCACTCTAATTAATTAATTAAAATTATTTTCTTTAGTTAACTGGTCGAGCATTCAACCAATACAAGATGCAATTAATTAATAGCCTGCTAAATTATGCAAACAAATTTTTTTCCACAATACTCTTAGTTGGCAAACACTTTTGAGCGCTGAAAAATCCTCTGTACAATTCAATTAGTCAATTGGTTGTAAAATTAGAAGAGTTTCAACGTCCGACCACTTAGCCAAAATCAAAATAAAATGACACATATCGCTTAACTTTGAGACTAATTGACCAACCAATTTGTGCAAAAATTTGTGGAGCTGTGACATTGTGCATATGATTTTTGAAGGTAATTTTGACTCCTGAAACTTTTATATAGTTTGTCCTTTGACGAGAGAAAATACTTTCTTCATACTGGCTTTATGGATTTTTCATATATTTAATACAACATTCAATATATTGCAATTGTTGTACTAATTATATGGAAAATCAATAGAGCAAGTTCTGTAATTGCCATTACTCTCGTTAAAAGACAAATTATACGGGAATCTTCAGAAAAATAAAATAATTTACACAATCAAATTTGTCCTTTGACGAGAGCAAGTGTATTTTTCATACCAGTATCTTGTTAAAGGACAAACTATACAGTGTAACCTGTGACATTGTGCATATGATTTTTGAAGGTAATTTTGACTCCTGAAACTTTTTATATAGTTTGTCACAAATTGGTTGGTCAATTAGTCTCAAAGTTAAGCGATATGTGTCATTTTATTTTGATTTTGGCTAAGTGGTCGGACATTGAAACTCTTCTAATTTTACAACCAATTGACTAATTGAATTGTACAGAGGATTTTTCAGCGCTCAAAAGTGTTTGCCAACTAAGAGTATTGTGAAAAAAATTTGTTTGCAAAATTTAGCAGGCTATTAATTAATTGTATCTTGTATTGGTTGAATGCTAGACCAGTTAACTAAAGAAAATAATTTTAATTAATTAATTAGAGTGATTAGCCATCCTTGGACGGCCTATGGGGCTCAGATATTTTTTATTTTTCTATCTAAACAGAATGCAAAAGGTCCGATTCAATTCCATAAAGATGGTGGAAAAATTTTTTTAATCGTTGCTCTCTGATCATTACCAGTCATATTATCTGGGAATAGCTCCACTTGCTCAGAGGGCAACGATTAAAAAAATAATTTCACCATCTTTATGGAAGTGAATCGGACCTTTTGCATTCTGTTTAGATAGAAAAATAAAAAATATCTGAGCCCCATAGGCCGTCCAAAGATGGCTAATCACTCTAATTAATTAATTAAAATTATTTTCTTTAGTTAACTGGTCGAGCATTCAACCAATACAAGATGCAATTAATTAATAGCCTGCTAAATTATGCAAACAAATTTTTTTCCACAATACTCTTAGTTGGCAAACACTTTTGAGCGCTGAAAAATCCTCTGTACAATTCAATTAGTCAATTGGTTGTAAAATTAGAAGAGTTTCAACGTCCGACCACTTAGCCAAAATCAAAATAAAATGACACATATCGCTTAACTTTGAGACTCGGATTAGATAAAAAGAGTTTTATGAAATATATATTTTAATATTTATTCTATTTAATTTTTAGAGTTTATTTAATAACTTTTATAATTTGAATCTAAAAAAAAAGGTATGCCATCTCTCACGATTTGGAATTAACATTTACTTAAAATTATTAATTTATATTTAAAGTGTTCAAATTCTCATCGATATATCGAGATTCGATTTATCGATTATTAAAAGAGCGAGATAAACATCGCTCGTTACACCAACCAACCACGTTTACTATTTTCTTGCGCTACAACAAACGCTCTTATTGGTAGAATAAAACTTGTCCATAAGAATGCATTATCTGCGGAGGTGTAACCGCACCATTAGGTTGAGTCCACAATAGGCAAGCAAATGCTTAAGTCCTAGGTTAAGTCGGGACTATGAATACCGCCCATAGTCAATCGGTCAGTGAATTGCAAAAATGTTAATTAAATTTAAAAGAGTGCGAAAAATTCGAAACAGACGGAGAAAAAAACGGCTTGACTTAAGATTCTGCCCGTGGAATATATCTAGGGCTCAGGTTAATACAGCTAGACGAAAATTAGGGTACAAGGACACAATATCAAATTGGAACTACCAGATATTTCGCAAAGACATTCAACGTGTCGACTTTCGTGCAACGAATAGCGAACCCTCGAGCAAATCACACTCCAGCGGAACAAAGGAGGAAATTGTAAAGGAGGAGGAGGAGGAGGATGAGCGTCAGTTGCTTCAAGACAAATTGAAAAATTTAAAAACTGGATATGATTCACGGCAAAAATACGAAGCATCAGTAAGAATAAATCTTGAAGCAGCAAAATTATTAAAAAATTTTAGAAATAATTATGTTTTAAACATATCTGAAAAATTCAAAAACATATCTGCATTGAAACACGCAGAAATTTTAGAATTATTATTAAAAAGCCCGACTTTGTTTTTCCGGAGTTGCATTCGATATTTAACAAATCGGCAATTCATTGAATTGCACCAAATGTTCATGCAATCAAAACTGATCTCAAATGCCTTTAGGCACTTTTGGAAATTGGAAAATCCAACAGTTAAATCAAAAATTAGTGATATTCTAATCGCAGTCTTCACTAAGGATGAAATTCGCAGAAAAAAATGTATAAAGGTATTTAAAATTTTCTTTAGTTAACTGGTCGAACAGTCACTTAATACAAGTAGTAGTTTGCAAACACTTTTAAGCTTCATTGATTTTCCATATATTTTGTACAATACTTAGTATATTGCAATTGTTGTACTAGTTATATGAAAAATCAATGAAGCAAGTTCTATAATTGCAATTACTCTCGTCAAAAGACAAATTATATGGGAACTTTCATTAAATTAAGGTATTTTAAAAAATCATATTTGTCCTTTGACGCGAGCAAATACAATTTTCATACTTGCTTTATGGATTTTCCATATATTATAATTTTCTGTACTGTCTCTTTTGCGTATATAATCTAATTTAATTTTAGACTGAAAACTCCAAAAAGTTGTGCTGTGCGCAACCCAAATCGAAAGAGGATCATGTGCACGTGAATAAGGCGAGCGTACCGGTCAGCTCGAGGACATTGAGAAGTGCCAAATCCAAATCTGCTTCCGTAAGTTGAAAACCTAAAATAAAATAATTAATTAGAATTAATTTTTACTTTAACTAAGTGGTCGGACATAAAAACTCGTCTAAATTTAAAACCAATTGACTAATTGAATTGTACAGAGGATTTTTCAGCGCTATTAATTAATTGCATCTTGTATTGGTTGAATGCTCGACCAGTTAACTAACTTTAACTAACATACAATCACGACTTTGGCAACGGTAAGTTTTATTATGCAGGTGATTGATTATTTCTTGCATTACGTAAATGTTCGACCAGTTAGGCAAACAAAATAATTTTAATTAATTAATTAGAGTGATTAGGCACCTTTGGACGGCCTATGGGGCTTAGATAATTTTCATTTTTGAATTCTGTTTAGATAGAAAAATAAAAAATATCTGAGCCCTGTAGGCCGTCCAAAGATGGCTAATCACTCTAATTAATTAATTAAAATATTCCTACTGTAAGAAAATTATAATTTTAGATTGAAGATCCGAAGAATCTGGTCACACAGGAACCAGTTGGTGATTTCTGTTCGGAACAGAATAAGGCGAGCGTACCGGTCAGCTCGAGGACATTGAGAAGTGCGAAATCCAAATCTGCTTCCGTAAGTTGAAAACCTAAAATAAAATAATTAATTGGAATTAATTTTTACTTTAACTAAGTGGTCGGACATAAAAACTCGTCTAAATTTAAAACCAATTGACTAATTGAATTGTACAGAGGATTTTTCAGCGCTCAAAAGTGTTTGCAAACTAAGCGTATTGTGGAAAAAAATTTGTTTGCAAAATTCAATTAGTCAATTGGTTGTAAAATTAGAAGAGTTTCAACGTCCGACCAGTTAGCGAAAATATAAAAAAAATTACACAAATCGTCTGGCTTTGAAAATTTATGTTTCCAAAATTTACTGGGCAGGTGATTATATTTGCTCGCGTCAAAGGACAAACTATATAAAAAGTTTCAGGAGTCAAAATTACCTTCAAAAATCATATGCACAATGTCACAGGTTACACTGTATAGTTTGTCCTTTAACAAGATACTGGTATGAAAAATACACTTGCTCTCGTCAAAGGACAAATTTGATTGTGTAAATTATTTTATTTTTCTGAAGATTCCCGTATAATTTGTCTTTTAACGAGAGTAATGGCAATTACAGAACTTGCTCTATTGATTTTCCATATAATTAGTACAACAATTGCAATATATTGAATGTTGTATTAAATATATGAAAAATCCATAAAGCCAGTATGAAGAAAGTATTTTCTCTCGTCAAAGGACAAACTATATAAAAAGTTTCAGGAGTCAAAATTACCTTCAAAAATCATATGCACAATGTCACAGCTCCACAAATTTTTGCACAAATTGGTTGGTCAATTAGTCTCAAAGTTAAGCGATATGTGTCATTTTATTTTGATTTTGGCTAAGTGGTCGGACGTTGAAAACGCTTCTAATTTTACAACCAATTGACTAATTGAATTGTACAGAGGATTTTTCAGCGCTCAAAAGTGTTTGCAAACTAAGAGTATTGTGAAAAAAAATTTGTTTGCATAATTTAGCAGGCTATTAATTAATTGCATCTTGTATTGGTTGAATGCTCGACCAGTTAACTAAAGAAAATAATTTTAATTAATTAATTAGAGTGATTAGCCATCTTTGGACGGCCTATGGGGCTCAGATATTTTTTATTTTTCTATCTAAACAGAATGCAAAAGGTCCGATTCACTTCCATAAAGATGGTGAAATTATTTTTTTAATCGTTGCCCTCTGAGCAACTGGAGCTATTCCCAGATAATATGACTGGTAATGATCAGAGAGCAACGATTAAAAAAATTTTTCCACCATCTTTATGGAATTGAATCGGACCTTTTGCATTCTGTTTAGATAGAAAAATAAAAAATATCTGAGCCCTGTAGGCCGTCCAAAGATGGCTAATCACTCTAATTAATTAATTAAAATATTCCTACTGTAAGAAAATTATAATTTTAGATTGAAGATGCGAAGAATCTGGTCACACAGGAACCAGTTGGTGATTTCTGTTTGGAACAGAATAAGGCGAGCGTACCGGTCAGCTCGAGGACATTGAGAAGTGCGAAATCCAAATCTGCTTCCGTAAGTTGAAAACCTAAAATAAAATAATTAATTGGAATTAATTTTTACTTTAACTAAGTGGTCGGACATAAAAACTCGTCTAAATTTAAAACCAATTGACTAATTGAATTGTACAGAGGATTTTTCAGCGCTATTAATTAATTGCATCTTGTATTGGTTGAATGCTCGACCAGTTAACTAACTTTAACTAACATACAATCACGACTTTGGCAACGGTAAGTTTTATTATGCAGGTGATTGATTATTTCTTGCATTACGTAAATGTTCGACCAGTTAGGCAAACAAAATAATTTTAATTAATTAATTAGAGTGATTAGGCACCTTTGGACGGCCTATGGGGCTTAGATAATTTTCATTTTTGAATTCTGTTTAGATAGAAAAATAAAAAATATCTGAGCCCTGTAGGCCGTCCAAAGATGGCTAATCACTCTAATTAATTAATTAAAATATTCCTACTGTAAGAAAATTATAATTTTAGATTGAAGATGCGAAGAATCTGGTCACACAGGAACCAGTTGGTGATTTCTGTTTGGAACAGAATAAGGCGAGCGTACCGGTCAGCTCGAGGACATTGAGAAGTGCGAAATCCAAATCTGCTTCCGTAAGTTGAAAACCTAAAATAAAATAATTAATTGGAATTAATTTTTACTTTAACTAAGTGGTCGGACATAAAAACTCGTCTAAATTTAAAACCAATTGACTAATTGAATTGTACAGAGGATTTTTCAGCGCTATTAATTAATTGCATCTTGTATTGGTTGAATGCTCGACCAGTTAACTAACTTTAACTAACATACAATCACGACTTTGGCAACGGTAAGTTTTATTATGCAGGTGATTGATTATTTCTTGCATTACGTAAATGTTCGACCAGTTAGGCAAACAAAATAATTTTAATTAATTAATTAGAGTGATTAGGCACCTTTGGACGGCCTATGGGGCTTAGATAATTTTCATTTTTGAATTCTGTTTAGATAGAAAAATAAAAAATATCTGAGCCCTGTAGGCCGTCCAAAGATGGCTAATCACTCTAATTAATTAATTAAAATATTCCTACTGTAAGAAAATTATAATTTTAGATTGAAGATCCGAAGAATCTGGTCACACAGGAACCAGTTGGTGATTTCTGTTCGGAACAGAATAAGGCGAGCGTACCGGTCAGCTCGAGGACATTGAGAAGTGCGAAATCCAAATCTGCTTCCGTAAGTTGAAAACCTAAAATAAAATAATTAATTGGAATTAATTTTTACTTTAACTAAGTGGTCGGACATAAAAACTCGTCTAAATTTAAAACCAATTGACTAATTGAATTGTACAGAGGATTTTTCAGCGCTCAAAAGTGTTTGCCAACTACGCATATTGTGGAAAAAATTTTAAAAAAATTTACTAGGCTGGTAATTAATTGCATCTTGTATTGGTTGAATGCTCGATCAGTTAGCTAAAGAAAATAATTTTAATTAATTAATTAGAGTGATTATTTTATTTCAATTGAAGTTTGGCAAATAATTCCCGACCATTTACGAATAAGAGACATTACTAGAAAATTTTAATTTTAGATTGAAGATGCGAAGAATCTCAACAAACAGGAATCAGTTGGTGATTTCTGCTCGGAACAGAAACTTCCTTCAGACTTGAATCTTTGTTTAGAACAAATGCTGAATTCTGCTTCCGTAAGTTGAATACCTAAGATAAAATAATTAATTATAATTAATTTTTTTCTAGGTAACTAGTCGAGTATAAAAACTCGTCTAATTTTGAAACTAATTGACTATTTGAATTGTACAGAGGAATTGAGTCGCATTGCACAGTAAGAAATCTCCTCACTTTGCATATTAAACAATTAAATTTTGAGAAATTAACATATTCTGCGCTATATAGTCCAGCGCTAACTCAGAGTCCCGCTCTAGAGCTCCTGATAGAGTTGAAAAATAAGGAGTTTTTTTGAAAATTTTCGCCACTTCATCTTCTAGAACCCCCTAATTTAAATTTTCCACATCATCGACAATTGTATCAGATAATTGCTGAGCGTGTTCAAGCAACATGGTAATACTGACCACTATACTCCTGAAGATGCCTCTCCTAAAGATGCTTCACTGCGTTTCGGAATTGCGTTTTATTGTACTTTAATTCATGGGCGATTTCCATCATCAAAGGATCATCTGGATTTGGATTTCCCAACAAAAGTTGAATTGCCGTTAATAGATTTTCTAGGGATATGGTAGGTTTCCAGCCACGGATATTAGAAATTTTATTCGTGGTGGTACGAACGGATACTTTTCGGATATGCTTACTTTCAATTTAAATAGTCCGCCTTCGTAAGGTGTTCCTTGAGGTCCAATAATGACAGCTGTTAAATTGTCCAACTTATCATCCTTTGCATAGCACGAAATTCCTTCTGGAGAATGTTCCGACAAACAAGCTAGTTTTTTTTAATTCGTGTTTTCTGAATTGCGGTCATTGTGGTGTAATATTTTCATCAAAAAAATATTAAGTAATTTAATTAAGTTATTAATTAATTTTACGAGATAAGGTTACTTCTTTTGAGTGTGGATTTGATTCTCATATTAAAATTATTAATATTTTTGATATTAAAACTTTCTTATACTAACAAATTCCCTCAATCCAAACATTTTTCCCGAACATTATTAGTCAATTGGTTTTAAAATTAGACGAGTTTTTACGTCCGACTAGTTAGCTAAAATATAAAAAATAAAATTACACAAATTGTCTAGCTTTGAAAACTTATGTTTGCAAAATTTGTAAATTTTGTAAAATTTTTTAAGGATGATGAGAAACTCGAGATGGGAGAATTCGAAAAATTCTTGCACTCAATAACGAATGCGAATACAACTGCTGCTTTCGTAAGTTGAATACCTAAAAAAAATCAATAATTATTTTTGTTTTTAATTATAAGCTGAAGGGTCAATCTCTAGAAAGGAACAAATTCAGAATTGAAATTTCATTTTAAAAAAAGTTGAAAAATCACTTTTATTATTAGTCCTGTGGCAAAAGGGAGATCTTAATAAGCCTATAAAATACGTGGTCACAATCTTTATCAACATTATTATTAAAAATTAATGTTTTTTATTCAGAATTTTTGTTGAAAATTTTTCGCAGCTAAATAGGTTTCAAAATTTATTAAAACTCGTTACTCAGGGGTTTTAGGGGTCACCGATTACGAATCCGATGTCAGTTTCTCAAAATACAAAATGGTGGATATAATATGGCGGACACTTTTTTGGAAAATTGAACGGATTTGCTTGAAACTCGATATTCGAGGGTTTTCGGGGTCGCTGATTATGAATTTCAAGTTATTTTTTGAAAATTTTAAATGGCGGATCCAATATGGCGGACACTTTTTTCAAAAATTCATCAGGTTTTCTTGAAATTCGTTATTCGGGGGTTTTCGAGGTTGCTGATTACAAATCCGATGTTAGTTTTATTTCTGCACAAAACTAATTTAATTCTAGGAAAAAATACCTAACAAATATTTTACTTTATTCTTCATGATTCAATTACAAATAAAATAATAAGTAGATATTACCGGGCAAAAGATTTTTTTGCATTACAGAATTAATATAATACCTTTTCTACAAATGAAACTTACTTCATGAACGGTAACGGAGGGGAGTTTTTATGCTACATAAACACGTGTATCTTTAAATATTTCAAATTTTCGATTTATTTTTCATAGGATCCGATTAAATCATGATGAATGCTATTATTAGGACATAAAAGTTTTTAAAAATTATTATTATTTATTTAAAAAAATCTAATGTACGTGTCATTTGTCCCGATTGTGAGAATGACCCTGAAATATAAATAATTAATAATAATTTTTACAGATTCTTCGGAAAGATGCGTCTTATTGCTTTATTAGGAGTATCAAACTTTTTAGTGCGCATTACCTTTCTATTATGAACTTCCACAACAGTCATGTCGCGTTTGAAGTATCTTTGGAAGATTGTGGTCATCATATTTTAAATTTCAATGCCTACCAATTAGAGGTTTTGTCGATGATCCTGCACTTGTGTAGCAATCACAATGAAAAGAAGGTTCCTCGTGGGAGGCCCTCCGGAAAAAATCTGCCTGTTCAAAAACCTTTTTACGGCAATGTCAGAAATTATAAATTCAATTTTGATGAATCGATATGTAATATTTATACATATATGTGCCAGATGTTTGAAGAAACATTTCTTAAGTGTGAAATTGTTTCAATCGCAAAGAGTGTTCTTTGGTTCTTGAGTAAGGGTTCCATGAACTCTGTGATTATTATATCTTACGCGAACAAAACAATGATTCAGCGCCTGCTCAAGAAACATAAAAGGCGAATTATGAGTCTTTCAGCTTCTGACGCGACAGAAGATTTCAACCATGAATCTCACATCACAAATTTGCTTAGTAAGTCATAGTTAACAATATTTTCCTACATGTGTCAAATATAGAACTCTATCTTATCGCCCATATTTAATTTGTTGATAATATAACTATTTTTCATAATTTCTAATAAATCAAAGATATATGACCAATTCCCAAAATTTCAAATCCATATCGTTTCTGGTTTAGGCTTATGAGATATCCCGTGAATATCCTATTCTGATCCCGGATTGTCCCAGGGATGTCCCAGGGATATCCTTTTGTTGTGAGGGATTAATCACGTGGAAAAAAATAAATAAAATTTACTGACTCTTTTCTTGATGTCGGTAAATTTCATTAATTTTTTTTAACTTGATTAAGCCTATACCAGAAATGATATCGAGATGAACTTTTGAGAATTGGTTTAGAAAGTTTTCAAATCAATCATGAATCTTCTATCTACGAAAAATTTTGAAAAACAATAATATTAACTAACCAAATATGGGAGATAAGATAGAATTCTATATTTTATCCCAAAGATCTAGGATAAAACCTCAACAATTTTTCGCAGTTAATTTTGACAACCTCAAGCAAAATCCTACCTCTCTCATTCCGTGGGATGATATTTTTGTATCAACAAATTTCGTAGTGCAAACCATTACGAAGGAGGACAAAATTTGCCCAATAGACACAACAGAAGAAATCATGGACAGATATTTCAAAATTGAAAGTGACACAGTCAGTAAAGTAGTTTTCGCAGTTATTAAAAAACTCCTTTGCAAACTTGCGGAGATGTCTCAAAAATTTTGTATCTTGAGAATAGTATCCAAAGAGAAATGTTTTCAAACATTCTTCGAAACAGTTCATATTCTATACGACCTCATTGCACCAGATATCCTACCTCATCTTAAAAAAATACCATTGTATGAATCGGCAGTCCATACAATCACGACTTTGGCAACGGTAAGTTTTATTATGCAGGTGATTGATTATTTCTTGCATTACGTAAATGTTCGACCAGTTAGGCAAACAAAATAATTTTAATTAATTAATTAGAGTGATTAGGCACCTTTGGACGGCCTATGGGGCTTAGATAATTTTCATTTTTGAATTCTGTTTAGATAGAAAAATAAAAAATATCTGAGCCCTGTAGGCCGTCCAAAGATGGCTAATCACTCTAATTAATTAATTAAAATATTCCTACTGTAAGAAAATTATAATTTTAGATTGAAGATCCGAAGAATCTGGTCACACAGGAACCAGTTGGTGATTTCTGTTCGGAACAGAATAAGGCAAGTGCACTGGAGTCGAATGAGCTGACATCACTAAAATCAAAGTGCCGAAAGGAAGAGGGCGGTAGCCCCTGGAAGGAAGTGCGGCTAAAAAGAGGAATCTTTAAGGTAATCAAAATTCCTTCAAGAGCCATAAAATCCTTTGCACAATTCAATTAGTCTCAAAGTTAATCGATATGTGTCATTTTATTTTGATTTTAGCTAAGTGATCGGACATAAAAATTCGTCTAATTTTAAAACCAATTGACTAATTGAATTGTCCAGAGGATTTTTCAGCGCTCAAAAGTGTTTGCAAACTAAGAGTATTGTGAAAAAAAATTTGTTTGCATAATTTAGCAGGCTATTAATTAATTGCATCTTGTATTGGTTGAATGCTCGACCAGTTAACTAAAGAAAATAATTTTAATTAATTAATTAGAGTGATTAGCCATCTTTGGACGGCCTATGGGGCTCAGATATTTTTTATTTTTCTATCTAAACAGAATGCAAAAGGTCCGATTCACTTCCATAAAGATGGTGAAATTATTTTTTTAATCGTTGCCCTCTGAGCAACTGGAGCTATTCCCAGATAATATGACTGGTAATGATCAGAGAGCAACGATTAAAAAAATTTTTCCACCATCTTTATGGAATTGAATCGGACCTTTTGCATTCTGTTTAGATAGAAAAATAAAAAATATCTGAGCCCCATAGGCCGTCCAAGGATGGCTTATCACTCTAATCAATTAATTAAAATATTCCTACTGTAAGAAAATTATAATTTTAGATTGAAGATGCGAAGAATCTGGTCACACAGGAACCAGTTGGTGATTTCTGTTCGGAACAGAATAAGGCAAGTGCACTGGAGTCGAATGAGCTGACATCACTAAAATCAAAGTGCCGAAAGGAAGAGGGCGGTAGCCCCTGGAAGCAAGAGCGGCTAAAAAGAGGAATCTTTAAGGTAATCAAAATTCCTTCAAGAGCCATAAAATCCTTTGCACAATTCAATTAGTCTCAAAGTTAATCGATATGTGTCATTTTATTTTGATTTTAGCTAAGTGATCGGACATAAAAATTCGTCTAATTTTAAAACCAATTGACTAATTGAATTGTCCAGAGGATTTTTCAGCGCTCAAAAGTGTTTGCAAACTAAGAGTATTGTGAAAAAAAATTTGTTTGCATAATTTAGCAGGCTATTAATTAATTGCATCTTGTATTGGTTGAATGCTCGACCAGTTAACTAAAGAAAATAATTTTAATTAATTAATTAGAGTGATTAGCCATCTTTGGACGGCCTATGGGGCTCAGATATTTTTTATTTTTCTATCTAAACAGAATGCAAAAGGTCCGATTCACTTCCATAAAGATGGTGAAATTATTTTTTTAATCGTTGCCCTCTGAGCAACTGGAGCTATTCCCAGATAATATGACTGGTAATGATCAGAGAGCAACGATTAAAAAAATTTTTCCACCATCTTTATGGAATTGAATCGGACCTTTTGCATTCTGTTTAGATAGAAAAATAAAAAATATCTGAGCCCCATAGGCCGTCCAAGGATGGCTTATCACTCTAATTAATTAATTAAAATATTCCTACTGTAAGAAAATTATAATTTTAGATTGAAGATGCGAAGAATCTGGTCAAACAGGAACCAGTTGGTGATTTCTGTTCGGAACAGAATAAGGAGAGCACACCGGTAAGCTCGCGGACATTAAAAGGTGCCAAATCCAAATCTGCTTCCGTAAGTTAAATACCTAAAATAAAATAATTAATTAGAATTAATTTTTACTTTAGGTAACTAGTCGAACGTAAAAACTCGCCTCATTTTTAAATTAATGGACAAATTGAATTGTGCAAATGATTTTTCATCGCTTAAAAGTGTTTGCAAACAACGCATATTGTGAAAAAAATTTTAATAAAATTTACTAGGCTGGTAATTAATTGCATCTTGTATTGGGTAAATGATCGACCAATACAAGATGCAATTAATTACCAGCCTAGTAAATTTTGCCACATTACGCGTAGTTTGCAAGTACTTTTAATCGCTGAAAAATCCTTTGCACAATGCAATTAGTCAATTAATTTCAAAATTAGAGGAGTTTTTACGTCCGACCAGTTATCTAAAATATAAAAAATTAAATTACACAAATCGTCTAGCTTTGAAAATTTATGTTTGCAAAATTTATTATTTTTCAGGGAAGCCAGTTACGCACTATCAGGCCGCAGCGGAAGACTGCTTCAAATTTGAAAAGCGATAGAGAAGCTTTAATGAAAATTAAAATTTTAGATAATTGCCAAGATGGGCTGACTATTAAAGACTGCGGACAGAAAGGACGAGGAGTTTTTACAACAAAATGTTTCGAGAAAGATGAGTTTGTGGTTGAATACGTTGGGCGCCTTTTGAGTGGGCATGAAGGGACTCAGCTCGAACGTCTTCAAGGGGATGGAGAAGGCACAAGATTTTATCTTTACTATTTTTATTTCAAAGAAAAATGTTTTTGCATTGACGCAACAGCTGAGTCAAATTACTTGGGGCGTTTGATTAATCATTCGCGAAAGAACCCCTTGCTTCTTTCCAAAGTTGTTGAAGTAGAGTCGTTGCCGAGACTGGTATTTGTTGCGAAGAGTTTCATTCCAGTAGGGGTTGAACTCACTTATGATTACGGGGAGACCAGGAAACATATCTTAGATGTTAATCCGTGGTTGAAAAACTGCTAAAATGTAACAGTGAGTATAATAATTAATTATTAATTGAACCGCCGGCGACCAAAAGGGCGTGCTCACGGTTTTCGTTAGCCCCTCGCGCAGCCGTAAAATCGCTGTACGCGGGGCCAACGAAAGTCATGCGTATGCCCTTTTTGTCGCCGGCGGTTCAATTACAGACTCTTATGAATTAATTGAAGAAAAAAAATTATTTTCCACAATTTGCATAGTTGGCAAATATGTATAGTAAACTGTATAGTTTGTCCTTTGACGAGAGAAAATACTTTCTTCATACTGGCTTTATGGATTTTTCATATATTTAATACAACATTCAATATATTGCAATTGTTGTACTAATTATATGGAAAATCAATAAAGCAAGTTCTGTAATTGCAATTACTCTCGTTAAAAGACAAATTATATGGGAATCTTCAGAAAAATAAAATAATTTACACAATCAAATTTGTCCTTTGACGAGAGCAAGTGTTTTTTTTCATACCAGTATCTTGTTAAAGGACAAACTATACAGTGTAACCTGTGACATTGTGCATATGATTTTTGAAGGTAATTTTCACTCCTGAAACTTTTTATATAGTTTGTCACAAATTGGTTGGTCAATTAGTCTCAAAGTTAAGCGATATGTGTCATTTTATTTTGATTTTAGCTAAGTGGTCGGACGTTGAAACTCTTCTAATTTTACAACCAATTGACTAATTGAATTGTACAGAGGATTTTTCAGCGCTCAAAAGTGTTTGCCAACTAAGAGTATTGTGAAAAAAATTTGTTTGCAAAATTTAGCAGGCTATTAATTAATTGTATCTTGTATTGGTTGAATGCTCGACCAGTTAACTAAAGAAAATATTTTTAATTAATTAATTAGAGTGATTAGCCATCCTTGGACGGCCTATGGGGCTCAGATATTTTTTATTTTTCTATCTAAACAGAATGCAAAAGGTCCGATTCAATTCCATAAAGATGGTGGAAAAATTTTTTTAATCGTTGCTCTCTGATCATTACCAGTCATATTATCTGGGAATAGCTCCACTTGCTCAGAGGGCAACGATTAAAAAAATAATTTCACCATCTTTATGGAAGTGAATCGGACCTTTTGCATTCTGTTTAGATAGAAAAATAAAAAATATCTGAGCCCCATAGGCCGTCCAAAGATGGCTAATCACTCTAATTAATTAATTAAAATTATTTTCTTTAGTTAACTGGTCGAGCATTCAACCAATACAAGATGCAATTAATTAATAGCCTGCTAAATTATGCAAACAAATTTTTTTCCACAATACTCTTAGTTGGCAAACACTTTTGAGCGCTGAAAAATCCTCTGTACAATTCAATTAGTCAATTGGTTGTAAAATTAGAAGAGTTTCAACGTCCGACCACTTAGCCAAAATCAAAATAAAATGACACATATCGCTTAACTTTGAGACTAATTGACCAACCAATTTGTGCAAAAATTTGTGGAGCTGTGACATTGTGCATATGATTTTTGAAGGTAATTTTGACTCCTGAAACTTTTTATATAGTTTGTCCTTTGACGAGAGAAAATACTTTCTTCATACTGGCTTTATGGATTTTTCATATATTTAATACAACATTCAATATATTGCAATTGTTGTACTAATTATATGGAAAATCAATAGAGCAAGTTCTGTAATTGCCATTACTCTCGTTAAAAGACAAATTATACGGGAATCTTCAGAAAAATAAAATAATTTACACAATCAAATTTGTCCTTTGACGAGAGCAAGTGTATTTTTCATACCAGTATCTTGTTAAAGGACAAACTATACAGCGTAACCTGTGACATTGTGCATATGATTTTTGAAGGTAATTTTGACTCCTGAAACTTTTTATATAGTTTGTCCTTTGACGAGAGAAAATACTTTCTTCATACTGGCTTTATGGATTTTTCATATATTTAATACAACATTCAATATATTGCAATTGTTGTACTAATTATATGGAAAATCAATAAAGCAAGTTCTGTAATTGCAATTACTCTCGTTAAAAGACAAATTATATGGGAATCTTCAGAAAATAAAAATAATTTGAACAATCAAATTTGTCCTTTGACGAAAGCAAGTGTATTTTTCATACCAGTATCTTGTTAAAGGATGGCTAATCACTCTAATTAATTAATTAAAATTATTTTCTTTAGTTAACTGGTCGAGCATTCAACCAATACAAGATGCAATTAATTAATAGCCTGCTAAATTTTGCAAACAAATTTTTTTCCACAATACTCTTAGTTGGCAAACACTTTTGAGCACTGAAAAATCCTCTGTACAATTCAATTAGTCAATTGGTTGTAAAATTAGACGATTTTTCGGACGTAAAATCAGTTAGCTAAAGAAAATAATTTTAATTAATTAGAGTGATTAGATATTTTTTATTTTATTTTCTACATTTGAAAAAACATTTGAATGTAGTTAAGTTTCTCGCCAGCAGATGGCAACAGAACTAAGCAGCGATCAGCGAATGAGTCGACCTTCTACGCCTTCTACACTGTGACAAAATTGGACGAACAGTTGCGCTGCTAAAACAAAACAAACAAACAATAAAAAGAAAACAGTAATCGTTGGCATCTTTCCAAAGTCCCTCTTCAATCATGAGTGAAGAAAAAAATGTTCTACAGTACAATGACGAATATTTCGCCAGAGATTTTCTTGCTCTATGCAAAATCTATTTTTGGAGTGAGGAAAATGAGAAGAAAAATATAAACTTATCAAACAGTGAACATTTAAAAGTGATTCGGGAACAAGCATTTGGCTTGACGGGAGCTGTGACTGAAGCGACGCTGCAATCTTTGGGTTGTTTTCTTCGCAATAACACAGGATTAGACTTGCATACGACGGATCTCCTGTCACATTCTCCTCTTTTGTGCGGGCGATATTTACTTGTATAGTAAGTAAAACAATTAATTAATAATTCAAGACTCTAATGAATTAATTAACTAATTGAATTGTACAGAGGATTTTTTAGCGCTCAAAAGTGTTTGCCAACTAAGAGTATTGTGAAAAAAATTTGTTTGCAAAATTTAGCAGGCTATTAAATTAATTGCATCTTGTATTGGTTGAATGCTCGACCAGTTAACTAAAGAAAATAATTTTAATTAATTAATTAGAGTGATTAACCATCTTTGGACGGCCTATGGGGCTCAGATATTTTTTATTTTTCTATCTAAACAGAATGCAAAAGGTCCGATTCAATTCCATAAAGATGGTGGAAAAATTTTTTTAATTTTGCTCTCTGATCATTACCAGTCATATTATCTGGGAATAGCTCCACTTGCTCAGAGGGCAACGCTTAAAAAAAATAATTTCACCATCTTTATGGAATTGAATCGGACCTTTTGCATTCTGTTTAGATAGAAAAATAAAAAATATCTGCCTGCTAAATTTTGCAAACAAATTTCTTTCCACAATACGCTTAGTTTGCGCCAGAATGCACATGAAATTTCTTTTAAACTGAAATATTCTAATTGTAGTGCTAAATATGTTGCCATCACTAAATATTCCTACTGTAAGGCTATATCGTCATAGTGTTTACAAAAAAAGAATAACTTTGAAGTATTTATTTAAAAATTATTTTTTCTATTGAAATCTGTCTCTTTTGAATAAATGGTCGGGAATTATTTGCCTTATTTCAATTGAAAAAAAAGAAAAACTTTCAACTATTTATTTAAAAATTTATTTGAGAAAGAAATTAAATATTCGCAAATTGGTTAAAAAATATCTTTTTTTTCAACTGAAGTGGGGCAAATGATTGCCGACCATTTACGAATAAGACGCAGTACTAGAAAATTGTGCGCACAATTAGAATACTGTCTCTTTTGAATAAATGGTCGGGAATTATTTGCCCTATTTCAATTGAAAAAAAAGAATAAGTTTCAAATATTTATTTAAAAATTTATTTGAGAAAGAAATTAAATATTCGCAAATTGGTTGAAAAATATTTTTTTTTCAATTGAAGTGAGGCAAATAATTGCCGACCATTTACGAATAAGAGGCAGTACTAGAAAATTGTGCGCACAATTAGAATACTGTCTCTTTTGATTAAATGGTCGGGAATTATTTGCCCTATTTCAATTCAAAAAAAAGAATAACTTTTAAATATTTATTTATTCCTACAGTTATTATGCAAAACATCCAAATGTTAAGGCAAAGTCGATTGGGAACATTGGGGTTTCAACGGTAGATAAGTTTCTGGAATGGCTGCTTCGTGATTTTTTGGACGGCGAGAGTGAACACGAGGATATTCTCGCGGACCACCTGAGAAGTCTTTATCGGATTGGAAAAACTAACAATTTGCTCACCCTGAAATACATTGCAGAGAACAGGATCACCATAGGCGAGTTGGAAAGTGCAACAAGAACATTTTTAAATTACTTGTAAGTTACTAGAAGGCTAGGCTGGTAATTAATTGCATCTTGTATTGGTTGAATGTTCGACCAGTTAGCTAATCAAAATAATTTTAATTAATTAATTAGAGTGATTAGCCATCTTTGGACGGTCTATGGGGCTCAGATATTTTTTATTTTTGCATTCTGTTGAGGTAAAAAAATAAAAAATATCTGAGCCCCATAGGACGTCCAAAGATGGCCAAATTTTGCGAACAAAATTTAGTAGTTTGCAAAATTTACTGGGCAGGTGACTGATTGTTTTTTGTATTATTGTTCTAGCCTCTTTACTTTCTACGAGTTGTATTCGTTTGAGGAAGAGCATGCTCACTATGCTATAAAGGAAGAAATTGTTTTCCCGGATGAGAGTCCCATCAACATGGTCCCTGGATTGCCAGAACCACTTCCGGTGGAAGTGTCTAGGGAACCAAGGGATTTTAGAACTTTGGTCAACGAATTGGACCAGGCCGGAAGGCAGCGCTACATATCCAGTAAGCGAGGCAAGGAGCCGTCGCCACCAACTGCTCCTAGAAAAAAGAGAGGACTGGAAGATGGACATTCATTTTTGGCTACAGTTTGGTGTAAATGTAGTACATCATTACAAGGAAGGATATGAGGAATTATCGACTATTGGGTGTCGATTGGACACAGAATGGGAGGATTTAAAAACATACAATCCATATCAAATCTTGTTAATGAAGATGATATTGGATAATATGTCAGTCTCAGTTCACCTATTATCGAAAATCGTCACAGTCGTTGGAGACGTCACAGTTGTCACAGTCGTCACGGGCGTTACAATTGTCGATACGTGTGTCGTTGTTGAAAAATGGAAAAGTCGAGATAAGAGGTATTCCGACATTTAATAATGCCCTAAATAAGGACAAATTAGAAGAATTTCAATATGCAGCAATGTTGTTCTTCCTTCCAGGTAAAATTATACGATTATAATAAAAATTAACAATTATAGACACTGCTAAATGTCTACATTTATAATTTTTTGTAGGAATGTCGCTTCTTCAAAAAGAAGGAGAAGAAACAATTATTAAAGAGGACACAAAACCGGTTGTAATAAAACAAGATGGAACAAAAGCGACATGCCATGCGGGTAAGAATTCCAACACACAGTTTCTATTCATGGTGGCTATATTATAAATTTTTTTAGGTCCTTCATGTCCCTGCACGAATAGGGAAATGTTTCAATTTTTATATGATCGCGATTTACAATGTAATTGCATCACCCAAGTGCTGTCATCTGTAAATAGAATGGGGGAAAATCTTGTTTTAAAACAAGAAAAACCCCCATTGGAAAAGCTCATTTTGTATTGCACCTCGGTTGCGTGTGGTTGCAATGGCTCCTCCGAAATGTTTGTCGTTGTTTCCCATTACTAATGTAGTGAAATGTGAATATGTTACTAGGTTAAAAGTTTGCGGTTGGCGTAAAAGCAGTGGAATTTCGTGGATAAATGATCTTGATGTTTATGAGTGGTTTGCGGAAGACGATAGTAAAGGATTAGGAGATGTCTTTAACAGTGATTTGAGTGATTTGAGTGATGTGTCAGAGAGGTGGACGATCATGTTTAGCGAAGAAGAGAAACTTTATACTGCTCTGATGCAGAGAAAGGAGCAATCATTTAGATTTTATTATATAACTAAATTAACGGAATTCCTTTCAAAGATGTATTCTGTTAAACACACAGACATCCTTTACTTCTTTTTAAGATACCCGGAACTTTTTTTTGAGACCTCTTTTCGAGTCCTCGACATTGACGAATTTTTTAATCTGTGGAACATTCTACATCATTCAGAAAAAGTTCAAAAAATTCTCAAGTTTTTTATTAATTTCAAGAGTTATCCTAATTTAAAAAATCTACAAAATTTTGTTGAACTGAAATTAGCTACAGGAAGGCAGATGACGAGAAACGTTTTTAACGATAATGTCGTTTGAAATTTCTGTTTATCTATAACAGCTTGCAAATTGATTCTTTCATTTGTGAGTATTAATTATAATTATAATTTTTTTTAAGTTGAACCTATGACCCGCGTAAAAAGACAGACAATTCATTAATATTGATTCCTTATTTTTTTTACTGTTTAACAGTTTTTGCGAGGAAATGGGGGAGACAGTCTGAAAGTTTTTCTTCAATTCAGTCAAAAAGTAATTTCTCAGTATGACCACTTTCAGAGCAGTACTACATACTTTCTCTTATCTCAAGACAAAATACTGCATCCCATTCTAAGTAATCATTTTCTAAGTAATCCCTGTACGATGAGGAAGCTTACACTTTCATCAGGAAAATCATTACATTCTATCAGAAAAATTTGATTTTAAAAAGAGACGCCGATCGTTCTAAACCCATCGCCAATAATCTAGGAATTGTTGATAATCTAGGAATTTTTTTATTTATTTTTTTACAAATATTTGTTTATCACTTTCAGAGCAGTACTACATACTTTCTCTTATCTCAAGACAAAATACTGCATCCCATTCTAAGTCTTAATAGTTATCAAATTGCTTTGTTGGAAGAAATTCTTACTTCTCGTGTTAAATCAGTTATGGCGATGAATCAAAGGTCTCCACCCAGAGTGCAGTGGATAAAGGAAGAATTAAATAGTTCCCTCTCTATCAGTGATCTAGAAGCTTTATTAAAGTAATGTATACTCTATTTTTCTGGCTCTACGTCCAAGGACTAACCTTATGCCTTCACAAACAGAAATGTGAATATTATTTTCAAAAAGAACAATGCCTCCTGAAGCGTCCCATAAGGTCAGTCTTTTGACGTGGAGCCAAAATATTCCTTTGACACTATGTCTTCATGCTCCACATCGGAGGGCCAAATATATATATGGTCCTCCGATGTGGAGCATGAAGTCAGTGCCAGAAGAATATTTTAGGCTCTACATCGGAGGACCAAATATATATTTGGTCCTCCGATGTGGAGCCTGAAGACATAGTGCCAAAGGAATATTTTTTGGCTCTACATCCGAGGACCAAATATATATTTGGTCCTCCGATGTAGAGCATGAAGACATAGTGCCAAAGGAATATTTATTGGCTCCACGTCAGAGGACACAGGTTTTAACTTACATTATTTGTATTCTTCTTAGGGGAGTGGATGATCCGGTAATTAAACAAGAGAAAGCTATTGACGATTCATATAAAATTAATGTTCCCTTGGAATCATTGCTAATAGACACGGAAAGGTTCTATGGTACATCGAAGCCTTATGTCGTGAAAAATTTCACTTATGAAACCGATAGTAGTGTGTTAAGAAGAGAAATGTCGATGAAGACAAACGAAATGTTTACAAAGTGTGAAATTGAATTCATGTTGAAAAAAGTGGTTGATATTCTGGAAAAATCCCTGTACGATGAGGAAGCTTACACTTTCATCAGGAAAATCATTACATTCTATCAGAAAAATTTGATTTTAAAAAGAGACGCCGATCGTTCTAAACCCATCGCCAATAATCTAGGAATTGTTTTGTATTCATCAATTTGGGATAATCCGTTAACATCATTCATTCCTTTGGATTCATTTTTTTTAAATGATGTTTTTGCATTATTAAAATTAAAAGATTATTTGATTTCATTAAAAGTATTACCTGAACTGACATTGCAATTTTGCAAACGCCTGCGGCTAAAAGTATTCAAATTAACGAACGTAATATCATCTAAAGTTGATGAATTTCTTTTGCTGTTTTTTATTCGAATGGGGGGAATAGATAGATTTTTAGAGAATTGGCAAAATTTATGTCCAAGAATTGCAGTTTCTTTTATCTTACAAGAGCAGTAAGTATAAACTAATAAGTAGATATGTAATTCAATTCTGAAGCGTCCCATATAGTTGGTACTCTGACGTGGAGCCAAAAATATTCATTTGGCACTGTCTTCAGGCTCCACGTCAGAGGACCAAATATATATGTGGTCCTCCGATGTGGAGCCTGAAGACATAGTGCCAAATGAATATTTTTGGCTCCACATCGGAGGACCAACAATATGGGACGCTTTAGGATTGATTATATATTATATATTTTTTTAGGATGAATTGTTGCTGGACTTCACCAGATGAGGAACTTATCCGAAAGTATTTTTCAAACTGCGATTTGAATAGGAAATTACTGAGACAGATTTTGATCAATTTAATGATTTTGAATATTCCATTAAATTTCAATAATGTCACTGAAAAAGAAAAGTACAATTTCACTCAGATCAGAAATTTCAAAATCACTAATCTGTTGGGTCCAATATTCCAAATCATTAACACATTTAAGTTACAGATTCCAAATTAGGAATCCAATAAAGGAAAACGTAAATATATAAGGAAAATGTAACATTTAAAACTGCGCGAAGCGCGACGACTACTTCTCGCGCACACCGAGGCGCGCTAAAACTTGCGAGCAGAGCGAGCCCCCGCGCAAAGTGCATATGAAAATGTTTTCGCCCATGAGGGCAACATATTTTTTTCAATTGAATTCTTGTAAATAGTCGCATATTTTTTAACAATAGTGTAATAAATTAAATTTTAATTTTTAAACATTTTTAATGGTTAAAAATGGTTTTACTCGAAATATATATAAACGTCAAGATTTTTGGAAACCAAAATCGAAAATGTAAAAATTATCTTCCTATGTATACACAATTTTAAAAATTGTTTAAAAGCTTAAAACCAAAAAAGTACTCAAAAATGTTCGTTTAAATACATCTGAAGAGGGCGCAGAATTCTGCGCCAAAAACGCGTCATGTATTGATATAAATAAAAAATGAAAGCCATTAGGCCACAAAAAAGCATACATATTTAATCAAATATTAGTGGCCCAAAAATAAGAAGTATATTATTATTATATTATTAATATTATTATATTATTATTAGTATATCACCATCTAATAAATTTAAATACTTAAGTGCTAATAAAATAAGAAAAGGGTAAAGCAAAATATTACTTACCTTATATGTAGAGCACCACAAGGACTAAAATTAATGTTTGCGCTTTCATCAACATTTTTAAAAAGAGTTTTAACATTCTCAATATTCAAGTCTTTTTGTAAAGGAACTATTGTTACTAAAATTGGCGGTGCTTCAAAACTACCAAATCGTCGTTTGGCTTTTAAAATTTCATCTCGTTTATTTTGACGTATTTGTTGTGCCTGATGACGTCGGGCTTCTTTGCCTAATTCACCTTTCATGCGTTTTGAAAGTGTTTTTACATTAACCTTTCCTAAAATTAAAGTTACAATAACATTAACTCCATCTTATGGATGAAAAAAGTAGTGAAGCATTAAATTTATGTCAAAGGAAGAAACAAATATTACATTTAAATTCAGTTGGTTGAAAATTCTAATTTAAGCAAACATTAAACGGAAATATTAAAAAAAACTAATGTCTGATTCGGTAACACTAACAGGGACTGCTAAAACCCGAAAGTAACGATTTTTCGCAAATATTTTAACTTTTTGGTTTTTGGCAGAAAATCAGGATCCCTGAACCAATGTGTAACATACAAAAATCCGTGAGACATCCGGAAGTGTATGTGCCTTTTAGGGCATTTTATTAAAATTTAATATTAACAATCTATATCTTGTAAATAAATTTTCCTCTTTTTGCAATTCAAGCAATAGAACCTGGATCTTCAAATGAAACAGCTCATATCAATCACAATATTTTGAATAGATGCAGCACTGTCGTTAATAATATCGAATTCGTGAAAGCAATTTTTTCAATTGTAACATAATTAATCTTTTAATTTTATATTAATAGCATAAATAATAAAAAATAAATATAACATAAATATTTATAATAAATATAAAAAATAATATAAAAAAGAATCATAAATATAATTTTAATGTGACATTTTATTATTAAAATACTTCCAGGGGATTAATTCCGAGAGATGTGGATTAATGGAACATAATTTCAGGGTGGTAATGGATTAGACAATTCTTTATTCAACTGGACTTTATTTTATCTAACAGACAATTTTTTGTTTAATTAGATAAATCTTTGTTCTAAAATAATTTATTGAATTATAATTAAATATTATATATTATATTCTAATATAAAATTAGTGTACAAAATAACAAATTTCAGAACAACCACATTATACTTTAATAAAATGAACTGAGAGAAACATACATTTCAGGATATCCCACAAATTATATTCTTGGAGTGTCGAAAATATTTTTTATATTATTTTTAAATTCTATGTTTTATAAAATATCCAATTATTTACGATTTTTCAATACAAAAATTTTTTTTAGGTTGACTCATCCTACCAATAAATATTCACGTGGACAGATATGGTTGGGAGGAATTGACAAAAGACCACGATGGGGGGTATCAAAAGGTGATAAAAAATTGTTCACGAGGTATACGTACGATCCCATAATATATTTTATACATTTTTTCTCAAAACACTTTGTAATTTTCGGGAAAAATACAAAGAAACTTGCAGCACTATGAATGCCGACTAAACTTAAATTTTTCTTCAAAACTTTTTTTCCTGACATTTTCCTGACTTAACTGACATGAGGCCACCCTGAATAAAAAATTTAGATAAATCGCAAAGTAAAAACCCAGTAAGTTGCATTTGCCGTTGAGGCGAAAGTCGCTTAAACGGTAACCGATTTTGAACCTTATGGCAAATGCGACTTACTATAGGTTTTTACTTTGGGCAGCAGAATTTGTGGATGATAATTTTTATTGACAATTTTTTTGATATTATCATTTTTTGAAGAATGATTTTTCACTAGATAATAGTGATATTCCATAACGATTCTCAGGTGTATAAACCTACAAGTACCACTTTCACAAAAAAATTTTCCTGTATACCAGAATTAAGAACTAATTTAGTGCTAATTTAGTACCATATTTAAAAATTTAGAGCTGCTAAACTTTTTTAAAAAATGTATGGTTGAGATTGAGGATAATTTTTGGAAAATTCTTCTTAATGATATGTTAGAGCACTAAATTAATTCACAATTCCTGTGAAAGAGATTTTTAAAAATTCTTACTTTTTAGTGTACCATACGTTTTCCTAAAAAGTTTAACAGCTCTTAATTTTTATATATGGTACTAGATTAGCACTAAATTAGTTCTAAATTCCTGTGAAAGAGTTTTTTAAAAATTGTTATTTTTTACGGTATGGTACTTGTAGCTATATATACGTCAAGCCAGTAGTACCATACGTTTTCCTAAAAAGTTCAACAGCTCTAAATTTTTATATATGGTACTAAATTAGCACTAAATTAGTTTTGAATTACTACGAAATTTTTTTTGGAAAAATATGCTTTTTTATTTTCGTTAGGTAGTTTTTGAGGTTAAGGGTAGTTTTGGAAAAATGTTCATGTCATGAAATTCTACATTTACAACTTGATTAATTTATTAACCACTTAACTGCCGGCTGAAAAACACTAAATGTGCCCAGAATGCCAAGAATAAAAAATCGTCAAATTTGTTTGAAATTTGTTACTCGGGGCTTTTGGGGTCGCTGATTACGAATCTGATGTCGGTTTTTCAAAATTCAAAATGGCGGATCCAATATGGCGGACGGATTTTTAAAAATTGATCTAATTTACCTGAAATTTGTTACTCAACGGTTTTCGAGGTCGCTGATTACGAATATGATGTCGGTTTTTCAAAATTCAAAATGGTGGATCCAATATGACGGACATTTTTTTTTTAAATTTTGGATTCACTTGAAAATTATCATTAGGGGGTTTTCGGGGTCGCTGATGATGAATCCGATGTCAGTTTTTAAAAATTAAAAATTGCGGATCCAATATGGTGCAAATTTTTTTTTTATTTTGTATTCGCTTGAAACTTGTCACCCGGGGATTTTTTGGGGTCGCTGATGACGATTTCTATGACAGTTTTTCAAAATTCAAAATGGAGGGTCCATTATGTCGGATATTTTTTTTTAATTTTGGATTTTCTTGAAAATTATCACTCGGGGGTTTTTGGTGTCGCTGATGACGAATCGGATGTCTCTTTTAAAAAATTCAAAATGTCGGATCCAATATGGCGGACATTTTTTTTTAATTGTTTTTATCATAAAAACAGAACAAATTTTACAAATGCCGGTTTCATAGAACAGCTATAAAAAGAGTGCAAAAATTGAAATTCCATTGAAATGTCCTAAAGCATCATATTCGTAATCAGCGACCTTGAAAACCCCCGAGTAACAAATTTCAGGTAAATTGGATCAATTTTTAAAATAGTCATCCTCCGTATTGGATCCGCCATTTTGAATTTTGGAAAACCATCATCATATTCGTAATCAGCGACCCCGACAACCCCCGGGTAATTCTTGTTACAATTTCGTATTTTATACTTTTCGTAAGAATGAAGAACGTTTCTTTTTTTTCGATATTAAAAAGTTATTCATCTTTTTTTTTATTGCAGCGACCCTACCCGACTGTTTTCAAGCAAACGTTCACCAAGCATCACCATGGCTGAGCTACCAGGTAGCCTCACAAAATGCAAGTGATTTGGCCTGATTTATCGAAGCCATAATTTAACTACAAGTTGTGTAGTAGAAAAAAAAGAAGAAATGCAAGTGTGCATGCCCCTCGGATCAATTTTAATAGGTGGACTAATCCAAAATTTCCGACTTGCGTTTCGCGAGAGTACCTGACTATGGCTGATGTAATACTGAACAGCTTGGCTCAGCAGCAGAGATGCCAAAAACCGTCCCCAAACGCAACTGCGCTTGCGCTACAATAAATGCTCTCATTGGTAGAATAAAACTTGTCCATTAGAATGCTTTATATATAAAACGTTTTAAATAGACGCGCTTTATTCAACCAATAAGAGCATTTTTGAAGCGCAAGCGCAGTTGCGTTTGGTGAGAGTATCTGGCAACATTGGACTATCAGATATATTTTTTTCGTGACGTCACAATATTGAGAAACAATTGCTCAGAATGTACATATTTCCGTGCTATTTTTTTATTGATTAAAATAAGAAATTGAGCAGAGTTAGTCCCTCATTTTTTCATGGCTTTAAATTTGTTTTTCAATTATTATTGTTTGGCGGTAACGTCTAGGTTTAGATATCGTTATTTCTTCTGGAATTTGAAACTTGGTCGATATTGTAGGTTTCTGCTTCACGTTTAGTGAAGGGTCTTACTAATGAGTTGACAAATGTTTCGTGAAAAATTCTGGGAAAATTTAAAGAAATTGATAAAATATTTCAACAAGTAAAAAATAGTAGAACAAACTTTGTTATTTATTAGATTATTAGATATTTTTTACTTGTTGAAATATTTTATGAATTTCTTATTTTAATCAATAAAAAAATTGCACGGAATAATGTACTAGCACGGAGATATGTACATTTACCTTAATTTCTATTTTCACGAAAAGTTCAGCTAATTGGAAGGGATACGTAACCAACGGTAACCAAACGAATTTCTTTTGTTTATAAACATTAGTTAGCTGTCAGTTCTAATCAATACCAGCAATATGCAGGATGTAATTTATAATGCGGAATATTTTGCAAAGCACTTAGAGAAACTATTAAGACTAAGAAATTATTTATAAATTAATAATAATATAACTTTTAACTTAAATTCCGTACAAGATTGTAATAAAATTTGGAGAGAAGGATTGAATTTCCGCGGCCACGCGTCTTCTGATTCAATACAGAAGATAGGAATTTACATTCGAAGTTTCGGTGGTGGAGTCAGGGAATTCTTAGCTACGCCAGTATACAAACAGAGCCCAATCGTTTGTGCAGCACAGTTACTGAAAGAGTAAGTACATTTTTTTTATTATTATTGGCGGGCCTCACGTATGCTATAGGTGGATAAAATAGTTGGACTTTCGAACTGTTTACTTGATAACTTAAAAATTCAGCATAGCGGATCCAAAATGGCAGAAAAATCAGAGCAAAATACTTGATAAATAGCAAATGCATCATCAATATTCAAAACTTGATTTAAAACATCTGAAAATGACTTCTCGGAGGTTTTAGGGGTTGCTGATTACGAATATAAAGTTTAATTTTAAAAATTCAAAATGGCGGATCTAATATGGCGGACATTTTTTTTTAAATTGTTTTTATCATAAAAGCAGAACAAATTTTACAAATGCCGGTTTCATAGAACAGTTATAAAAAGAGTGCAAAAATTCAAATTCCATTGAAATGTCTTAACGCATTTCACCTTTCCAATAAGTTCATGGGTGAAGTGGATCTCCACGGTATGCCATATTGAATTCGCAATTTTGAATTTTGAAAAACTGACATCGGATTCGTCATCAGCGACCCCGAAAACCCCCGAGTAACAAATTTCAGGTAAATTGGATCTATTTTTAAAATAGTCATCCTCCGTAATGGATCCGCCATTTTAAATTTTGAAAAATCATCATCATATTCGTAATCAACGATCCCGACAACCCCCGGGTAACAAATTGCTGGTAAATTGGATCAATTTCTAAAAAAGTGATCAGCCATATTGGATCCGCCATTTTGAATTTTGAAAAGCCGACATCATATTTGTAATCAGCGACCTCGAAAACCCCGGAGTAACAAATTTCAGGTAATTTGGATCAATTTTTAAAAAAGTCGTCCACCATATTGGATCAGCCATTTTGAATTTTGAAAAACCGACATCATATTCGTAAGCAGCGACCCCGAAAACCCCTGAGTAATAGATTTCAGGCGATTTTAGACATTTTTAAAATAAAAATGCATTGTATTTTCCATGGCAAAGATTTTGAAAAATTTGCTAAAAGTGTTGTTTTTAAAAATTTATAACATTTTTATAATTCACTGAATTTAAAAACAGAAACGTGCGTCGCATTCTGCATAGCGTTGACTTTTTAGAAATCATTTTATTTTTAATTTTCAACCATTTTTTACTTTTTTACATGAATTTTTATTATGGCAAAGATTGTCAGTTTTCCGGCAGTCAGAGCAAAGTCCGAAATGGCAAAGATATTTGCCATCGGCAGTCAAGGGGTTAATCAATGAATTAAAAAATCGTACATATTTTCAGGCCCATTTATAACTATTGAGATAGACTATACAGGTGATTTTACAAAAACAAGATTATGTGACATACAACGCAAACTAAAAGACCCAGTAAAAAACAGCGAAGAATATCATCTACTGGGTGCAGTAGGTCTGTGAAGTTGGCTCCGACATGTCAAAATTAGGTAGGTTCACGTTTGTCAAATCATTATTTTTTTTATCCACCAAAAAAAAGTTTCAAAAAAAAAATTCTAAAATTTTTTTTTTTAATTTTGTTTCTAACTTAGTCTGAGAGGGAGGAATAAATTTTCTAATGGGTGGACAAACAAAATTACAAGTTACTATTTTAGTAAATATTAAAATTTTTTCCAGATATTCAAATATTTTCAAAAATTAAAAAAAAATGTTTAACGTTTCAATTATCTTTATAAATCCCAAAATTCTTCGCCGAAATTCAATTATATTCAGGAATTTTTATAAAATTCATAGTAAAATTCAATTATTTTCATAAACAGCAATTTGATTTATCATAAGAATTTAATTATTTTCAAAATTAATAAAATTCTTGGAATAAATTCAATTATTTTTAAAAAATCTAAAAAAATCGTCAACACTTCAATTATTTTTATAAATGAATGGCAAAATTCTTCAAAAAAATTTTATTATTTTTAGGAATTTTAGTAAAAGGCATTCCAGAATTCAATTACTTTCATAAATAATAGTATTCATCACAAGAATTTAATTATTTAAAAAAATAATAAAATTCATGGAAGAATTTCAATTATTTTTAACCCTCGCAGACTGATTTACAAACGAAATAATAATAATAATAATAATAATATTATAATAATATCTGGGTGCAGTACTGTATTATGGCCCTGAACCATAAATAGAAGAAGTAAGAGCAGGCCATTTTACAGCCGTATGCTGGAGACAAAATGTTTGGATCGAATTTAATGATCTGAAACTATCCAAACCAAAGAAACTACGAGAAAACCTTGAAGTGCTGCAAAGCTTACTATTTTACTCACCATAGACAATAATTATTATTATTATTATTATTATTATTATTATTATTATTATTATTATTATTTAATAATGTCTAAAATGAACATTTGTCAGAAGTCAACTATTGAAATTGTTTAAACAATTGGTGGAATGTTGATTTTATTATTTCTGACGTTTATCCAACTTGTTATTTCATTTGTCCACCCATTATAAAATTTATTCCACCCTCTCAGACTAAGTTAGAAACAAAATTTAAAAAAAAATATTTTAGAATTTTTTTGTTTTGAAACTTCTTTTTGGTGGACAAAAAAAATAATGGTTGGACAAACGTAGACCTATCTTGGACAAATGAATACTACTTAGAAAAGTAAAAAATTTTGACATGTCGGAGCCAACTTCACAGATCTGGGTGCAGTACTGTATTATGGCCCTGAACCATAAATAGAAGAAGTAAGAGCAGGCCATTTTACAGCCGTATGCTGGAGACAAAATGTTTGGATCGAATTTAATGATCTGAAACTATCCAAACCAAAGAAACTACGAGAAAACCTTGAAGTGCTGCAAAGCTTACTATTTTACTCACCATAGACAATAATTAAAGAACATATATTGATATAAAAAATTAAAAAATGTCTGATGTAAATCTAATTTTAGATTATAAAAAAACAATATATATTATTAATTTTATATAAAAAACTAAAAATACATATATATAGTATATTTTATAATAATTTTATCACTTTTAAAAAATATAGACATTTCGAAAAAATAAGCCTTTTTATTTTCGTTAGATAGTTTTTAAAAATGTCTATTTAATGTATTTTCGTTTGGTAGTTTTTGAGGTTGAGGGTAGTTTTTAAAAAATTTTTCTTAATGCTATGTTAGAGCACTAAATTAGTTCTAAATTTCTATGAAAAAAATTTTGAAAAATTGGCAATGACATGGTATGTTTTTAGTCAATTTTTAAAAACATTTCTGTCCAAAAAGGCGAACATGAAATAGCTATTTATGACCATTATGAGTTTTAATTAATTAAGGGTGGTTTTTGGGGGTTCGCGCGCCGCATCTAACAAAGTGGAATTGACTAGGGGATGTTTTTCACCCCTATTAATAAAATTTCTGTAATTTTTTAATGGATATTTGTTTTATTTACTATTTTGAATAAGATTATTGAAAAAAATCGGGAAATTAAAAAAACAAAATTTCGTTCATTTAAACGTTCAGAACTTTAGGGCCCTTCTTTATTTTATTTCCATTATAATTAATATATTCCCAAAGTTTAATTCAACGATAATATTTTATTTAGATTTAATTATTTAAAATTATTATTTAGAATTAATTCTAAAAATTAGTTTTTTAAAAATATTTTAAAATATAATAGTTTTTCAATTATATATCTACAATCGCCATTTCGAAATAAATGGAATTTGGTAGAAATCTTTTGAATTGAATCTTTGAAAAATATAAAAAAATAAAACTGTTTAAAAATTTCAATTATAAATATGAAAATGATTTCTTTAAAATTTTAATAAGTCTGAAAAAGTAAATTTTAAAAAATTTTAATTTAATTTCTTCGCTGATAATTGAATCTTAAAAAGTTATGATAAAACAATTAAAAAATATTAATGTTATTATTATTTGTATGTATTTAAATTTTCCGAAATTTTTAATGGAAAATATTAAAAATTATTGAATTTTAAAAAATTAAAATGAAAAAATACTAAGAATTACTTTCTTCACAAATATTTTAATTTAATTTTCAGAAGATAGCTACTTTTCATGAATTTATATTAATAAATTTACACTTAGAAGATTTTTTTATTAAAATTTTTAAAAAACTTTAAATCAATTTTTCTTAATAACTTTTGGAATGTTCTTCGAGAATTTAAATATTTAAATACAAAAAATTTAATTTTTTATAATAATTACAAATATCCAAGTTTTTTAAAAAACATTTATTAAAGTAGGTATATTTTTAAAAATATTTTTAAAAGATAATACTTTTTTATTTAAAATCTTTCAGAAATAATTGAGTTTTTGAAAAATATAAAGATATTAATAAAATGTTGGAAGAATTTTTTATTATAAATATGAACATGATTTCTCCAATATTTTAATAACTATAAAAAATTAATTTTCGATATTTTCATTTACTTTGTTCAAAGATAATTGAACTTTAAAAATAGTGATAAAATATTTCTCAGAATATGTTTTATAAATATTGTAATTTGTAAATTTAAGTTTTCGAAAATAATTGAAATTAAAATTTGATTTTCAAAAATTGTAATAAATTATTTTTTAAATAACCTATTATTTTCAATTAAATTTTACTAAATTTCAATTATTTAAAAAAAATTTAATTACAGATATACTTTAGAAAAATCAAAAGATTAAAAACTTTACGAACTAAATTAAAATTCGGAAAACAGCTAAAGTATTAATTGAAGCACTGAAAAATTTCGCTACTAAAGTGAAATATGTAGTTTATGCAGCTAAATATTTTTTTCCCGTACATAACGAAAAAAGAATTCAATTAACATCAGATTTTCTAAATTCAAAATAACGAATTCAACATAGAAATTAATCATTTTAAAACTTTACCAAATTCACCACAGAAATAACTGAATTCGATAAATTAGCAGAAACTCAGACAAAAGAAAGTTCTATTTTGAATTCCTAAAATTTAATGTCAAGTTTAACACATTAGAAACGAATTACAAGTGAATCTTATAAATTCCTTTTGAATCCGATGATTAAAGATCCTTATACATATTCAAACAGTAACAAAGACACAATCCATAGATCAGAAAGTGGAACATTCTATCAACACAGATGAAAAAACCTTTTGGAAAACGCAGTAATGTTCAATTTACTAATCAGAGCAAGTTATCGGTATTTGATTTAGAAATCAGAGAAAATACCTAACAATGGATGATAAATATATCAAAGTCACACAAGCCGAGAAATTGAAATATAATAGAGAAGTAGAAAAAAAACAAATAAAATCAAAGAAACGAAAACTCTCCTCTTCTAGTGAATCCAGTGAGTCTGAAGACATTAAAAATATCAACAATAAAAAAAAAACAAATAAAATCAAAGAAAAGAAAACTCTTCTCTCAAAATGAAATATTTTTGGTATGTCCTGAATTAATAAGGAAACAAATTAATATTCATAATTACATTGATTATTTGGATGAATTAAGCGATGAAAATTTTGGTATTTATACATTGATGTAAAGTACTTATGTAAAGTACTTCTGTACGAAAGGGTTTATTTGAAACCCGTTTATGTTCAAATAAATAAATAAATAAATAAATAAATAAAATAAATAATGAATCGTTTATTACACCCTACAGAACTGGTTCTGTACATACGCTGTTTGGGGAACAATTTCCAAAGGCATTGGTGACAAAAAATGAGAAAAAAAGAAACCAAAAAGAATCGATGGAATCCCCGCCAAGTATCACGGCAACCTCGCCGAAAAAAGGCGGAAACTGCGCCGAGAAAACCAACGGAGATTCCGTCGAAAGAAACATCCGAAAACTCGCCCCCGAAAAAGTTGTGTTGCAGCCAAGAAGCTAAAAACTCGCAGCAGCAAAAGGAATCATATGCCGACAAAATAAAAAATTGGGCCGACGAGGTGGAAGAGGAGGACTATGAGGATGTCGAATTCGTACAAGTTATTAAACGAAAGGCGTCATCAAAGCAAAGTCAAACTTCAGAAGACCTGCTATTAGGGTCTTTATACAGAAGGCGAGAACGGTCTTGGAAAAAATTAGAAAGATCAGTGCAGAACTCAGAAAGTGTCCGAAATGTCAAAGGCTTCTTGAAGAAAGGGCCAAGTGGACGAAAGATAAAGACGAGACCGACAAGGAAATGAGTCATTTGAGAAGGTAAAAAAAAAATTTTTTTATTTTAATCTTTAAAAATTAAATAAATATTTGTTAACATTAAAAAAATTTTTTTATTATTATAATAATTAAAATTTATTGTAAAGAAATATTAAAAATAGGAATTAATATTGGTATTATTGTATTTTTATAAATTTGTAATAATATTCAGAAAAACATTTTTTGTTGGAAAATTAAAAAATCTTTGTACAAAATAAATAATTACAATTATAACTATAAATTTATTAAAAATATATTTTTAAATTTAATATTTTTAAAAAATTATATGAATAATATAATATATTATTATAATTAAAAAATAAATCTATTCTTAAAAAAAATTTCTTTCTAGAAAATAATAAATAATAATACTATTATTTTTTTAAACAGATTAATGACTACCATGGCTATCTTCAATGACAAAGACGAAATCAAAAAACGAAATAATATGCTTTCATCATGGTTAAAGTACTTACCTATAGGCATTACATATGACAACAGGGAATTTCTCCCAGGAAAAGTAATCAAAACTAATAAAAAGAATAGGAAGGTTAAAGTTAAATATTTTGATAACACCAACATTAGTTATTGGGGAACAAAAAATTTAGTTCAATTTGAGAAATTTCTGATTCCAAAGCAATTTAACATTAATAATAAAAATGATGAAATTTTATACAATTATATTTTAGAATTAAAAAAAGAATTGATCGAGACAAAAAATGATAAATATAACAATATTTTAAGCGATATCGTTTAAAAGTATTAAAGGTAGACATTCTTGAAAAGAATTATGTAAATTAATTAATATAGTGATAAAGATTTATGTTTAATATTTAAAGTGAAAGTTTATGCATCTTTTCTTCGTTAAATGTATTAAAAAAATTTAGGTGCAAGTACAAGTACTGAAACGTATAATAATTTAAAATTAATTGATCCTAAGAATTTATATATTTCGGTGCCAGTAAAAACATTTCGTTCATCAATGAATAAAAAATCCAATCCATGGATTGATTTTATGGATTTCATTGGTGGACGAACGATTCCCTGTCAGTCGCGAAATAAACAAAAACAAAAGTCGAGAAAAAGAAAAATATCGAGCAGCGATTCTGATTCTAATGAAAGTGAATTGGCAAGTAATAGCGATACTGAATTTGATGAAAATGAACTGGCGAGTAATGATTCTAAAATAAATGAAAAAGAAAAATATGTTAAAGGTAAATTATTGTTAGAATTTTTTTTAATATTAACAGCTGCAACATTAGGAAGATAAATTGGCAAATTATGATGAAAATTACTTTCATCGTAATCCCATCAAAGCAGTACTATTGTGGAAATACGTAAAATGGTTTATATTAAACTACCCAATTGGATAAATAAATAAATAATTTATTTTGTGTTAATTAATTATTTTTATTAATTTATTTTTTTATATTTTTCAGGGGATTTATCACATCAAACCGTCGAAGATAAATCGTCGCATCAAATTACCGAAGAGAAATCTAAAATTTGCAGACGGTAAAAAAAGTAGATTGCAAAGATACGAAAGAATTGCGGACCATCTTGCATGATATTATGAAAATTAAGGGGAATATTGTAAACCCAAAAATTCTAATTCTTTGTTAAGAAATGTAAGGAGATAAAAACTCTTTGCCGAGTGATGACTTTAAAAGACATATTTGGATTAATTGATGCATCGCATACTTTCTGTTCTTATAAACCCATATTTGTGGAGTACTGTTCAATTCCAAATATTTTTAATTTTATTATTTTTTGTATATTGTATTTGAATTTTCGGAAATTTTAAATGGGAAATATTTTAAATAATTGAATTTAAAATTATTATAATGAAAAAATTACTAAGAATTACTTTTTTCAAAAATATTTTCATTCATTTTTATTATTAAATATATATTTGAAGATTTTTTATTAAAATTTTTGAGAATTCAATTATTTTCAAAATTACCAATTAAAATTCTTTAATAGTTTATTTTCAAAAATTGTAATAAAATAATGTTAAAAATTCTATTATTTTCAAATAAATTTTACAAAATTTCAATTAGGGGAGAGTGGGGCAAACAGGTTCGGTGGGTAAACCGGACCCCTCTCAATATTTCAGAAATGGCGAAATTGGAAAAAGTGTTGTTTACAAATTTAAAACAATCATGTTTAGTATACCTTATTTTTTCAATCTGACAGTTTTAGCTTGCGCTTGTGCGACGAAGGGAGCAAAAGTTCTTTTTTTAGTTTTTTTCTACACTTTTACGAATTTTTTCTTAAGGAAATTCTGAGGAAATCGTCTAATACTTTCAAATATTAGGTCTTGGGTTTTGAAGGTACACACCTCAAGAATACTTACCACCAAAAACTTTGATGAATTTGCAAAGCGTTTTTTTGACAAACATTTATTCTCAAAATGGGCCTGTGGGGCAAACCGGACCGTTTTCGGTGGGGCAAACCGGCCATAGGATATTTCCATTCAATTAAAGTTTCATAAAAATTATTTTTAAATAAAATGTTTCTTTTATTAAAATATTTACTTACAATGAAAAATAATTGTCTTCCAATGAGAATTGGACCCTTTAATATTGTTTCTCTGATAGTGACAAACATTTTTATTTTTTTATTTAGAAAAATATTTATTTAATTAAAATTCAATCCCGTATTATTATTTTCATTACTACAACCATTGTTTACATGATTCTTTGTTTTTTATCATTGTAGATTATGTAAATGCAATATTATAAATAAAAAAGCAAACGGTCCGGTTTACCCCAGGGGGTGGGGCAAACCGGACCGTTTGCAAAATTTTTTAAAGTTAACACAGCAACTAAACAATAAAAGATAAAGTATAGGTGTCTCTGGGAAAAAGTTGCGCAATTAAATGATCTTTCAAACAAGCCATCGAAAAATGAAATCGGTTGATTCGTTTAGTCACAAGAGTCAAAAAACCGTTAGGGGGTCCGGTTTGCCCCACTCTCACCTATTAAAAAATTGTTTAATTATAGATATAAGATATATTTAAAAAAATGTAATTATCTTATCAAATTTTTTCAAAAACAATTTTTTAAAGAATTTGTCTAAAGTTATTTTTCACACTATAAAAATTAAAATAAGTTTGCATTATATGCTTAAAATTTTGGAAAAATTGAAATTCAAATCAATTGAATTTGATCTGAATTAAAAATAATATGAATTATAGAAATAAAAAGAGTCAATTTAGATAAAATAAATAATATAAATAATATATTAATAAATTTATTTTATTTATTTTATTTATTTTATTTATTTTATTTATTTTATTTATTTTATTTATTTTATTTATTTTATTTATTTTATTTATTTTATTTATTTTATTTATTTATTATTTATTTATATTATTTATTTTATTTACCTAAATATTTTTAATAAATATATATTAACATATTAATAAAATAAATATTATTATACATTTATAATATTAATAATAAATTATTCAAATGGAAGTTTTTACAGTTTAGCTTTATTGAAATTGTAAATTTATTAAAATTTAATGAAATGTTAATTAATTAAAAAATTTTAGAAACCTTTGTTTTAATGAAATTATTTATAGGTTCGAAGATAATTGAATCTTAACAAATTATAGTGTAACAATTTGAAGAATTAGTTTTTTAATTGTTATTTAATAACTAGAAAATAATTCTCAAAAATGTTAATGTTATTATGTTTTTGAATTTTCAGAAACATTTAATTGAAAATATTGAAAATAATTGAATTTTAAAATATTTAGAACAAAAAAAATTCTCTAAATTACTTTTTTCAAAAAGATTTTAATATAATTTTCATTAACTACACTTTTAGATTTTTTATTACAATTTTTGATAATTCAAATATTTTAAAAATTAGCAATTAAAATACTTTAAAAGGTGATTTTTAAAAATTTTAATAAAATAATTGAAAAAAAATCTATAATTTTCAATTAAATTTTACAAAATTCCAATTTCTCAACAATTTTTTAATTATAGATATATATTAAAAAATTTAATTATCTTGAAAAAATGTTACAAAAATAATTTTTGAAAGATTTATCTAAAGTTATTTTTCACACTATAAAAATTGAAATAAGTTTGCATTATATATACTAAAAATGTGTCATTTTCTTGAAATATTTAGAAAATATCTGAGGTCTAGAATTTGAAAAATTTAATGTTTTTCCAGTAATTTTTATTAAACTTCCTGACTTTTTTCTAAAATCCCTGGACATTATAAAAATTAAAAATTTTTAATTGATTTCAATTAAAAATTTTTAGAAACTTTTTTTTTCATGAAATTATTTATAGGCTCGAAAATAATTGAATGTTTTAAAAGAATTTTTATATAGTTTAACAAAATCAAAGTAATTTTTTCAGAATTTTGATTATAAATTTTAAACATTATTGTTTTCTCCAAAATGTTAAAATGATTCTAAATATTTTTAATATTATTATTTTTGGTATGCATTTGAATTTTCCGAAATTTTTAATAGGAAATATTGAAAATAATTGAATTTAAAATTATTCTAATGAATAAATGTCAAAGAATTACTTTTTTCAAAAATATTTTCATTCATTTTTATTATTAAATTTACACTTTAAGTTTTTTTATTAAAACTTTTGAGAATTTAATTATTTTCAAAATTAGAAATTAAAATTCTTTAAAAATTCATTTTCAAAAATTGTAATAAAATAATTGAAAAAAATCTATTATTTTCAATTACATTTGACAAAATTTCAATTATTAAAAAATTGTTTAATTATAGATATATTTAAAAAAATGTAATTATCTTATCAAATTTTTTCAAAAACAATTTTTTAAACAATTTGTCTAAAGTTATTTTTCACACTAGAAAAATTAAAATAAGTTTGTGTTATTATGTTTAAAATTTTTGGAAAAATTGAAATTCAAATCAATTGTAGGTATTTGATCTGAATTAAAAATAATATGAATTATAGAAATCAAGAGTCAATTTAGATAAAAATAAATAATAATTATATTAATAATTTTTTTAATTTCATTTATTGTATTAAATATTTTAATAATAGTTTAATAATATATTAATTAATTATTAAAAAAATAAATAATAAAATGGAATTCTTAAAGTTTAGATTTATTAAAAATATAAATTTATTAAAATTTAACGAAATGTAAACTAATTAAAAATTTTTAGAAACCTTTTTTTTTATTAAAATTATTTGAAATATGTGCAAAAATTTAAAAAATCTAAATTTTTATAAATATTTCCTCTTGACAAAAATTGTAATTATTATTCAAAATAAAACTTTTAATTATCGAAAATTAGATTCTTTATCCTTCTAATAAAACGAATTCAAAATTAAATTTATCTTTTTCTTTTAAAATATGAAATCATGACATTGGACTAACGTTTGTTTTGATTGTAAGTTGGATTCTTCCTTATACTGTTTGTAAACAGAAAGTAATTAGTTTTGTAGGGGTTCACAATTTACATTCTTATCAAAATTTTGATGACTCAGATAAAACCTTACTAGCTCACACTTTATATATTTTAAATTATTACCAGAAATAATATCCAATTTATAATATTTGATTAAGTTATTTTATAATTCCTGAACATTTTTCTTATATAAAATTTGCAATTATAATTATCATATAAATTTTATCTTGCAAATCCTTTCTTTTGTTTATCATTCAAATGTTTTTGACTCTATATTTTCTTAAAATAAAAAAAAATTTTTTAATTAATCTGAAAAATATTAAGATTTTTTTCTTAACACGTTCTTTTAAATGCTCTGGCAAATGTTTTTTTTTAATTCGATGACTTTTGTATTCATTGAATTAAAAAAGTAAATTATTAATTTAATGTTTTATTTGCATTTTTCACGTGCAATTATTCAGAAATATTACGTGAAATTAATGTCAGTACGAAAATATTTTAAGTCAATTGTTTTTTTTTCTTATGAAAATGTAAATATAGGGTTATGTGTACTCCACGTGTATAATTTATGAAAAAAAATTAGTTTTCATGAATTATACGAGTGAAATAATATTTGGGAAATTTAATAGATTGACATTCTTATTTAGACATGAAATATTATTGATATTAGAAATGTTTAAAGATACGTTTAATATGTTACCTTTAACCTCATTATTTATTGCGCCTTTGCTGCGATGTCGGCCTGTTTTATGAGTTTTATTCACTTGTTTGAAAGCACCAGGACGATGAGCAGTATGTTTCGACATTTTTCTTTATTGTTTTAACTCGTAAATAAAGATACTTTTAATAATATTATTTTTTACTTCACACTTTCACTACGATGATTAAGAGCACATGGTAATAGCGGCAAAGCACTTCTCAGCACTTCTTCTTCTTCTTCTTCGAAAGGTCTTAAAAGCATGCGCGCAGCGCGCATTGTGTTGATTGCTATGGCAACCAAAACTAAAGTCAACGCAAGGCCTGTTTTCAATATTGAAAATTGCAGGGCTGAAAACAGTTGAGCCCTGAGATTGGCGAGTTCGATATGTGACGTCACGCAGTAGCGTCGTGACGCCACAAGTGAAACAGACGTAATATGGCAACTTTTACCACCTTGTGAACCTGGCTTTAGACCTTTAATTTTAAACCATAAAATAACTAAACACATAGAGAGACACTTTTCTAATTAAATACTAAGTGCTAATCATTTATCTCAGTCTTGAAAGTGTGTAACAAAAATATTGAACATTTTATTAAGTATAAAGTATTTCCGTTATTACTGGATTCTTTACTATTTATTCCCTGAAAAATATAAAATTTATTTTTTAGTATTTTTAACCTTATGCTTTTATGGAAATCCATATTATTGTCTTTGAATAATGGAAGATGTTTTAGATGAAATTGTTTCTTCGGAAGATTTAAAGGTAATGTTTATTTTCTTAACAAAAATACACGTCAAAACAGAATGTCAATTTTTTTTACTATTTCTCTTTAAAGGTGTAAAAAATAAGTAAATATAAAAACTACTATAATTTTACACAATTTCTCAAATAACTATAATCAATTCGTTTTTATTAGAATTTGTCAATATTTCTAGAAAATTATAATTCTATTTCACTTTTTTTTCATTTATTGCATTGCATTTCTGTAGAAAAAAAATTACATTTCTGACGCAATCTGATTAAATTTGTAAGTAATTTAATTTTTATGTTTAATTTTGAAGTTCAATGACTCATAGTTTTGTAGATAGAAACGGAAAAGTGAAATCGATTTTATTCATAAAGAAAAATAAAGTATATTAGATCAATAATTTTTTTCTCGTTTCTTTTTTGATTAAATTTATTATTGAATAATTTGTCATTATAAAGTGAAATACTGTAATTTTTTATCTTATCTATATTTCGCGATTTTGTGCAATTTTTTATCAATTTATTTTGATCGTATATTTTTTTAAATTAAAAATGATTTGTAATTAATAATCTAGTACAAGTTGCAGTCTACTTTGAAAAAAAAATTAATTTTTCCATTACCTTTGCGATGACGTCAGCTGTTTTTCCTTATTGTATAAAAATTATGTATTAAACAATATTTACCAAAATCCAGGGGCGTAAGAGGATAAATTAATTTTGGGCGTCAAAAGTCAATAAATTTTTTATAGTTTTATTTAGAGTAGAAATCATTGCAGGTACTAATTTTTTTATTTAGAAATGTTTACATTTTCAAAGTAACAATTTACAGCAGGTGTTTAAACTTTTGCATTTTTTTTCATTTATTTTTATTTTTTCTGTAACAATTTTTAGAAATGTCCGTATTTTGTTACACTTTTTGAGAATCAAATTCAATTGATTTGAATTTCAATGTTTCCTAAAATTTAAACAAAATTAATTTTTAATCTTAATTCATTTTCCAATTCAATTGTTTGAAATTTCAATTTAATTTTTTCTTAAATATATCTGTAATTATAAAATTTTTAAATAATTGAAATTTTGTAAAATTTAATTGAAAATAATAGATTTTTTTAAAAAATATTTATTACATTTTTTGAAAATCAACTTTTAAAGAATTTTAATTTATAATTTCGAAAATAATTGAATTCTCTAAAATTTTAATAAAAAATCTTCAAATGTAAATTTAATAATATAAATTAATGAATACCGAAAATTATATTAAAAATATTTTTGAAAAAAGCAATTCTCAGAACTTTTTTTCATTCTAATATTTTAAAATTCAATTATTTTCTATATTTTCAATTAAAAATTTCCGAAAATTCAAATACATGTAAAAAATAATAAAATTAACATTTTTTAGAATTATTTTTTAAAATTTTCGAGAAAACAAATTGTTTAAAATTTTTAATTAAAATTCTTCATAAAATTAATTAGTCTTTATAAATTATACAAAAATTCAATTATTTTCGAAAAAATAACATTACAATAATTTTAAAAAACTAACTCTCAGAATTGTTTTATTAGAATTTTTTTAAATTCAATTATTTTTGCACAAAATAAATTAAAATTTTCAAAAATTAATTTTTTATACTTATTAAAATTTTTGAAAATTCATGTTCATATTTATAATAAAAAATTCTTAAAAAATTTGATTATTTTACAAATATGTTTCGAAAATTGAATTGTTTTTAAAAGATTTTAATTAAGAAACTGTTATCTTTCAAAAATTATTTTAAAATATTTAAAAAAAATTAATTTTAATAATTTCTTTATTCTGTTTTTTTTAAATTATTATATCTTAATCATTTGTTAAAAAAACATGGACAGTTACAATTATTATAAAAAATTGAATTTTTTGTATTTAAATAATTGAATTCTCAAAGACCATTCGAAAAGTTATTGAAAATAATTGATTTAGAAATTCTCAAAAATTTTGATAAAATAACTTAAACTGTAAATTTAATAATAAAAATTAATGAAAATTATATTAAAATATTTTTGAAAAAAGTAATTTTGAGAATTTTTTTCAATCTAATTTTTTAAAATTCAATTATTTTCAATTAAAAATTTCCGAAAATCCAAGTACAAACAAAAAAATAATAACATTAACATTTTTTAGAATTATTTTTAAAATTTTGGAGAAAACAAAATTGTTCAAAATTTGTAATCAAAATTGGTTTATTATTAGTTTTTGTTAACTTATATAAAAATTCTTTCAAGATAATTCAATTATTGTCGAATAATTACATAACAATTAAAAAACTAATTCTTTGAATTGTTTTTCCATAATTTTTTAAAATTCAATTATCTTCGAAGAAATGGAATTAAAATATTTCAAAATTTACTTTTTTCGACTTATTAAAATTTCGGAGAAATCATTTTCATATTTATAATTGAAATTCTTAAAAACTTTTACTATTTTTTTATATTTCTCTAAAATTCAATTATTTTTAAAAGATTTCTACCAAATTTCATTTATTTGGAAATTTTTCGATTGTGTATAATTGAAGAACTTTTATCGTTTAAAAATAATTAAATTAATTTAGAGATGAAGTTTAGTTAAAAATTGTAGAAAATAAACGAATTTTGAAAGGGTTATAGTTGTAATTTTTAGAAATTATTAAATTTCAAAAAGTTTTAAATTGGAATTTTTTGAATTTTATTTTTTGTAGAGAAACGAATAAGAACCTGGATTTCTGTATACATTGTATTTCTATTAACATTTTTTTACAAAAAAAATACTTTTAATCAAATTTATTTGAGTTAATTATTTTATATTAAACAGTAATTAAATTAAAATGCAATGAACGTCCTTTTTTCGAAATTTTTCATTTTTTCGAAAGAAAGTTTATATTCAAATTCATTTTGGCTTCTTGTATTATTATTGTTAAATACAAAAAATTAAAATTAAAATTAAATAAAAATTCGTTTTCTATAAAAACTAGAGGAAATAATATTTTGATTTTAATGTTTCAGAAATTTGAACGTACATATCATGAAAATTTACGTTCGTCTAATGTATCGCAGAAAGTTCAGTTTGAATATGCATGGTGTTTAGTACGAAGCAAGTATCCAGCAGACATAAGGAAAGGAATTATTCTCCTGGAGGATTTATTTAATCATCCCGAAGAGGAAACCGGAAAGCGTGACTGCCTTTATTATTTAGCTATAGGAAATGCTAGAATAAAGGTATTTATGAATTATTATTATTTTTTAATTTTTTATTACATAAGTTGGAAATTTATGTACAAAAATAAAGCACTGATATTTTTTTTCACTTTTTGAAGAATGAAATTTAAAACCTACTGGTTTTAAATTTTATTCTTCAAAAAGTGAAAAAAAAGTAAGAGAAAATTGAAATTCTAAATGCTGTTTTTATTGCAGGAATATACGAAAGCTTTGTCTTATGTCAGAGCATTTTTACAAATTGAACCTGGCAATCAGCAAGTTCAGCATTTAGAGACACTCATAAAAAAGAAAATGGACAAAGGTAATTTACAACATTTTTTATTATTCTAGTGAATTTTGTTTTTTAAAATGGCTAATTTTAAGTCAATTATAAATGTAAACGAAATTTTTGATTAATAATTCAATTTTTTATTACTTTGAAGATAAAAACATTAGATTTGTCAATTAAAATTTTTAATTGAAAATAAAATTGAGAATATATTAAAAGATTTTTATAAAATAAAGGAAAAAACTTGTCTTTATTTTAAGTTTTCAATCATATTTTTTTGTTACAAACTGTTTAGTTTCTTATGGAAAAGAATTTTCATAAAATCTATTTTTTAATCACAATTTTTATGAAAATTATAATTTATTTTTTAGAAATTAATTCTTAACAAAAGAATTAAATTTTTGACCATTTATATTTATTAAGATAAACTCAATAACTTAAGAAAAAAACACGGACAGTTACAATTATTATAAAAAAAAAATGAGTTTTTGTATTTAAATAATTGAATTCTAGAAGAACTTTTGAAAAATTATTTAAAATAATTGATTTAGAAATGAAGTTTAGTTGAAAATTGTAGAAAATAATCGAATTTTGAAAGGGTTGTAGTTGGTAATTTTTAGAAATTATTCAATTTCATAAATTTTACTCATTTTCCATAAACTTTCATATTTTCTTGTAAAAAGAATTTATTCAGGGAAAATAATTTCAATATCAGGGAAATGTCCGGGAAATTAATAAATTGAAACTTGTGACTACCCAGATAACATAATATAATAAATATAATAAAATAAAAAGTTAATTTTGTTCAATTTTCGTTTTTCAGAAGGACTTGTCGGCATGGCTGTGGCTGGCGGCGTTATTATAGGAATTGCCAGTATACTTGGACTTGGTATAGCAATGTCAAAAAAATGATAATATCTATTGAATTTTGCTACTAAACCAAAAGAAAATGTAATAAGTTTATTTGTAATAAAACCTCTGAAAATATTTGAATGTTTATAATAATAGTTCACAGTAAATGAAATTTATTAATTGAATAAGTTTATGTACATTATGTATTTCTATGTAATAAAGTCGTACGAATATTAATTTTTTAAAATTAAATTACCAGTTGTCATTACTAGCGCAAATGATAACAAAACAAGTCTACTGATTTTATAATTTTAGTATTGTAGGTTTTTTTTAATGAGCTTATTGTAAATTAAATTTACAGAAACATGTAATTGATAATACTGCTCTAAATTTCAATTTACAAAATTATTTCAATATTATTGATAATTATTAGGCGACACGTTATTTATACATGAATATTGTAACAATAAGCAAATAAAATTTATTATTTTCTAAAGCATTTAAGATATTATTACTTCATTGATACATTTTAATTTTAACCAAAAATTTTTCGTTAAAGGGTTAGTTAAAAATCATATTTTCGTTCTACAGTTAATTTTTTATGATAAAATGAGACGAATAAGATAAATAAATATTGTAAATAACAACTAGAAGCAATTAGAAGAATAATTTTTTCAAAAAGAAATAATTATACTCCTAAGATTTTATTTAGGACGAGGTTAGAAAGTACATTATTAATTTAAACTATTTAGTTGTTATTTTTATTATCTTCAATAAGATTCAAGAATTTGAAGAATTTTTGAATCTTTTCACATTTTTATTTTTAAAAAATTATGAATGCTATCTATGTGTACACATATTAATTTTCAGTGTTGATTTCTATAGTAACAATGTTATTGACAAAACTGTTTGGAAATCTGCCATGTCCTAAATTTTCAATTTCTACTCGTAAATTTTAAGGTTTTTTTTCTATAAACAAAATTAGAAATTACATTCAAAATGAATTTGAGTTTAAATAATAGAGTAGCTAACAATTCATCTTCTACTCTTAAATTTACTAAAGAAGAATGGATAAGTAACAACGAACACAGGTTATAAATTTGCCATATTCAGACTTCGCACTCGATAATTAATTTAAAAAAAGTAGCTTTCAAACTAAAAAAAAAGTAGTAAAAAAAGTAGCTATCGAAAAATTAAACTTCACGACCAAAAAACTCGTTTTAGACACTTCGCAAAATTGACAAAAATTCCATTCTATATTTTATTTTCCTGACTTTTACCTAATTTTCATCAAAAATATTTACTTCTTTCTTATCCTGCTAATAAATCAAATTCCTGCAACGAATTTTATTATTTATCAAAGAATTTAAATATTTATCAAAATAATTTAATTCTTGAGAAGAATTTTATGAAAATTCTAATTTAAATAATTGAATTCCTGAGAACTTTTTATTATTCATGAAAAGAATTGAAAAATAATTGAATTCATGAGAAATTTGTATATTATTCATGAAAAGAATTGAGTTCTTACGAAGATTTTTACAAAAATTTTTGAAATAATTTTTGAATTCTGTTTGGAAATTTTATAAAAATAGTAGATATTGAAGTTCATTGAATTGCGAAAAGTTTTTGAAAGAAATTAAATTTTACAAAGAATTCAATTAAAATTTTTGACAATAATCGAACGTCTATGTGGTATTCAATTTTTTTGAAAATAATTCAACTCCTAGAAAGCATTTTATTATTAATGAAAATAATTGAATTCTTGCCAACGATTTTGTTAGAATTTTTTTAAATAATTGAATTTCCAAGAAAAGATTTATTAATTTTAGAAATAATTGAATTCTTGTGATGAATATTGTTATTTATGAAAATAATAATTTAATTTTGCAAAGAATTTTATTAAAATGCCTAAAAATAATTGAAACTTCGGAAATAATTTTGTAATTTGTCGACATAATTGAATTCTTTCGAAGAATTATTTATGTAAATAAATTAAATTCTTGGGAAGAATTTTATTAAAATCTAAGAGAATAATTAAATTATTTCAAAAAAATTTAATTAAAATTGCATTTAAAATAATTGATTTCTTACGAAGAATTTTATTTAAATATTTGAAAATAAGTAAATAACTGAATTCCTGAGAAAAATTATAATTATTTTATAATTAAGTTATTCTAAAGAATTAGAAAATTTTTTTTTTAAATAATTGATTTCTTCCAGGAATTAAAATTAATTAATTTATCCTGCGATGAATTTTATTTTTTTATGATATTAATTGAAAAGTTGCGAAGAATTTTATTAAAATTTTCAAAAATAATTGAATTCCTGAGAAGAATTTTATTATTTATGAAAAGAATTAAAATTTTAGGAAGATTTAAACAAAAATTTTTTTAAATAATTGAATTCTGTTTGAAAATTTTATGAAAATAGTAGATATTAAAAATATTAAAGATATTGAAAATCATTGATTTGCGAAAAGTTTTTAAAACTACATAAATTTTACAAATTTTGTTATTTATTTTGTTATTTATGAAAAAAATTGAATTCTTGTGAAAGATTTTACTAGAATTTTTTAAAATAATTGGATTTCGAAGAAAAAATTGAATGAAAATTGAAAAATGAAAATTGAAAATTGATTGAAAATGAAAATTGAAATGAAAGAATTCTTCAGGAGAATTAAAAAAACATTTTTTTAAATAATAGATTTTTTCGAGGAATTGAAATTAAATTTTCAAGAATAATTAAATTTTTTGAGCAATTCCTGTAAAATTGTAATAAAAATAATTGATATCCTGCGATGAATTTTACTATTTACGAAAATAATTGAATACTTGCAAAAAATTTTACTAAAATTTTCAAAAATAATTAAATTCCTCAGAAGAATTTTTTATTATTTATAAAAGTAATTTAAATATTGAAAAAAATTTTATTAAAAAATGTTAAAAAAGAATTGAATTTCTGTGAAAAATTTTGTTATTTTTGAAAATAATTGAATTCTTTATAAGAATTTTATAAACATTGTTTTAAATAATTAATTTTTTCGAAATATAATGAATATTATGAAAATTTTATTTTAAATAATTGAATTCTTGTAGAAAATTTTATTTGTAAAAATAATTAAATTTTTCGATTAATTAATTTAAAATAGCATTAAAAATAATTAAAATTCTTCGATAAGTTTTGTTATTTATGAAAATTATTAAATTCTTGCTTTTACAATGTTATCAAAAAATTTTTTTAAAAATTGAATTTCCATAAAAAATGTTATTATTAGTGAACGTAATTAATTTATTGTGAAGAATTGTATAGAAATTTTGTTAAGTAATTGATATTTTCGAAATTTTTTGAAAATGCTGATATTTTGAACTATAATTTCTTTTAGATTATCATGTAGTAAAGCACAACGGAATTCAGCGGATCGCCTCATTTTTGAAGTTAAACGTATTGCTGAATCTGCTGCAGAATTAATTAAGGAAAATAAAGAAGAAACCGATTATCGTTTAAAGGAAAATTTAAAAAATATCGAGTTTTCGAAAGACGAGCTTTTTCGAATTCAAAAGAATGTTACACTTGAAATAGATGCTCTTCTCGTTGCAATAAGAAGAATTTGTAATACTTTGAATAATGAATTTGAAAATGCTCATCTAATTTGTAAAAAATGTCTTTTCGCCAGGTATAATAAAAGAAAATTTTGCTTTAAATTTGTTTTTGAAGATTTCATATACTAGAAATGGATAATTTTACCTTAAAATAAATTCTTAAGAATTGGAACTATAAAAACTTTTTTTCAAATCAATCGTATTGATTGTAGGGAACATCGTCTTGGAATCGATTTAGTTCATGATGATGTACAAAAGGAATTGTATAAAGAAAATGATTTGATACAGAGAATGAAAGATTTGTTGTTTCGAGTACATGAGCAATCTTTGGAACAAGTTAGAAAATTAAAGGCAATTTTATATCATATGAATCATGATCTTCAGGGTAAAGAATATAATTTAAAAATTCATCAGGAAAATTTGAATTCCAAGGAAAGTTGTTTAGATCAAAATGTTCGCCAAGGAAAATTTAATCACAACACGTAAGACATTGACTGTCGTATCAGCACAAAATAGTCCAGACAAGTGTCACACCTTTGTACAGATTGTGTGAAACGGTGTGAAACAAGCACCGAAACAGTACAATTTTAATTTATACTTACTTGATTGTTTTTTACTTTTTTGCTTTCTTTCTACAGGCCGTTTACTTTACAAGAATGGGAAATGCAATGGCGGGAAGTTTTCTTAAACGGTACTAAAGAAATAAATACGACATACACTTTGCGAAATTATATAGACAAAAGTTTGAGACGCGCCGCTGATGATTTATGTAAACAAAAGCAATTAACAGACGATGCTTTGAGGAGACGAATCGAACAAACTAGTGAAGCAAAGATTAAGTTAGAGCATGAGCATTCAGAAGTAAGTTCTTAATAATTAACTTATTATTAATTTCGTTAGGAATAAAGGTAGAAGATTCTGCTGTCCAAACTGAAAAATCTAGTAAGTTGCAGTTGCCGTAAGGTCCTAACTATACGGATTGGTTTAGATGTCAGAAAGCTAACATACTAATTCGTAGACTATAATTGAAATTAAAACGATTAATAATAGAAGATAATTATAAATTATATTGAATTTAATTAGTAATGTTGAATATGAATTCTTAGATTATTTGTCAAACAAAGACCCTTGGTGCCCAAATCAGAAAGTTGGAGAAAACAATTGCAGAGAAAGAAGATTCAATGGCTCTAGTTTTTACACATTTAAACAATTGTAGTCAGAAAAATGGTCCAGTTTCTCTTTATGATGTTTACGATGGATCATTAGTTTCAGAAGCTGTTGATCAGAGAAAAATAGTTACTGAACTTCAAAGAAAATTATGTGAGGTGAGTTCTAAATTTACGTATTTGTATCGCATTAAAGGATTTTCAAATTTAACGAATATTTCGGCCTGGACCCCAATAAAAATTATATTCAGCAGAACCGTTTTATATTTATTTTTACGAGGAAGGTGGAAATTTTCTATAAACCTCAAAAGAGTACGATTCTGCAAGGGACATGGGTTGTCTTTAGGACATTCTTAGAACAACTCTGTCTGGTTAAAGGATGTCCCAAGCAAAGATGGCTTTATAGTCTAGTTCCTTATACAAAAATTTCTTTTTTATCTTTTTTGCAAATGTATGCAAGAAATTTATGAATTCTAATTTGTTTTAGGCTCAAACCTGTATGCGTTCTATGTTCAAAATTCAAATCCAGTTGGAAGAGGATATAAATATTAAAAATAATACTTTAAAAATCGACGAAGTTGATTGTATGACTATACGACAAATTGTGGAGTAACATGTATATTTTACTAAACAAACTTTGTTTCCATTTACCTGTATATGTTTTAGATGGATTTTTATATTTGTAGAATAAATTATTAATTTTTACCATTTCAAGTACGATTAAGGACATACATTTTTAAACAGTTTCTATCTCTTAGAAAGCTTCTTCAAATTTATTTCATTGAAGCTATATATATTTAATTAATTATACCCCAAATTAGATTATTGCATTAAACTCTACAGAGGCGCATGATTATTCCCCAAAATGTCATTTGACCGAACTGTCATTTTACCGAATTGCATTTATCCGAACTATTATTTTAATAAAATGTCACTTTTGCGAAGCGCTATTTTTACGAATTGCCACATTTGCGAAAAGTCATTTTTTCGAAATATCATTTTCATGAATTGTCATTTTTACGAATCGTTATTGTTCCGAATTGTCATTTTTACGAATTGTCACTTTTGTGAATCGCCATTTTTACGAATTGCCACTTTTGCGAAATATCATTTTTACGAATTGTCATTATGCGAACTGCCATTTTTACGAAATGTCACTGTTGCGAATTGTCAATTTTGCAAAAATTGCTATAGTAAATCTATATATATATACATACAATTCGCAAAAATGGCAATTCGAAAAAATGACTTTTCGCAAAAGTGACAATTCGTAAAAATGGCAATTCACAAAAGTGACATTTCGTAAAAAAATGACAATTCGAAAAAATGACATTTCGGAACAATAAAGATTCGTAAAAATGACAAGTCGTAAAAATGATATTTCGCAAAAATGACTTTTCGCAAAAGTGACAATTCGTAAAAATGTCGATTCACAAAAGTGACAATTCGTAAAAATGACAATTCGAAAAAATGTCAGTTCGCATAAATGACAATTCGCAAAAGTGACAACTCGTAAAAATGGCAATTCGCAAAAATGGTATTTCGTGAAAATTACAATTCGAAAAAATGACGTTTCGGAACAATAACGATTCGTAAAAATGATAATTTGTAAAAATGATATTTCGCAAAAATGACTTTTCGCAAATGTGGCAATTCGTAAAAATGGCGTTTCGCAAAAGTGACATTTCGTTAAAATAACAGTTCGGATAAATGCAATTCGGTCAAATGACATTTGGGGAATAATCATGCGCCTCAACTCTACACCCAATACATTTGGTGTCTACGGTTGGAATTTAAACTATGAATTTGTATTTGTCATTGTGAAATAAATAATAAAGAAATGTGAAATAAGCAAAAATTTACTATCTGATACTGTACTTTTTATGTTTTCCATAAAAAAAATTAGCGTATGAGATGTTTAACCGTTTATTTATTTAGGTTTTTAAGGTTAAATTGTTCAAAGAAACTTATGATTTTCTTTTCCTAAAACTTCCTATTTTATTTAACTCTGCAGATGTTTTGCACATTTTTACTTTAGGGGTTTATTAAAGAAATTATCGGCCGTCTCGAGTGGAAAAACTGACAGCAAAGATAGGAGTAAAAGTAAGAATGGGTAAAGAATGTATTTGGGTGGATGGTGTGAAGTATTGGGTAAGGGATACATGTGAATCAATATAGTCAAAAATTTAAAAATAACCATTTTATTAATAATTTTCTATTAAAGAATACTTTATATTTTATATTCAAATATAATTATCAAAAATAACAACACTTTTATAAATGAAATGTCAATAATAAATTGATAGTAGATATAGTGTATAAACTTTGTTCATTTAAAATTAGGCATCTCTTGGTTCACTATGATCGTCTGAATCTAAAGATTCCGAACTTTTACTGCTGCTCTCATGTTTTTTGCTCTGATTACTCAAATTGCTGGCCGAATTGCAATCACTGTTATTACTACTGGAAGACGTTGTTGAATCAGAATCTGAATCCGAATCAGTATCGTCACTGTCAGAAACAACCCTGAAGCAATAATTATAACAAATTTTAAATGTAAGATTTATGCCAATAGGTAGTAAACGATAATTATACGTACGGGGTAATTGGTTTTTTGTTTAATGCCATATTACTGAAACTAGTCATTAAATCACCATCGCTTGTCTTAGTATTTTCGATAATCAAATCATTGGCATAAATATCATATGCTGAAGTTTCCAATGAAACCAAATCAAAACCAATTTCCTCTTTCTTCAAATTCACCTGCAGAAATTAAAAACAACGTAATTCATATTCATTTTCTTCCTTTTTGCTAAAGTAAGACTAATTAAGACTAACCTCATTTAGTTCTTTGAGAAGAAATTCAAATACTGAATTTTGTGACTGTTGAATCCAAATTAAATAATCCTTTATGTAAAGTTGATTGAGAACGTATCTTGGTTCACAGGAAGAATTAAAGAAAGTGTAAATTTCACACAGACATTTAACAACAAACTTCTTTCCTAATAAAATTGCAGATTTGAATATAATATTTTTAAATTATCAGTTTCGTTTTTTTAAATTATCAAAAATAGTTCATGTACATACCAAGTTTCAACACTTGTTTAATGTCCTCAATTACTTTCAAGGAGAGATTCCAATTTCTGAACAAGGGAAAACATAAAGATCGTCTAATACATGCAATCAGAACATCCTTAAGTTTCCCAAAAGTCTGAATAAAAACAAGTTTTTTAATAAAAAAACAAGTTCAAAGAGATGAGAAAAAATAATTTAAACCTGGTAAACAATTTTTCTATACCTCAAACCAAGATAAAGAAGAACTGAGTTTAGCAACCGTCCATCCACTTTCAACAGTACTTTCGCCTAATGTTGTTCTATGATTGTAGCAAAATCCAAAGAGTATATCAACGAGACCTAAACTAACGTTTAAAATTTCTTTATCGTCCAATAGGTATTCTTTGTTTGGTAATTCCTTCAAAATATCAACTTCTTTCTCACTGAAAACCACATCTTTCTCACTGATAACTTCCCATTCGGCTTTAAATTGAATACAATCTTCGATTTGTTCTGGTTCCAAATATTCTGCTATGTAATGCACAACATTAAAACTACTTGATTCATGTTTTTCTCTGAGATTCCTGCGGAGATTTACTGGCGTTTCGTCGGGTCGAGGAAGATCGATTATTTCCGCTAACCATGATTCCTGATTTTCGGTTATGTTAGTGAGGGAATTTATTGTAATAAAGGGAGTTGAATAATTCTTACCTCAAATGCATCTAGTGCTCGAGATATTTTATTTGCAAAGCCATATTTGGAATTATTTAATGAGACGTAGGGATTTTCGTTCGGTACAGTTTGTGGGATAAACCATTCATCATCATCGTCATCATCATCATCATCAGCGTTATTGTCATCAACATTATCATCTTTTTCGTCTGCTTCGTTATCTTTCAGTAAATCTGTTTCATTTGTTACGGGGTTACCTTTAAAGAGAATAGGCATTACTTAAAATTCCAAATGAATCCGTAATTAGTGAGTAATTCGTAATTCGATCTTCGATCCAAATAGTAGATCGAAGAAGTGAAGTAATAAGGCAAAAAATTGGGAGACTTTAAAGTATGGAAAATTTTAAAGCAGAAAGTTCAAATAGTGGATCGAAGAAGCAGGGCTCGAAACAGTGAAAGTATTTAAAATTACGGACTTTACGGACCAAAAATTAGAAATTACGGACCATTTACGGAACAACTGACAAAAATAGAATCAGGCCGAATCAAATCAATTCAATTATTATTTTTAAGAATTTAAAACTAAAATTCTTCGATTATTTTTTTAAATTTTCGAAAAAGTTCTTCGACAATTTTCAAATTCATATCTTTACAATATTTAATTTTACGAAATTTCAATTATTCGTAAATTCTTTAATTAAATAAATATTAGAAAATAGAAACTAAAAATAATATTAAAAAAACTCAATTAAACTTTTTCAAAAAAATTCAATTATTTTTTAAAATTCGCACGCTCTATTGCATTTAATATTCAATTATTATCTAAAATTTTAACTGAAATTCATTTTTATGAAATGAAAATCAATTTTTATTAGAAAATTCTACTAGAATTCAATTATTTAAATACAAATTTAAATGTAAAAATGCAAATAAATAATTTATTGAATGAACGTTTCTAAAAATTCAATTCCCATAAAAAATCGTTATCAACAAATTTTCAAATAATTGAATTCTATCAATGAATTTTAATAAAGTTTTTAAGAATAATAACATTTTTCGAGAAATTCGATTAAAATTGTATTAAAAGTAAATAAAATAATTCTAATTCTGCATTGAATTTTATTATTTATGAAAATAATTGAATTCTTGCGAAGAGTTTTATTAAAATTTTCAAAAATAATTAAATTCTTGTAAAAAATTAACTGGAATACAATTATTTTTAAAAATTTTAATAAAATTCTTGGCATAAATTAAAAATAACAAAATTCTTAGCAAATCTTCAATTACTTTCAGAAATTTTAATAAAATTTTTCGCAAGAATTTAAATATTTTTGTAAAATAATAAAAATCTTTGGAGAGATTCAATTATTTTCCAAATTCTTAATAAAATTCTTCGCAACAATTCGATTATTTTCAAAATTATCAGAATTTTAGCAGAAATTCAAATATTTTGAAAAGTTTTGATAAAATTTTTTTTGGTGGAAATTCAATTATTTTTAAGACAATTTTAAAAAAATGTCTCGATAACACTCAATTATTTTTAAAATTTTAATGAAATTCTTCGAAAGAATTCAATTATTATAATCTAAGATTTTAACTGAAATCTATTTTTAAATCAATGTTTATGAGAAAATTCTACCAGAATTCAATTATTTAAATACAATAATAAATAATTTATTGAATAATTGAATGTTTCTTGAAATTCAATTCCTATTAAAAATTTTATCAATAAATTTTTAAATAATTAAATTCTTTGAACGAATTTTATTAACATTTGAATTTTTTAGAGGAATTCGAATAAAATTCTATTGAAAATAATTGAATTCCTAAGAAGAATTTTATTACTTTTGAAAATAATTGAAATTTTGCAATGGATTTTATTAAAATTTTTGAAAATAATTGAATATTATTACTTTAAAAAATAATTGAATTTGTGTGATAAATGTTGTTAATTATGAAAATAATTGAAATTTTTTTTAATGAATTTTATTAAAATTTTTGAAAATAATTGATTTTTGTCGAAGAATTTTGCTATTTATTTATCAAAATAATTGAGATGTTGACCATTTTTTATAGATTTTTTGAAAATAATTGAATTTCGAAGAAGAATTTTAATATTTCTAAAGATAATTGAAATTTTGACGAGAATTGATAAAAATTTTTGAACATAATTGAATTTCTGCGAAGAATTTTATTACTTCTGAAAATAATTGACATTTTGCAATGGATTTTATTAAAATTTTTGAAAATAATTGAATTTTGTTACTTTAGAAAATAATTGAATTCGTGTGATAAATATTTGTTAATTATGAAAATAATTGAAATTTTTAAATCAATTTTATTAAAATTTTTGAAAATAATTGATTTTTGTCGAAGAATTTTGCTATTTATTTATCAAAATATTGAGATGTTGACCATTTTTTATAGATTTTTTAAAAATAATTGAATTTCGAAGAAGAATTTTAATATTTCTAAAGATAATTGAAATTTTGACCAGAATTTAAAAAAAATTTTTGAACATAATTGAATTTTTGCGAAGAATTTTATTACTTTTAAAAATAATTGAATTTCTGCAATCATTTGTAGTTTCTCTAAAATTCTCAAAATTATATCGTACAATTTACGAACCTTTTATTCTTTTTGAATAAAATTACGGACTTTACGGACCTTTTTTCAAAAAAACGGACTTTTACGGACTTGAAGCAAAGTTACGGACTTTTTCAGGATTTACGGACCTATTTCGAGCCCTGAAGAAGTGAAGTAATGGGGCAAAAAATTCGGAGTCATTTAAGTATGAAAAATTTTAAAGCATGAAGTTAATAATATTTCGAGTTGCAGACAAACAAAACAATGATACATACTGATGACTTCAATATTAGGAATTTGTACTTGTTTCTGTGTTGATGGTAAAAGTAAACTGCTTATCATATCGAGATTTTCAAAATGTTCTCCTTTATTAATTTTTGAAAATCGCATGGAAAAATCTCCTTTCTCACAGTCATAACTTCCTGTCGATGCATCATTTTCTTCTATTTTTCCAGGAAGATTTAGTCTATTATAACAATAGGAATTCTTATCAAAAAAAATAATATTACGTGTCCTATTAATCATCAGTAACTGTTTAGGTAGTTTTTCAAGTATTTAATTACGTATACCTTCGAAAAATGATATAAACACGATTCTTGAGTTCCTGAAGTCAAGAGACATTGAAATTAAACGAAACTTACAATTGAAAAGTTTTGACAAAACAAAACTTTTTGAGGAAACAAAAAAGAATTGAATACATGACAAACAACCTAAAAAATGACTAATAATTAAATCCGTAAAGGGTCTTGTAAAATTATGATCAATTTTTAATGAAATCGGATGTAAATATTATAACAGTTATTATAATCTTTATTTTAACTACAATATATAATAAAAATAAATAAATTTCATATATTGAATTACAATTTCATTCAATTAGGCATAAAATTCAAAATTATATATAATATATTATATTAAAAGATGTATTTTTGTTGTTGACCAGAATTATTTGTAGTGAAAATGATGTAGAAAAGTGTTTGTTTTTGCTGGTCTTTATTTATAAATGTTATTATATTAAATATAATACCTAAGGTAATATGGATTAGAGAAGAATCTGAAGTCACATCCCTCAACGTGCACTTCGGTATCTTTAATATTCGCGTAAGGGGCATGAATGACTACAAGCACTTCATCTTCTGTTTGTGTCAACTCAAAGCGTGGTGTTAACATTTTTGCAAAATATCAATTTGCCCCTGAAAATAATAATCCATTAATTATTCACTCAAAAAAAAAACTAGTAGATTTGACTACTTTTTAACTACCCTGAGTGATTCAATAGGTCCTCAACTGAATTTAAAAATTTATATTTACTACCGAAAGTAGTAAAAAGAACTAAGAATTTAGTTGATGTAATTAGATTTTGTAGTTGTTTTTGCAATTTAACTACTTTTTTTAGTTATATAAACTATTATTCTTCAACTATATTCAAAGTAGTAAAATCAACTACACAAAAATTGTTAGTAAAACTAAAAAAGTAATTAATTTGACAACTTTCAACTCAACTAGGTAATAGTAGTTAAAGATTTCGACCGAATTTTTTTCAGTGTTCCTTGCCAGTCAGAAATATCAGTATTTACTATTTAGATACATAAATTTTCGTAAAATTTAGTGCAATTTGTTTTATTTATAACAAATTTACCCTCGATCTTATTTTTAAAAATTCAAAGTACAGACGATAGCTAGAAACGGTAATTAAATTTTCTCTAACTGGAGGAAATTTTCAAAGTAAAACTCTTTGATTTTAAAGTAAAATCAAGTGACATACAGTGAATTATGTCTTTTCTATTTTCAATAAGAAAGTGGATAGAGGACAAACAAAATTTGAGCTCAAAACCCTAACCAACTATTCAATTTTTTATAATTATTATTGTAACTGTAACTGTCCATTTAAAAAAAAAGTTTTTTAAAAAGTTATTAAAATATATTTTTTAAAAATATTTCAAAAGAATTGATCTTTCTACAGTGGCTCAACCCTGACTACTTTTTTTAAAATTGCTTATAACTCCGATACTTTTGGTCAAATTTTTTTTACAATGTTCAGCAAAAATATTGCATTTGAGTATAGATCTTTCTAACAATATGCGAAAAATCGCGAAATTTGTCCTTCAGGGGAAGTTATGAAGAAAAGTTAAAACTATGTCCAACCCTGACTACTCTCCCCTATTTGAATTTTCGGAAATATGTAATTGAAAATATTGAAAATAATTGTATTTAAAAAAAATAGAATGAAAAAAATTCTACTAATTACTTTTTTCAAAAATATTTTAATATAATTTTCAGAAACTAATTTTCATTAATTTTTATGTTTAAATTTACATTATTTAAAGATTTAACATTAAAATTTCTAAGAAAATTCACTTATTTTCAAAATTGGCAATTGTAAATTTGTAATTCTTGAAAAGTTGATTTTCAAAAATTGTAATAAAATACTTGAGAAAAAATCATTTATTTTTAATTAAATTTTACAAAATTTGAATTATTCAAAATTTTCTTAATTGTATATTTCGAAAATTTAATTACCAAAATTATTTAAAAATCTTTTTTGAAAGTTTATTTATAAAAATAATGGAATTTCTAAAAAGAATTTAGATTATTTATGGAAAATAATTCAATCCCTGTAAAAAATTTTACTATTTATGAAAATAATTGAATCTCTGTGAAATATATATTATTTATAAAAATAATTAAATTTTTGAGTGGAATTTTATCAGTATTTTTTTTTTAAAAATTGGATTGTTTCGAAAAATTTTATTAAAATAGTAAATATTAAAAATCATGGAATTGAGAAACATTTCTGAAAATAATTCAAATTTTTACAAGAATTTGATTAAAATGTTTGAAAATAATTGAATTTCGGAGAAGAATAAATTATTATTTATATAAAGATAATTGAATTTTTAAACATTTTTAAACAATTCAATTTTACGAAATTTCGATTATTCGAAAATTCTTTAATTAAATATATAATAGAAAATAAAAACTTCAACTAGTTTAAACAAAAATTCAATTAAACTTTTTTAAAAACATTAATTCTACACAATTATTATTTAAAGGTAAGAAAATTTTATATTTTCCAAAGATTTAAATTTGAAACCTTTCTCAAAATTCAATTATTTCGAAAAGCAATTCCTGTAAAATTGTATTAAAAATAATTGAAATCCTGCGTTGAATTTTATTATTTATGAAAACAATTGAATAGTAGCAAAGAAATTTATTAAAATTTTCAAAAATAATTAAATTTCTTAGAAGAATTTTATTATTTATAAAAATTGATTATTTGTGAAAAATTTAATTGAAATGTTTAAAAATAATTGAATTTCTGTGAAAAATTTTGTAATTTTTGAAAATAATTGAATTCTCCATAAGAATTTTATAAACATTGTTTTTAATAATTAATTTTTTTAAAATATAATAAATATTATGAAAATTTTATTTTAAATAATTGAATTTTTTGTGAAAAACTTTATATTTGTGAAAATAATTGAATTTTTCGATTAATTAATTTAGAATTAAAAAAATAATTGAAATTCTTCGATAATAAGTTTTATTATTTACGAAAATAATTGATTTCTTGCTTATAATTTTATCCAAATTTTTTTTTAAAAATTGTATTTTCATGAAAAATGTTATTATCAGTGAAAGTAATTGAATTATTGTGAAGAATTGTATAAAAATTTTGTTAAATAATTTATTTTTTTGAATAAAAAAAATAGTGGAAGTTCTAAAAAAAATAGAAATAGTAGCTTTTGTTGTTGAAAATTCCATTTAAGCGAAATAATTAAGGGGAGACCCCAACTTTTTTTTGACCTCTTTAAAATAAAATTATTAAACGAGGTAATATTTTTTTTCTTGCATAATTTTTAACCTGAAAACATATAAGATGGTCAAAAATATTCAATTTTAATTTTTGAAGAGGTTAGAATTTTTTTCTTTTGACCTATTTGCATATTATTGCAAATCCATGCGAGAAGTTGTTTAGAATGGTAAAATATGCATGGAAAAAAAATTTTCGTTAAAAATATTAAAAACTGTAAGAGAAGATCGATTTTTAATATTCAAATCTTTAAATTTTGCCGAAATTTCGAAAGCCTTAAATCTTTTATTTTTTTCCAAATTGTGTATATTTACATAATTTGATGCTATTATTAAAAAACATTGTTAAAATTGACATTTAGCTCATTTTCGTGGTAAAAACCATAAAAATCATAGTCCGAAGCTTTTATGGTATACTTTTTATATATATACCGAAATAAATGCAAAAAGCCATAATTTTTATAGTTTTTTTACCATGAAAATGAGGTAATCGTCAATTTTAACTATGTTTTTTCGACTCAGAGCATCAAATTGGAGAAAAATAAAGGTTCAAGACTTCCGACATTTCGGCAAAATTTAAAGATTTGAATATTAAAAATCGATCTTCTCTTACAGTTTTTAATATTTTTTAACGATAAAGGTGGGGTCTCCCCTTAAAAAATTAGGTTACGATATGAAGACTGCAGACTATTTTGAATATAGTTTTCAGATTTGCAAAGTTTAGAAAACTAAGGGTCATAAACATAACCTAAAAACAAAAATAATTTGAACTTAATTTTTTAAAGTAAACTATATTGTATTACAATTATTTAAACTTTTCTAAACATTAAGAATTCATTTTATTTTAAAAGTAAAAAATGAATTTGAAAAAGTCACGAATACGTTTTGCACTTAATTTAAGTACGAATATTTTTAACAGTAAAAATGTGTTAAACTTTTTATTAGTATTTCTTGGATTAGGGACATACTTTAATATTTCACTTTATCGACCTCGTTTTTCCAAATTCCTATTCAAAGAATTAATTTTTCAATTCAATTATATTAGTTATTTATAAAAAATATTAAAATATATAAGGTATATAAGTATAAAACATCGCACACGTGGTTATGTTTACAAAATTTCACAATTCCTTCACTAATTGAACTTAATAAGTAAACAAAGAGACAGTTTATTTTTCAATACATGTCATTATTTCACTTTGATTATCTACAATATTTTATGTAACCGAACAAATTTATTCAATTCTACTCTTTAAAATTTTCTTTATTTTATTAATATTCCTGGCACTCTGACAATAGAAAACACTTTGCAAACTGTGGAAAACAGAACAATTCATTATTAAAAATGACAGAGTTTTTTATATTTTTCTCTCTACATTCTCATTACATTCTCATCCCTGTCGAGAGAAATTGCCTCATGAGAATGCGCTTTTATGATTTTCTGATGTTGACATTTTAAGCATGACTAATACAAATGTCTCAAAACAGTCAACAAAGAAAAACATTTTGTTAATTTTTATTCACTATTTAGGACATTAATAAAAGCAATGCTATTATTATTAATAGTACAATTAAGAATATTACTGGTATGTAGAATTTTAATTTTACAGTAAGAATTCTATTCAATATTTTTTTAAATCTTAATTTCAAACTTAACCTTAAATTTCTAATTTAATGTTTATTGTTTTGGAAAAAAAATTTCTAAACAATTTTGTTCATTTTTTATATTGAAAAAGAAACGATTTTATTAATTATAAACAATTTCTTTTTTTTATAATTTCTTTAGGATGAAATTAAGAATTTTATTTCTATTAAAGAAGTTAAAGGAAACAATTTACGAGGGGAAAGAATTTTTTTATAACCTATACTTTGTCGATGTTTTTCATTTTTCTTAAATAATTTAAACAATAATCAAGATTCGGTATTGAACTTTTTATTAATACTTTCAATTCTTTTAATATTAACTTGAAATTCACTCATTAACTAGAAAAGTTTATAATAAAATAAATTTTTTAGATATGACATTAATAAGAATAATAATCAACTAATCACTAATTGGTATCAAAAATCCATTTCTTCTAATGATATAAATAAATGAATGAATAATGGATTAATAAATTATTTTTCACGTCATCCAATTCAACAAAAGAAGAATATTGTTTACAATTTGTATGATAGAGCTATTTTATTGTCTCACAAGTACTTTCATAATGAAAACATTAAAGCGAATTTTTGAAATTTTGCAAAACAAAAGAATTTATAAAAAAAAAATTGTATAAATTTTAGAATTTATACAAAAAGTATTAAAAGACGAATAAATTAATTAATTCATAAAACAATAGATAAAACAAACTAATAATGTCGTTGAGGTATTTACCAGCAACTAATTAAAGTTTGCGTATTCCTTTTAACAATGTTATCAATTATACAATATTTAAAAAAAAATATAATCAGGGTTGCCACAAAAATTTTATTTTATTTTTCCCTGACTTTTTTTTCAAAGATTTGAATTTAAACCTTTTCAAAATTCAATTATTTCTAAAAATTCACGCTATAATGCTTTTAATATTCAATAAATATCTAAAATCTTAACTGAAATTCATTTTTAAATAACTTATTATTAAAAAATTCTGCGAGAATTCAATTATTTAAATATAAAAATAAGGAATTTTTAAATAATTGAATTCTTTTGATGAATTTTAATTCTGAAATTCCAGAAAGAATTTTTTTATTTTAAAAAATAATTCATTCTCTGTAAAAAAAAATTTATTATTTATGAAAATAATTGAATATAAATTGATATTAAAAATCATTGAATTGAGGAAAATTTTTGAAAATAATTGAATGTTGGCGTCGAATTTTATCAAAAAATTTTTTTTTAAATAATGGAATTCTTTTGGAAAATTTTATTAAAATAGTAGACATTGAAAATTATTGAATTGGGGAAAATTTTTGAAAATAATTGAAATTTTGTTAAGAACTTTATTATTCAACATAATTGAATTCTTAGGAAGAATTTGATTATTTTTAAAAATAATTAAATTTCCGCAATTATTTGTAACATTTTTAAAATTCATTTCTTTAGTGTTTTTAACTAAAATTCTTCTGTAAATCCATTATTTTTAATGATGAATTAAATATGTATTAAAATTTTTTACTAATTTCAAAAGAATTTGAATTATTAAAATTTTTCAAAAATTTAAGTTCTTTATAATTTCTAATTAAATTCATTAAAAATTGAAACCTTTTGAAATTAATATATTTATAAAAATTATAAATTCAACTTTTATAAAATTTAATAATTTTTAAAATTGTCAAATAAAATGATTCTTTTAATAATTTTTATAAGTAATAATTTTATGCTACTTGAATTAAGTTATTTAAAAATAAATTATTGTCAGAAATAGAAAAAATGGAAAATTTGGTATTAGAATTCGTGGTAATTTCATAGTTTATGAGACAAACGAAAAAGACACCAATATTCAGAATTAACAAATAACTTTTAATTATCTTATATGTTTTTCATTATAAATAAAATTGTTACTTAAAAAGTATTATTAAATTTTTAATTCTCAATGCAGAATTTTAAATAATTTAAAAATTTTTTAATCAGGGAAAACGAAAAATTAGTCAGGAAAAGTCAGAGAATTTTGAAAATGAAATTTTGCAGCCACCCTATTATTATTAATTTTATATTTTTCAATATTAAAAGAACTAACTACTTAAAAATAAACATTTAAAAAATAGTATAAAAAATTATTTAAATAAAAAACATCGGATTGTTTTGATTTTTTTTTAAATTATGATTTTTATCAGCCCTGCTGTCTATTCCGATTGTAGATTATAATCTAGACTGATTATAATTATTTTTTCAATTTTGACAATGCAGAAATTTTAGATTATGAAACTTTTTATAAAAACGATTAATTTCTGTCATCATTTATATTAAATAATATTAAAGTAATCTATTAAAAAATATTCTCTTCAACTATAATTACAATATTTTCTAATATCTGTTTTCAGTGCTTACAATAAATTTAAAAAAATTGTAGACTGATCTGAATTAGATCATCAATATGGATATCCTGTTTACACAAAATCCTCCCGAGGATTTAGAAGATATTCCACAAACAGAAGAACCTGTTTGGATTTTAGGAAAAAAATATAACGCAATGAAAGGTTAATAAATTTGTTTTCTGAATATTAAAGAAATTTTTTATTTTAAATTTTGTCCTTATTGAAAGATTATAAGTCAAATGTAAAATTTATTTATTTACAAATTTCTAGAATTGGACGCAATTAGAAAAAATATTCAATCTAAATTGTGGTTCACATATCGAAAGAATTTTGTACCGATTGGCGGATTTGGATCAACATTTACTTCAGATAAAGGTTGGGGCTGTATGTTACGATGCGGTCAAATGGTTCTTGGACAAGCTTTAATTTCATTACATTTAGGTATGTATCTATATTTATTTTTTGTTTATTTTTATTTAAAAATAGAATTAAATTAAAAGTAATTTTACAAAAAAAAATTTTTGGTCTAAAACGAACTTAACCAACAGTTGAACTTATAGAACTTATCCGACTCTTTCCAAAGAGAATTTATCTAGAATTGGTTCAATTAATAAAAACTAAAGAATAAAAAAACTGTCTTTTTAAATTTCAACTTAAAAAAAAAAATAAATAAATAAAAATTTAAAAAAATTAGAATATTATTAAAATGAAAAAATATTAAAAGTAATCGCTTAAAATTCGTAATTATTGAGTAAAACGTAAAGATTTTAATTAGAAATTTATTAAGTAATTAAAAACAAACCAATATAAAAATTTTCGAAAAATAAATTTAATTTAATTTTAAATAAATTTAATTGTTTCATTGAAAAATTCTGGGAAAATTCATAAAAATTTTCATTTTTTACATAAATTGAAGATACTTTTGAAATTGAAGAAAATAAAACGTTCATTGTAGGGAAAAATTGGGAATGGACGCCAGAAACGAAAGATAGTACGTACCTGAAAATATTAAGTCGTTTTGAAGACAGAAGGGCTGCGCCTTTTTCAATTCATCAAATCGCTCTTACTGGAGCCTCTGAAGGAAAAGAGGTTGGCCAATGGTTTGGACCTAACACTGTGGCACAAGTATTAAAGTAAGTTTTTTTTATTTTTCTAACTTTTAGCATTATTAGTTAACGTAAAGGAAATATTAAAATTTAGATTTTTTTATCACACGAAAACTTAAAAATAATTCAAAGAACAGTAATAAAGACCTTGAATTTTAATTTTTTCGACTATTATCGAAAAATGTGACTTTTTTTCGATTCAATTTGAAAAATAAAATAATAAAAATTGCTACTTTTTGGACATTTCTTCCAAAATATTGCAACAAAATAGCATATTTTCAGTATGAAATGCAACTTATTTCTTTTTTTATAGAATAAAAAATAAATATAGAAAAATCTTACAAAAATTTTTTTTCAATAATTTTTCTAATTAAAATTTCTAAATCTTACTATAAAAAAGATTTTGAATAATTAAAATTTTGTAAAATTTAATTGAAAAACATAATTGATTTTTTTCAAGTATTTTATTACAATTTTTGAAAATCAACTTTTATTTATTTATTTACAAATTCTTCTTTTGAAGGAATTTTAATTGCAAATTTTTAAAATAATTGAATTCTCAAAAATTTTAATGAGAAATCTTCAAGTGTAAATTTAAAAATGAAAATTAATGAAAATTAGCTTCTAAAAATTATATTAAAATATTTTTAAAAAAAGTAATTCTGAGATTTTTTTCATTCTAATTTTTTTATAATTGTATTATTTTCAATGTTGTCAATAACAAATTTCCAAAAATTCAAATACATACATACAAAACATAATAACATTAAAATATTTTAGAATAGTTTATAAAATTTTAGAAAAGACAATCACTGCTCAGAATTGTTACTTAAAATTTTTCAAAAAATTATTACAAAAAATTGAAATATTGTATTTAAATAATTGAATTCTGGAAGAACTTTGTAAAAATCATTAAAAATAATTTATTTAAAGGAGAAGTTTTGTTAAAAATTGTAAAAAGTAATTGAATTTTGGAGTTGTACATAATTTTTAAAAATTATTAGATTTCAGAAGGTTTTAAGAACAGACTTCGACTACAATTTTCAACTATATCGAAGAAAATGATTTAAATCTTTCAAAACATTATTTTATAATAATTTTTTAGAGGAAATCAATGATCAGAAAATCTGTCAGAAAATAGTCTCACCCTTTTTGGATTTTTTTTAAGTTGATAGATTTTAAAGTCCATTCGTAATTTTGTGGAAAATAAGTTTTCGTACCTACAAAAAAATTTTCGAATAAAAAATAGATTTTTACAATTTTTGAAGCATTGTTTTTAGGTTGAAAATGATAAAAAATAAAATATAGAAAAATTATGATTTCAAATTAGTTAGAAAATAAAATTAATTTACATATTTAAAAATTTGAATAACAATTGTATTTTTTAGCATTTTCAACCTAAAAACAATGTTTTTCTTTCAAAAAAATATTTCAAAAATTGTAAAAATCGAATTTTTTTATTCGGCAATTTTTTCCAGATACAAAAACATATTTTCTACAAAATTACGGATGGATTTTAAAATCTATCAATTTAAAAAAAAATAAAAATCCAAAAAAGAGGGAGAATATTTTCTGACCATTGATTTCCTCTCAAAAAAATTACTATAAAAATAATTTTATGGAAGACTTAAATCATTTTCTTGACATAGTTAAAAATGTAATCGAACTGCCCCCTTAAATTGAATTTTAAAAAATTTTATTTCCCATAGAAAAAAGAATGAGAAGTGGGATTTAAATATTTTTTTAACAAAATTTTTAAACTTTTTAAAAATTGATTTTAGTAATCAGTGAAGGGGAAATACAAAATAAAATTTTTGTGACAACAGTGAATTAAATAAACGACTTTTTTTGCATTTTTAATCGACTAAAGTCACTTTTTTGCGTCTTAAAGTCGATTCGAGGCCTGGTACTATAAAAAATATAAAAAATTGTTGCTAAATTTAAATCTGTTCACAATTTATTTAAATAATTATTTTTGTTGCAGGAAATTAATTGTATATGACGAATGGAGTTCTATAACGATACATGTTGCACTCGACAATACATTAATTATCAACGATGTCTGTTAGTATTAAAAATTTTCAAGTTTCAATAAATGATGCTCCTTGAGAAAAGGGGAGGATATTACAGAATCTCTGAAGTTTAAGTCCTTATAAAAAAATATTGAATAAAAAATCATTCTGGTTTTACGTAATAAAAAAAGAACTTTAAACTATCACTAAACATAAATTAAAATTTTGTAAACCTAAAGTATCTTTTCTTTTGGAGCATCACATATAACAATTAACTCTATACCGTATATTAAGTATACAATAAATAGCAGCGTATTTAAACCTTTTTCTTTATTTTTAAGTAAATTAATTGATAACATTTATGTACAATTATTTTTAAACCAAAATTTAAAAAAAAATTTAAGAATTTTTAAAGAACAATTTAAATTCACTTGAATTAAAAGCAGAGAAAATAACTGGCTATTTATGAAATAAGAACTTCATGTGGTGTAGAGTTAAGATAACCGTATTATTAAAATTAATTTTACATTTCGTCTTTATGACAATGAATGGATTTTGAAACATTTGGCTGTTAATTTGATTTCCAGTGAGGCAGTGCAAGGTCGAAGGAGCAACAACTGCGGAAGCGGATGGTAACATTCCGTTACGAGCTCCAAGTCAATGGAAACCTCTTTTACTCCTAATTCCACTGAGACTTGGTATTAGCGAAATTAATCCAATCTACATAAATGCCCTTAAAGTAAGTGAAAAACGTCTCAATGTCTTTTTTTAACAACTTCCAATAGGTATCAACATTAAATTAAATCAACATTAAATGAGTAAAATTAAATTTTCTCTGACTTGCTATAAAGTGACTTTTATATTATTTACAGACCTCGTTTCAATTTCCTCAATCGATGGGAGTAATTGGAGGAAAGCCAAATCTAGCTCTTTATTTCATAGGATGTGTCGGTAGGTGGTGAAATTAAATTAAAAGCTCTAAAAATTATTAAAGTTTAGATAATGAAACCTAAAATTTCTTTTTTTACAGGTGATGAAGTGATATTTTTAGATCCTCACACAACGCAGAGATCTGGAAATGTCGATCAAAAATTAGACGAGAATGAAATTGATCTTGATACGACATATCATTGTAATGTCGCTAGTCGTGTTCACATCACTGGAATAGATCCTTCAGTTGCACTTGTAAGTTGAATATTATTTTTTAGTAACATATTAGAAAACTAAAAAAGTTTCGTAAAAGTGCGGAAAAGTTACTATTTGTTAATGTGAATTCAGAGAAGAAAAAAATATTTGAAATGGGACAATATCTTCCGTTTGCGCATTGCATTCAAAGTTTACTAATTTAAAGAAAAATTGAATAGATTTACGAAAAATCGTATATCATCATAAATAGTTTGTAAATTATAAGAGGGTGCGGAAAAGTTGTGAAACCATGCCAAATGAAAGTACCAAAAGTTTCAGTCCAATCGGATAATATTTACTATCCCCGCAGCGCGGGGATAAAAACATGAAAAGTTGCTAGTAGCTACTGCGTGTCATCCGCTAGCCATCCCATTGCTACGTCAAAGAAAGTTCTTGCAATTAAAAAAATCTTTCTCTCAGACCAAAGAACCTTGCGAATGATGGTTATAGGCCAAGTCGATAATAAAGTAACTGAAGTTCTGAATAAAAAAAAAGTTGGTGGTCAAAAATTTTGAAAATACCAAACAGTAGAGTCCCGAAAATATTCTATAACAGATTATATGAGTTGGATCAATAAAATAAAACTAACTCTAGTTACAACTAGGTATTTCAAATTAGGGAAGGTATTGAATCAGTCGACGGTGGTCAATTGTGGTCTTAGTGCGGATCTTTGGATAGCAGAGAGATTGGTAAACGGTGCAAGATTATTGTAATGATTTGGAAAAGAAAATTAAAAGACCTCATTATAGAAAGAGGAAATAACTCTAAATATTGTAATTTATAGAATTGTTGACAATCAAGAATTCAAAACCGAATGGTATCTAAAATCAAATACTTCTTTTAATAAAACTAGAATTACAGGGTTGCCACGCAACCTAGAAAACCTGGAAATGTCAGGGAATTTTATAAACCTTGAAAAAACCTGGAAAAGTCAGGGAATTTTGATCGAAATCCTGGAAAATTGTTATTTTCTAAAGTTTATTCTTAAAATCTAATTTTACATAAATATTTCAAAATTAATTAAATTTTAAAAAAGTTGCGTTTACAATTTTCATAAGTACAGTTGAATTTCAAAAGATTTTAATTTGAAATTTTGTAAAATTTCAATTTTGAATGAATTTAACTAGAAATCGTCTTAAGACGCTCTCACAGCTCTGCATGCATGCCAATGCATGCATAGTTGTCATGGTAACACATGAGAGTAAGTAAGTCAGAAAATTCAAATTTCATGTTTTTTCTCTCTTACTCTCATGCTGGCAGTAGAGCTGTGCGAGCGCCTTTAAAGAACGTAAATTTTTGAGAAATTTTAATTGTTCCAATTCTTCTGAAATTAGTTAAATTTTTTAATATATATTTTTAATTGATTATTAAAAATAATGGATTTATAGAAGAATTTTAATTAAAAACATTAAAAGAAATTGAATTTTTAAGCAATTACAAATGATTCCATAAATTCAATTATTTTCCAAATTAGTAAAATTCTTAGAAATTCAATTATTTTCAACAATTTTAATAAAGTTCATGACAAAATTCCATTCATGACAAACTTTCCTCAATTCAATGATTTTTAATAAATCTACTACTTTAATAAAATTTTTCAAAAGAATTCAATTATTTAAAAAAAAATTTTTAATTCTACGCAACCATTTCATTTTATTTTCATAAATAATAAAACTCATCTCAGACTTTCAATTATATTGAATACAACTTTAATGAAATTATTCTTAAAAATTTTATTAAAATTCATCAAAGAAATTCAATTATTTAAAAAGACATTTTAATAAAATTCGTCTCAAGAATTCAATTATTTTCAAATGTAATAAAATTCTTCGCAGAAATTTAATTGTGTTCAACAATTTACAAAAATTCTCATCAAAATTTCAATAATCTTTATACATTTTTTTCCGAAATTCAAATATTTTCAAAAACTTTAATAAAATTCCAAAAGAATTTAACTATTTAAAAAAAATTTTAATAAATTTCTACGCAATCATTTAGTTATTCTCATGAATAATGGAAATTTTACAGGAATTCAATTATTTTCATAAATAATAAAACTCATCGCAGTATTTCAATTATTTTTAATAGGTACAATTTTAAATTAATTAATCGAAAAATATAATTTTATTCTTAAAAATTTTATTAAAATTTGTCAGAAGAATTCAATTATTTAAAAATTTGTTAATAAAATTCTTTACGAGAATTCAATTTTAAGAAACATTCAATTATTTAATAAAATATTTATTTTTGTATTTAAATAATTGAATTCTCGTGGATTTTTCTAGTAAATATTGATTTAAAAATGAATTTCAGTTAAAATTTTAGATTATTATTGAATATTGAAAGCATTATAGTGTGAATGTTTTAAAAGAATTGAATTTTAAAAAGGTTTCAAATTAAAATCTTTTAGAAAATTTGAACTTTTCATACTTTTAATTAACAATTCTGTAAAATTTATTTTTTAAAAAAGGTTAACTGAATTTTTCTTTAATTCTTGAAGTTTTTATTTTCTAATATATATATTTAATTGATGAATGTCAGAATAATCAAAATTACGTAAAAATTAATATTGAAAATAATTGAATATTTACGAAGTATTTTATCATTTTTTGAAAATAATTGAATTCTTGCGGAGAATTTTATCAATTTTGAAAATAATTGAATTCTTGCGAAGAATTTTGTCAATTTTAAAAATAATTGAATTATTTCGAAGAATTTTATTTAAATTTTTTTGAGAATAATTGAATTCCTGCGAATAATTTTATTATCTATAAAAATAATTAAATTCTTGACAAGATTTTTAAGGAAATTTAGAATTAATTTTTCACAAAAAGTTTAATGGAATTTTTTTTTTAATTATTTAAAGTTTTTAATTTCTAATTTATTTAATTGAAGAATGTCAGAATAATCGAAAGTTTAGGTAAAATTGAATTGTAAACAAATGGATTTAAAAATTCTCAAAGAAGAACTTTTTCAAAAATTATTTAAAAAAATTGTTTTAAAAAAGAATTTTAGTTTAAAATTCCAGAAATGAAGAATTGAATTGAAAATAATTTTGAAGAAATTACAGTTAACAATATTTTTATAATATGGTCAAAATCGCGAAAAACAAAACTTTTGTAACGTAACAGTCTTTTTAAAACGTTTATAACTTTTAATTGATAAATACAAAAAAATTTATATTCCTATGCAATATTGTTAAAAAAAAAATATATTTTAAGATGCAAACATAAAAATTGATTAATTCCTTGTTATTTAAAAGTTATGGACAAAACAAAAAGACTGTTACGTTACATGCTCCGCGATTTTGACTATATAAAATTTGGTAAAATTAAGAATAAAATTAAAAATTAAAATTAAAAATAAAATTTTGTAAAATATAAATGTAGTTTTAAAAATCTGGAAAAATTACGTTTTTTAACCTGGAAAAGTCAGGGAATTTGAAATGAGGAAAAGCGTGGCAATCCTGAATTGGTAGTCAATTAAAATTGTCTCAGCAATCTCAGATTAAGTTAAGTTATAATAGTGTAGTGGACTTTTCCGAAATTCGTAACACTGTTTATAATTACAAAATGTCAAGCTTCATTTCTTTATGTTAATAGTGTTTTTTCTGCCATACTGAAAGCGAATTTAAATCATTGTGCACCTTAATGCAAGAAAAATTGATCTCATCGGAAAAACAGCCACTTTTCGAACTGTGCGATGAGCAGACCGCTCATTGGTCCCCAGCGGAAGATGTGATGGTTTCACAAGTTTTAGGAGCAGCAGCAGCATCAAATGGTAAGTTACGTACGTTACATCCTGTATATTTTTTTAACTTTTTATTCTTATCTTTCTTTTTTTACACAAAAACACATAATATAATTTAAATAAATCCCACGAGAGATACTAAACAGAACCAAACTTGAGATAATATCCCTACTATTTTAGAAAGATACTGACCTAGAATACAACCCTCAAGGACTCAGCCTCTTGTGTTGGTTTAAGAAGAGCCAATTCCGAAACGACAAAATCAATTCTTTTCATTTTTCACAATTTTCTCTTCTTTATTTTCTTATTAAACAACCAATCTGATAATTAGTCAGCCTCTTCCTAAAAATATTTTCCAAAACCGTATTTTCCTAATTTTTAACAGTTTATACTTGGTTTTTTGTTCCAGTACTGGAATTCGAAGACTTTAATCGACAGTATGATACATCGGACGAGGAATTTGAACTTTTAGGATAATTATATAAAATTTATCAAAACACATCATCCCAGGTGCGAATTTTTGGTCAGGAGTATCTTTTGAAGATTGGTTCAATTCAACGTACTAATGACTTGACCAATCTTCAAAATGATGACGGTCGACCCAACATTGGTGATAATTGTCGGCTCGAACTGGTTTTTGTAATAAAATTATTTGAACGTTATATAAAAGAAATTGTTTTATATGTATTATTTTACATATTGGTATTTATATTGAATTCATAATATATCCCCCTATTTATACTAAGTGCTTTCGTTATTTAAAAGTAGCTAAATCTTACGTAGATCCATGTGAGAGTTGGACAAGAGAATTATGAACTGAGAGAAAGAAAGAAAAGAAATCTGACTGAGAAAACAAAAAATGTATTTCTGTAACTGTATGTAAGAAATAATAAAAATGATAATATAATATTAATTAGTATCAAACTTTTAACAGACATTAGAAAACCTGAGGTATCATTTTTATAGTTCATATCATGTGGAACAATTTTGTTACTGAAAATTTGTGACCTTCACTAAGGACTAATTTCATTTGAGAACACCGTAAGCTACTTATCATAAAGTAAATCTTTTCGTTTTTAAATATATTTATAACGTTTAGTTATTATTAGCCTAGTAATCAGATTGTTTATAGCCAACCAAAGTTTTAAAGTCTAAACTAATTCCGAAGTTATGCCGACACTTGCGCCAAGATCGGACCACAATTTGGCCGAACAAATATTTCAAATTATTTTAACTACTTCAGTTACCAGTGTTTTTCCACTGACCTAAATTTGCACCTGGTTTTACCAACACTCATAACTTGAATATATTTTAAAAGTTTTACGATTTGATATACTAATTTGTACATGCTTTAAAAATGAATTAAATATGTATTAAAAACTAAAAAATACTCATAAACTTTAAAGTAATTAACATCAATCAATATTTATAAATAATAACTCTAATCAGGATTTGTTATGAATGTTTTACAGTAAAATATATTATACTTGTAGATATGAACCACAACAATTGCGAATTAAGATAACTTTTTAAATAAGCGAACTTTGTACTATTTTTGATTTATGTCTACATGATTTTTGATTCGTAGAACTTTATCTTTTAAAGATCAAAATTTTCTATTTGTAGATTTTTATTTATTAAGATGGAAGATTATTTTAAACGTAAATTTCATCTAGAGTACAGTTTGTTGTACCTGAATTCATAATATATATTTTAGTGAATGGTCACAATCGATTTGTATTAAAAATAATTAGATGTAAGTGCATATAAAAATTTGTTGACAAAAGAAAGTTTCTGATATAAATAAATCATTTTATCGAAAAGTAACAATGTTAGTATTGATATAAGGAACCTATAGTTTTAAGAAATTTTATAAATAATTATGCTTTAGGCCCCTTCTAAGTTCATTGAGGACCGGAGGAGAGTACCAGATAGTAGAGAATTATTGGTATCGTCTCAACGGTCAAAGGTTTGAAAGTTTGTTTGTTTGGTTGTTCGTTAGTTCAGAGGACCGTTTTGCATCACTGCATCGGCTCATGGCAGAATTCCCCGATGAGATTGTGTAAATTTTAAGAAAAGTGGTACTTGCAAATAGCAGAGTATTTCTTGGACGGGATTCGATGCAAATAATTCGAATTGAATATTTCAATATATTGATTTGGATCATCTTCTATGTCACAGACTTTCGCCGCAGAAGATACTAAGGAAGAGAAGAATTAAGAAGATTATTTAAGAAATTTTATTCAATTGTAGAACTACGCAGTAGGTCAGCTGCTAATTTGGTATGTTTTGCAGAAATTATAGACACTGTTAACACAGCAGGTGACCAGGAGAAGCAGACAAACGTAAGATTTATGTAAGGAATAATAAAATTTGTTTGCTTTTTAATTCACATAGTATATATAGTAACTGTAGACATTGCATGTTAGGAAGTCTGAGTTTTCTTATTGAACACATAATATTATTCCTCCTAATCACCTATTTCGTCGTCTAACGCCTTTACAGAGCAACTCGTGACAATTTGCAAGCATTTAACGACCATTTCTTAAAAACCTTCGCGTTTTTTTATTAGTTTAACAATCAAATATATAAAAGTGAATAAATATCGCCACTCAACTCACAAATGCATAAATTCCTTATCCTAAATCACTGATTGAAATTATTTATCGCTAATCGACAACGTTGAAGAAGATCAACAAACATTACCTAGATGTTTGGTAGTAGCATCCTGGTATTGGTTATTATTTTACATTATCTTCCCTGAAGAAGTTACACAGAAATGGCCTAGAGATCTGAATATCAATTGACGACTTCTTGATGATGAACGTCAGTTACATTCCACTAATTTCCCGAAAAAATTCATCAGAACTGAATATTTGGTACAAGTCATAGAAAATATTATGTGCTGTTTGGGAGTTTAGAAGTGGACAATACAAGTTGCATTTTAGAATAAAAACTCATATTGAGTTTCTTCCCACTATTTATTTTCCGTATTATAATTATCAGATCGTAAGATAGAAAAGGGTCAAGAATAGGTTTTTGCGATTTGCAGCTAGACAGCTAATCAAGAGTGCCTTTTTGTCGAACAAATTTTGGTGACAACTCACCTCTTAGAGCCAGTTTCACCAACTTCCGATTAAAAGTTAATAAATGATTAAAGACAGTTTAAAGGCTTCTGATTGGTTAATTGAGGATTTAATCATTGATTAACTTTTAATCGGTGTTGGTGAAATCGGCCCTTAATATGTTAATGATGTTAATAATAAAGCGTGTAATTTGGTTAAACCGTGTAATAAATAAATAAAAAGCAATTAAATATTGTCATTTTCTTGTAACGTTCGAGTTGAGCTTTTCTGAGATAAGGGCGTGTTCAAGTTGTGAAATGTAATCAAACCAGGCATTAAAATCACAATTTTTTTGTCAAGTCCCATTTTTGCCACAAAAAATTATAATTTCTGCATTTTCTTTATTAAAATGTTTTCTTAAGCGAATAATTATACTTTACTTGAATAGAAATAAAAAATATAATTAGGGCAAGTGCTTCAGTCGATGGCAACCATTCATTAAGGGGAAATACCGAATTAAACTAGCACATGTTTTGCATACAATTATTAAATTCTTCAACATTTATTATAAAAATCGAGTAGCTTAATTTAGTATTTCTTGTTATTTAAAGAAAAACAAGGAGAGTGTCAACGTCTGGAATGGTTACCCTAATAAAATTATTACAAAAATTTTTTTAATTAAACACTAAAATACGAATCTTTGTGTAAAATAAAAATTTAACAGTTAGACTACGTCAGAAGCACGGACCGGGAGAAAGGCTCAGTCATCGATTGGACGATCACAAAAAAGGGGGGGGGGAGAATTCTCGCTCAACTCAGTTTCATGGTGGAGGTAAGAGTGACCCTTCCTATTTTGTTGTCATCCAATCGCTGACTGGGACTTTCTCATAGTCCGTGCGTTTCAAATAGTCAACCAAATTTTTATTTTACGCGAAAATTACTATTTTAATATTCACTTTCTTTTGTAATTTTAATCCACATTTTTTCTAATTTCTAGTCAAAAACCGCTGCCAAGTTATAATTTTGGTACTCATTTCATGAACCAATTTCATGATTTGCTTCCTCATAAAGATAATAATAATAGAAACATATGAATAATTTTTTATAAATATGGTAAAAGTGATTAAATTTTGGATAAATCAATGAATTTTTTAATACCCTACAAAATAGTTATAATAGTTTAATATTTAAAAAAATATTTTCAAACAAAATAGTTCAAAAAATGTCATTTTTCATCATTTTTAATTTTTAAAATACCAATAATTTTAAAATTTATGATCGAATTTGGTTCAAAAATAGGTCAATCGTAGCGTTTTTTAATGCTCTACAAGTTGGTAATGATATTTTTAAAGTTACTTCTATATTTTTCAACAAAAAATTTTCAAAAAAGTCAGATTTTCCAAAATTTTAGATTTTTAAAAGTTTAATATCTCCGGTTAATATCGACAAAAAATGTTCAATTATTATGGTTCAAGAGATGCGTCTAAAAAAACTACAAAATTATGGAAAAACATTTATAGGTGTCTTAACAATTTTTTTAAAAGTTATGGGGTGGATTCCACGTCAGTTCAACACACTTATTTTCATGACTTGTTGGGATTTGGCTGTAATTTTGTAAATTCATTACTTTTATAGTGATAAACAACTCCACCAAATATTTTTTCAAAATTTTGAAAATTACCAAAAATATGGCATTTTCAAAATTTTTGTCTTCTTTTTTTGAAAGTGCTATAACTTTGGTTCTAATTAACCGATTTTGGATTTTAAAAAAAGGATTTCTTTGGTTTTAAGTATATTTTAAGTTAAAATTAAAATAAAATAAAAAAATTCAAAAAATTTTTTTTTTAATTTTGAAAAATTAAAAATCCGTTTTTGAAAAAACATCATCTTCGATTTTTTTCAAAATTTTACTAAATGTTAGGGCAAATGTGCTTTACATGTCCTGTAAGTTTTATCCTGGGATCTCAAAGGGATTCGGAGTAAAAAAATAAAACGTAACCACAAATTACGAACATATGGGGCAAAATTCCTCAACTACCCAGGTAAAACAAAGAATTTTCTCTAAACTTTGCTGAAATGTTACTATTATTAGTAGAAGTGTAAATATTAATTTTTTTTGAATTTGATAAAATATTTTTTGAGTTATGGAGTTTCAAAATTTTGATTTTTTTGAAAATATATTTTTTTCGATTTAATATATTTATAAGTAAAATTAATCAAATTTAAAGTATGAATAGTGGTTTTTAAAGGGGTTTTCACGGGCTATAAGCTGGTGATGAAAAAAAAGTTGTTTTCTGTCAATTTGACCTTGAAATTCAAGGTCAAATTCTTAATTTCAATATACAGTAGAACCCGGTTAATACGATCCCGTTTAATACGATTTCCAGCTTAAGACGCTCATTTATGGTGGTCCCTGTAATTAAAGACATACATTTTACATCCCGCCTAATACTTTTTCCCGCATAAGACGCATTCTTAGTGCGGTCCCTACAGAATCGTATTAACCAAGTTCTACTGTATCTCAAAATTGGTGTTTTTTATTTTTTTGTAACCTATCCCAATCGAAAGCTTACCTTTTTTCATATGAACCATGTAAAAATCAGAATGGGATCACGGAACTTTTTGAAGAAATTAATTATAAATCATCATTTTCTATGTAAAATAATGATAAATTATTATTTTCCTCAAAAATTCTCATGGTCCCACTCTGATTTTTATTTTTTACATGGCTCATAGAAAAAAAATATATTAAATCGAAAAAAATATATTTTCAAAAAAATCAAAATTTTGAAACTCCATAACTCAAAAAATATTTTATCAAATTCAAAAAAAATTAATATTTACACTT